GTCTGTGTCATCTTTCTTACCTCCTGTAACTGGAACAGTCCCTGGGTGCCTAAAATCACTTTCTTCCTTAAAGGCTTGCTTCTGTGAAATTTTACCGACTTAAAGATACTGTTTCTTGTGACTTAGTATCTATTTATATGCCTGTGCATCCTTGTAAGACCTTAGCAGCATTTTTTTTTTCAATTTTAGTATCAGATAGTGAATGGTTCCAAATATATTCCAAAAGTTCTAATTTGGCGTTTGCTGTAATGTTTGCCTTTCTGATGTCGCGAGCAAATGATGAGATTTTAATAGGAAAGTTAACTCATTGGTTTCCAGGAGCATCCGTCTGTCCCACTTGTCTGTTTTCTGGCTTCTCTCTTTTTCCGAACGCATTGCCCTCCCGTCAGTAATGACAGTGACTGTGACGGCGATGCAACAACAGCCCCGTAATTAGTGAGCACGTACTGCGCTCACACTGTGTGCCAGGCACTGCGCCGAGCACATTCGATGCTTGTTGAATGCTCACAACTAAACTTGTCAAGTTTATGAGCTACTATTACATTATTATAGATGCAGAAACCAAGACTTAAAAGATGATGCCGATTGTTCTCCACTTTGTAAGGCCAGAAAATGATGTGTATGGAGCTTCCCAGTGTTGAGGACTGGCTTTCATAATGTGGGAATTTTGGATCTTTGTAGGTTCCCTGGTGGGGGCTCAAGAATTTGCAAATTTATTCCCAAGTGGAAGCGTACAGGGTGCAGTCACTAGTGTTTTGCATTTTGCTCTCGCGAACAGGTTTTTGCGATTCATTCATGTTTGTGTCTGTCCGTTTTTTGTTCCATTTTTCTGTCGCCTGGTGTTCCATTATGTTTATACCACACCTCCTCCATTCAACTCTTGTGGACATCTTGGTTGTTTCTAGTTGAAGCCATTAAGAATAAAGCTTGCCCTGGCTGGTTTGGCTCACTGGAGAGAGCGTCAGCCTGCGGACTGAAGGGTCCCGGGTTCGATTCCGGTCAAGGGCATGTACCTGGGTTGCGGGCACATCCCCAGTAGGGAGTGTGCAGGAGGCAGCTGATCGATGCTTCTCTCTCATCGATGTTTCTAACTCTCTATCCCTCTCCCTTTCTCTCTGAAAAAAAATCAATAATATATATATATTTTTAAAAGAATAAAGCTCCTTTGTACGTTTGAGTGCAAGCCTTTGTGTGGACGTATGCTTTCGTTATTCTTGGCAAAAACCAAGGAGTGGGAGTTCTGGAACACGTTAAGTGTATGTTTTACCATACATGCTAAGTGTATGTTAAGTGGATAAGAAGCTGTGAAACTGGTTTCCAAAGTAGTTGTACGGCTTCACAGTCTCGCCAGCAGTAAGAGTTGTCGTTTCTCCATATCTTCATCAGCACTGGGTGCTGTCAGTCTCCTTAAGGTTGGCTATTTTAGTGACTGGGCCAGCCGTGGGCAAACTACGGCCTGCGGGCCGGATGCGGCCCGTTTGAAATGAATAAAACTAAAAAAAAAAAGGCCGTACCCTTTTATGTAATGATGTTTACTTTGAATTGATATTAGTTCACACAAACACTCCATCCATGCTTTGGTTCCGGCCCTCCGGTCCAGTTTAAGAACCCATTGTGGCCCTCGAGTCAAAAAGTTTGCCCACCCCTGGACTAGGCAGTCGTCCCCTCCTTGTCCATGGTGTGTGGGGCGAGGGGATACATTCCGAGACCCCCAGTGGAGGCCTGAAGCCACGGGTGGTATCGAACCCTATCCATGCTATGTTTTTTCCTATCTAGACATTCCGATGGTAAAGTTAATTTAGGTACAGCAAGAGATTAACAATAACTAGTAAAATAGAACCATTATAACAATATACTTTAATAAAAGTTACAGAATGAGGTCTCTCTCTCCTATTGCACTACACTCACCGGTTCACTAAAGGAAGCACTTTCGGCTTCCCTCTGGCAGATCCGAATGGCCAGCATCACTCCTCTTGTGCTTGGGGCCATTGCTAAATAAAATAAGGGTCACTGGGACACAGGCACTGTGATACCAGGACGATGGACCTGATGACCTAGCAGGCTACTAAGAGGCTAATGGGCGGGGAGCATTGCAGCGTGGATGTGCTGGACAAAGGGGTGAGTCACATCTCAGGTGGACAGAGCTGGACAGCATGAGATTCACGCGAGTCAGAATAGCATGTAATTTAAAACGTATGGATTGTTTATTTTTGGAATTTCCCATTTGACATTTTTGAGACCATGACTGAAAGCCCAGAAAGTGAAACCGCAGATAAGGGGGGACTACTGGCTACTGGCATCTCATTGTGGTTTTAAGTTGCATTTCTTTGAGTAATGATACTAAACAGTTTTTACTTACTAGAGGCCTGGTGCATGAAATCTGTGCACTGGGGGGGGGGGGTCCTTCAGCCTGGCCTGTGCCCTCTTGCAGTCCGGGAACCCTTGGGGATGTCCAACTGATGGCTTAGGCATGGCAGTCGGACATCCGTTGCTCAGTTGGGGCTGGAGAGGGACAGGGGAGGTTGGCCAGCCAGGGAGGGATCGTGGGAGGGGTCCAGGGTGTGTCCGGCCCATCTTGCTCAGTCCTGATCGGTCGGACCCCAGCAGCAAGCTAACCTACCAGTCGGAGGGTCTGCCTTCTGGTGGTCAGTGCACGTCATAGCGAGCGGTTGAGTGGCCTTAGCATATCATTAGCATCTTACGCTTTGATTGGTTGAACTGGTGACTGGACACTAAGCATATTAGGCTTTTATTATATAGGATTGGTGTTTCATGTCTCTTCAATGGTGAAATGTCTGTTAATTATCTAGATAGAAGTCTTTTTATTCTCACCATCGTAGAATACTTTCTTGCCTATCATGTCAGCAGTACTTTGATTTCACTTTGCTTTCTCGCTTATTGGCATTCACTGCTTAGGTGCAAATAACAAGAGAGGAGTTAGTGAGCAAGTGATTTATTTTGGGTCATTTAGGACTTCAGTTGTCAACAATTGTAACAGGTTGTCTGTTTGCTTGGTCAAGTGTAGTTGAGACATTTGAAGAGAGGAATTTGGACCTTGGTCATTTAACCTTTCTTGTTAATACAAAAAATTGGAAATTGACAGTAACTTGTGCCACAGTATAAAATATGATAGCGTTTACTCATCATTGAAATGATGATGCCTTCGAAGGTCTCGTTTGTTTCAGAGTGCCTTCTTCATTAAAAAATACTTTTTACCATGTGATTTTTGTGATATTATCCTCTGTAATTTTTATTTGTGATAACTGTCCTGTGGAAATTTAAGTATACCTTACAAGATATTGAGAAGGTATCCGTTTGTCATTTTTATTCACAGCAGGCACCCACTGCCCTTTGTCAGGGCATCTGTCACCTATAGGTGTGGATGGGCAGTGCCTATCAGCGTGTATCAGCAGCCGCCCAGATGTATCGGCCTCTGAGACTGAGGTTTGCTTTGCGGTGTGTTGAGCCTGTTGCTGCAGCATGCATTGGTTTTGTCACTTACTTAGTTCACTCATGGGAACAGGACTTGGACGGTGGTTGGTGAGGCAGAGCTGTTAGAGCTTGCCTGGATCCTCACCGCTCTACCGGCTTCGCTGCGTCACGCTTGGCAAGTTGCTTCTTAGTATTTCAGTTTCCTCTCGGGGACAATAATGAGGTTATTGTTGGCTTTCCATCAGTTAACACATGTAAAGCAATTAGGATACCGATTAGCAGAAGATAAAGACTCAGATGTTCCCGCTGCTGTTGCCATTGTTCTTGTTGCTATTATTACCCTGGGTCTTCCCTGGTACCTTCCCTCACGGTTTAGTCCCCTTCCTGCCCAGTCCTTTCTCTCTCGCTTTGTTTTTTCTCACGAAGGACTTCTTACTAACCTGCCGTATATATTGGGTATTCTTCGGTCGCTTGGGTAAAAAGCTGAAGAAAGTTATAGACATTGATTTGATAGTTTGGGCAATGGCTTGTGGTCCATGCAGGTTAGTTAGAAGTAGAGGGAGCTGGTGGTTGGTTGGGACCAGGTTTGGGCGGGGCAGCCCTTAAAGGTACAGGAGTCTAGCCCTTGCCTGGGCAAGCAGTGGAATTTAGAGGTTCAGTATATGAAATTTATTTACAACTGGCTAAAGCATTAACATTTTAGTTTTGGTTTTATTTTTTGAAGATCAGAGTGTGTTTCATGGTAGATAATTATACAAGCACTACAGTCATGCAAGTCACCCAGTCATGCAAGTCTACATTATTGGATTAGCATCATAATTTAGCCTGGCATTTGGGGTACAGAGAGGCATAGTTTTTAACCATCTTTCCCTTTTCTGCCTAAATGTCTTGCTACTCTTTCCAAGCAAAAATGTAGCAGGACTGGATTATTTTTTATGCACTAATTCATTGGTTAGTATTCCCAGTGTTCCTTTGTTAATGTGAATTATTGACATTGATCAGTTTTATATTCATTTTTGGCATTTTATGGTCATTTTCATTTTATGTTCCCTTAAAAGATAGTGAAAGCTGCAAGTATATATATATTGTATACGAATACAACCATGTATTCTGGCAATAGAAATAACCCATGGACAGTTTTCTTTCTAAATGGAAATGTTCACTGTACTGCATTCTCAACTATTTTATCCAACCATAAATTCAGTAGGCTGTGTGTATCAGGTGAATAGAAAGCATTACCATGTGATATACTTAGCGGATGGGGAAATGGAACCCAGGGAGCCAGTTGGTGAATCTTGGAGTGCATACAATGTTACTGAACATTTCAGTCACACTCCCTGAAAAAATGGATTAGTGACATTAGACATGCTCAGTGGCCTAACATTATATTTCTTAGCCAAATAAAACAATTGACTTTTAAACGTTTATTTTTCTATTATTCAGCAAGTATTTGTGGAGCTATCTGCCAGGCATAATGTTGTTAGAATTTGTAATAATGAAATATATTTAATTCTGTGTCAGAGTTAAGAGCAATTACTAACCCATCTCATATTTTTTTCTTTATTAAGGAGTCGCATTTTGTGAAAAAGTCACAAAGAAGAAGTTTCTTCAAGGATCCTATCTAAGTGCACTTTTTGTTGATACGTCGTTTCTAGTAAGACACTTTTCATTTTTCTCTGATATGAAGTAAATAAGTACCATGGAAATGCTTTGTTTAAACATCTAACTTTGGGAGTTAACTATAACCCATTCAGACTGTGAGTTTGAATGGCAGTCATTTTGGAGTTTATCTTGGGGATTAATATAGATGAATTAAGGATTTATAGAGTCCATTGAAGTGCATAAGAGTATATAGTGATAGTTTATCTGACACTGTTCAGATAACATGGATCTTTTCATCGTTGCCACCTCCATATCAGTTACCTTGTTTGTTGGTTTTTTTAAAGAAGAAAAATATCTACAGTAGGTAATCTCTGTTTATTGTGGCAAGAATGAGGAGGATGGGAGGGTGTGAGGAGAATTGCATAAGGCGAGGAAGGAGTTTTCAAATAACAGATGAAGAGGACAAATCTAGCCCTGTTTCTTAAAAGGTGGGAAGGGTCAATGAAAAAAATTAAGCTAATTTAGGAGATGCTTGAAAATGTGGGCTTTTTGTGTGTGTGTGTGTGTGACTTTGAATTTATTGCCTTAAATCATAGGCCCATAAGCACTCCAGCAAGGCCCTGGAGTGCTCTATTTCGATTTTAAGCATTATTGGTCCAGGTTAATAGTTCCAGTACGTCAGTAAGATGTGTCGTCTTACTCAGAAGTTTTCATGAGTGAACCCTCATCTGAAGTCTACCTTTTTGTTTTTAATAGGGGGAAAAACTACATCGATATTAGACTATTTTAACAGAGTGGAATTTTGGAAAATGTTAGCAGGGGGTATTTCTGGAATGTTATAATAAGTTAGCATTAACATTTCAAATATTAGATCTCGTTGATTAAGCCTGGTTATGTCAGTAAAAACCTTGGGAAAGGTACTTAAGACTTTTTGTTGTTGTTCTTGTCATTGTAAGAGTAGTTTTGCTATTTAACATAAGGTCTAATTTTTTCCTTGAATAATTATATGTTAGAAAGTACTTTTATAAATTTAGAAAATGAGTTCCTTGTTAGAATACTTGATTCTCATATCAGTTTCTTGTAGCTTTATATTTTTATTGTTAAACTTGGAAGAACAGTGTATCCTTACATCTTTCAGTTTAGGAGAACATGGAGAACAGGCATTGTTTTTCAGTTGAAGCAACGTATCCTTCAGACTGAAACTTATGTTATGTCCAGGCAGGATGGGATTAAGGACGTCTCATTCACACTTTAAAATAGAATCCTTGGTTGGTCTTGTGTAAAATCTCTGAATGTTCGTTTTCTTTCTTTTTCATCTTATTGACATTTTTCCTAAGTCCCTTTTGTCCACTAACTGCTCAAAACGGAATGATGGGAGGTGGAACACTGGAGGGAGCACTTGGCCTCAGAACTCTCATGCCCGTTGCTCAGAGCTGTGGCCTCTCTGAGCCTTGCTGATGGCTCTGTGCGTAACTGCAGCTGCTCTGCTCTGGGTCGTGCGTAAGCGTTAGGAAGTTTTGAGCCTTCCTTCCTTAACTAAGCTCCAGGATGTCCCCAGTGTCTTATTCTTCATGGCAGGCTTTCCATGGCTCTGAGGGTGACGCGTGAGTTCATAACTACTTGCTTAGGAGTTACTCTGAGAACTTAGATGGGAAATGCTCTTTCCTTTTGAGTAGATTCATATGTTGACTCAACAGCTTCCGATTAGGGATTTCCCCCTATACTTCTGCCCTAATTTGGAGTAGAAATTGGAGGAGTTGGCACAGAGATTGGGCAAAAATTTTTCTAACCTTTTTTCTTTTCTTTCATGTCTTGGAACTGTTTTGGGCTTCTGTTTTAGGTCTGTGATCCATTTTGAGTTAATTTTTATATATGATGTGAGGTAAGGGATGCGATTTATTTCTTTGCAAATGTAACACTTTTGAGAAGCTAATATAGTCCCCTGTTGAATTACTTCGGCATCTTTGTTGAAAATCAATTGACCATTATATGTGGGTGTATTTCAGGACTCCATTCTGTTCTTATTAATCTATAAATCTGTCCTTAATGACAACACTGTATTGTCTTCATTATACTGTAGCTTTATGGTGAGTCTTAAAAGCAGATGGTATAAATCCTCCAATTTTGTTCTTCTGTTTCTAAGTTTTTCTATTCTAGGTTCTTTCCATTTCTCTTCATGTATTTTAGAATCAGCTGGTCAGTCTCTATAAAACTGCCTGGTGGCATTTTGATTATGAATGTTTTTATCTTACAGGCCAGTTTGGGGAGAGTTGACCTCTTATGGGTATTTTTCTCTGTAGGCTTCTAACTTAATTCTGTTGTAGTCCAAGAACATACATTGTGTATTGTAAGTGCAGGATGTTGTCTATGTGCTTACATGCTATTTGCCCTTATGGTTAGTGACTGGTGTGCACTAACCATTCTGCGATTGTTTAGTGGAGCTTTCTAGAAATATATCTCGGTCACATTGGTTGATAGTGCGCTTCAAGACTTATCCCTTCTGATTTCCCGTTATTCCAGTAACTGCTGGGTGAGCAGTGCGGGACTCTTCAGCATTGATTATGGCTGGTCTGTTTCTCCTTTTACTTCTTGGTCATGGAATTTGAAACTCTATAATTAGGTGCATGCATATTTAGTGTTGACTTTTTTTTTAATGTCTTCTTGATGAATTGGGTCCACTGTCTTGAAATGTCCCTCTATTTCTGGTAATATGTTGTGAAATAGTTTCTGAAATAGCTCACCTAGTTTTGTTTGTTTTATTGCCTTCTCTGTGTGTCTGTCTCTCCTCTTATGTCCGCTTGCATAGTTATTGACAGAAAGTCTGATGTTATTCTGTACCCCTTGTGTAAATTTTCTCTTCATTTGGACTGCTCGAAAGACTTTTTCAAATGATTGCTTTAGTCATTTGGTTAGGATGTGCCATAGTATGGTTTCCTTTGAGAAAATCCTTAGCCTTTTGTTTTGTTTTTTAGATTCTTTACATTACAACCAAATCTGGAAACACTGTCTGCCATATTTTATGACATAGACAGGCTATCCCTGTGTGCTTACATGCTATTTGCCCTTATGGTTCCTATGTTGATTGCACTGGATGAACACCCAGCTACATATATTTTGTCATTGTCTTATTTCCTTAGAATTTTTGAAAGTGGAATATTTTTCAAAGGAAGCTGAAATTTAGGTTTCTTTTTGAAAAAATATTTTAAATGTGGGTCAAATCATTTAAGAACCTTCTATCTAGAGCAGTGATGGCGAACCTATGACACGCGTGTCAGAGGTGACACGTGAACTCATTTTTTTGGTTGATTTTTCTTTGTTAAATGGCATTTAAATATATAAAATAAATATCAAAAATATGTCTTTGTTTTACGATGGTTGCAAATATCAAAAAATTTCTATATGTGACACGGCACCAGAGTTAAGTTAGGGTTTTTCAAAATGCTGACACGCTGAGCTTAAAAGGTTCACCATCACTGATCTAGAGGGTAGTTTTGAGTGACTGATTTTCAAAGACAGTAATAAATGTTTTGTTCCCTGGTGTTTACTTCCTTTTCATTTTATATTTTACCCCAAGATGGGCACATTTTCCCTACAATATTAATGTCATCAAGATGCCCAAGATTCCCCAAAGTGTATGTTTAGCGTTGCTGTCTGAGCCTTATGTTCAGCTTTCTACTTGACATTTCCAGTTGCCTGATCGATGACCATCTCAAGTTTAATGTGACCAAAATTGAATTCTTAAGTTCCTCTCTTTTAAAGAAGGGATGAATCCTTATAGATTTTCTCATGACAGATGCCTGTTTGGTTGTTAAAAGCATTCAGTTGTTGACTGTACATAGTTACTTTATTAGAACGTTTATTTTAGTAGCTTCTGATAAAATTTAACAGGTAGTTGATTATTAGAACCATCCAAATGGTGTGTTCTGATGAGCAACCTCAGAGAGTGGTGTTTATTTAATAAGGGCCAAGTTGAAGTAAAGTTCACCTTCTGTTTAAAGTCCGTGCTCTTAAAATATTGATGTACTTAAACCACAGGTTCTTTAAAACTAAACAAAATTGATTGTAAAAGACTGAACATCTGTAACCAGTATTAGTAGAATGACTTGGTCTGAATTTGAGTGCTAGGTTCTGGTATCTCGCAAATAAAGACAACAGAACACATATTGGGAATCTTGCTTAAACTCTAGTTTCTGATTTTTTTCAATGACATACTACAAAAAATAATTCAATTATCTGAGAGTTCAGTTTAAACTGATTTTTTACTGTATTAATTTTGCCTGAATACAGTGATAGGCCTGGCATTTAATTAGATTCATTTTTGCCCCCTACGGTAAGATAGATTACTTTCTCTATGGGCAAATGGTGCCCAACGGTGTTCGTTAAACATGGGTTTTAGTTTTCAAGGTAGGTTTTAAATGTTGCTATTTCTACTAAAACTCCTTGTATTAAAGGAGTTTAATACTCCTGCAATTATTTTAAAGGTGCATGCATACTTTTTAGAGTATTGTAGTTGTTGAAAGTGTAGTGAAATGATCTTTGCCACTTTAGCCAGTTGAAGTGTACAGTCAGTGGCATCAAGTGGCTGCCCATTGCCGAGCAAGGATCGCCACCATCATCTGCAGAGCCGTTCCGTCATCTCCTACTGAACCCCTGCACCCATTGGCCCTAACTTCCACCCCCTCCCTCCGGTCCCTGGCAACTGCCTGTTTACTGTTTCTGTCTCTGTGCATTTGACAGAATGCATAAATACCTCATGTAAATGGAATTATATAGCATTTGTTCTGTGAATTTATCAGTGTCCTAGTATTTGTGCCCCATCCCTCCAAAAATTTTTTTTAATATATTTTATTGATTTTTTTATAGAGAGGAAGGGAGAGAGATAGAGAGTTAGAAACATCGATGAGAGAGAAACATCGATCAGCTGCCTCCTGCACGTCTCCTACTGGGGATGTGCCCACAACCCAGGTACATGCCCTTGACCGGAATCGAACCTGGGACCTTTCAGTCGGCAGGCCGACGCTCTACCCACTGAGCCACACCGGCTTTGGCCAAAAGTATTTTTATCATGCAAGTTTTGAAAGCACTAGATTTTGGCACAGCTGTCATTCACAATATGACAGATTATATAATGGCCAGTCATCCACTAGAGAGAAAAAGGGAATAGAAAACCCTAGTTTTTGAATGATCCACAGAGTCAGAGGAAAATGGACATGGGGCTCATAGGCCACACCCACCAAGTAGGGCGCTGGGTTGATTCTACTTGGGGGCATTATTTTGGCTTCATCAGGGAGATGCCATTCCGATTGATAAGGGTTCATTAAATAGCATTACAGTAAGTGCATATTATTAGGGAAGTAGAGAGTGTCTTTGTGGGTTGACAAATAGTACTTTTGCTGGTGTCGGTGGCAGTTTGCAGGAAGTTTGTAAAGGCAGATTGGAGCTATCAGATTGTTAGCCATCAGAAGCCTTTAAGCCGCAGTGGTTCTCAACCTTCTGGCCCTTTAAATACAGTTCCTCCTGTTGTGACCCAACCATAAAATTATTTTCGTGGCTACTTCATCACTGTCATGTTGCTACTGTGATGAATCGTCATGTAAATGTCTGATATGCAGGATGGGCTTAGGCGACCCCTGTGACAGGGTCGTGTGGCCGCCACAGGGGTCGCGACCCACAGGCTGAGCACCGCTGCTCTAAGGGTCTTTGATAATGTTTACGAGGAGAAGCTCTGGAGCTAGACTCCTTGTGTTCATGCTCTATGCTACGCCTCTTACTGTGTGACCCTGGACACACTGCTCACCATCTCTGTGCCCCAGCAATCCTACTTATCAAATGAGATGGTAATTACAATGACTCAGAAGATTGCAGTTAGGGTTGAATGAATGAAAACGGATCCAGTATTTAGGAAAGTGTCTGGCACACAGAAAAATCTCAGTAAGCCTCAGCTCTGGTTGCTATAGTCATAAGCCTGGAGGAAAAAGTCAGAGTTTACAGTCGCGCTCTTTTAGCCAGAACTAGAGGTACAAAAAGACTGAAGAGATACTTTAGGGGTCGAGTGAACAAGGCTGCAACTTATTTTATTTTTTGTTAATCCTCACCTGAGGATATTTTTCCATTGATTTTTAGGGAGAGTGGAAGAGAGGGGGAAAGACAGAAACATCGATGTGAGAGAAACACGTCGATGGGCTGCCTCCTGCACGCGCCCCGATCAGGGCCGGGCCTGGGAGGAAGGGCGTCACCCTACTTACTGGTTTTATGTAACTGGAATTGCAACTAATAATCCCGTCCGCGTGCAGCATCAAAACAGGTTTGAAATTGGTACAGCATTGTCATGGTTTGCAAATCTATAGAACTTAACATTTTCGAATTTGTGTTTTCTTTTAGATCTTACAGAGAATTTCAGCGGTAGCCCTGGGACGAGAAGCTGCAGTAACAGAAGCCGTGTATGATGCATTAGGCTATTGAAGAAAAGTAATTTTTGAATTAAATATTTGGAATAGAAGGGAGGAAAGGTGACCGAAAATGGGGCGGAAGAAAATACAAATCACACGCATAATGGATGAAAGGAACCGACAGGTAAATGAACGTCTTCATTCATCTATTTAACAGATGTAAATATTTTTTCTTTAAAAAGGAGTGTAGGATAAACGTTGAATTTTTCTTACATATAATTTTAAGTCTAAATATTTTTATTTTTAGACTAAATTACATATTTTAGCAATCAGAAAGTTTTGCCTTTTTATCATGTGCTTTAAGGAAACACTTTATTTCAGAAATCATATGTGTTAATTAACAAAAACATAGGCAGAAAGAAGAAAAGTAAAATCCCTGCAGTGATTTTATGTACACTAATTGTGTACATTTTTCATAATATATTTGTTCTTCTGTACATTTCATTATTAGTGCCTACATATTGATCATTTAAAATTATCACCTCTATTTTCATATGTAGGTAATTCTTAAGTTAACCACAGCTATCAGTGAATGTGTTCTGGTCAGTTACATTTTCAGGTTAACCAACAAATAATCATATTTTTTTACAACTCTTGTTATCATAAATATTCTACATCATTTATGTACCGGGTGGGCAAAAGTAGGTTTACAGTTGTTTGTATAGAAATAATCTATAATAATAAAAGCGTAATATGCTAATTAGACCAGATGTCCTTCCAGTCGAAGCCGGGGCTGCGAGGGGAGCCCGGGTCCCAGGTGAGGCCCAGGTCCTGGGTGCCAGAGGGAAGCTGGTGCTGGCAGCTGGGGGAAGAAAGGCCTACTCTTGGCACGAATTTCATGCATCGGGCCTTCAGTAAATCTATACTAATAAAAGGGTAATATGCTAATTAGACCAGACATCTTCCAGACGTCCTTCCTGACAAAGCCAGGCCTGGGCAAAGCCCCCTGCTTGTGGTCCTGGGTGCCGGCACCTGCAGCTGCGGCTCAGGGGAGAGAGAAAAGCTGCACACCCCACAGTCCCAGGTGCCTGTGGCCAGCCAGAGTGAGGGAAGCCCAGGTCCTGGGTGCCTGCGGCTGGCTGGAGTAGGGAATCCTGGGCCCCAGGTGCGGCGCTGAGGCAGAGGCGGTTAGGAGCAATCAGGCCGGCAGGGGAGCAGTTAGGGGCGATCAGGCTGGCAGGGGAGCAGTTAGGGGCAATCAGGCAGGCAGAGGTGGTTAGGAGCAATCAGGCTGGCAGGGGAGCAGTTAGGGGCGATCAGGCAGGCAGAGGTGGTTAGGGGCGATCAGGCAGGCAGAGGTGGTTAGGGGCAATCAGGCAGGCAGAGGTGGTTAGGAGCAATCAGGCTGGCAGGGGAGCAGTTAGGGGCGATCAGGCAGGCAGAGGTGGTTAGGGGTGATCAGGCAGGCAGAGGTGGTTAGGGGTGATCAGGCAGGCAGAGGTGGTTAGGGGTGATCAGGCAGGCAGAGGTGGTTAGGGGCGATCAGGCAGGCAGGCGAGCGGTTAGGAGCCAGCAGTCCCAGATTGCGAGAGGGTTGTTCGACTGCCGGTTGGGATTGAGCCTAAACCGGCAGTTGGACATCCCCTGAGGGGTCCCAGATTGGAGAGGATGCAGGCCGGGCTGAGGGACACCCCCTCCCATACACAAATTTTGTGCACCAGGCCACTAGTAATAAATAATAATACAATAATAAACTGTGTTTTGCTTGTGCACAACAATTTGTGTTTGAGAAGGTCTTCATTTCTTTTAAAGTACAATTTTTCAAGATACAGAATTTCAGGTTGGTGGGCCCTCCCCCGCCCTCAGACACTTGAAGCGTATCAGCGTTCTCGTCCGCATTGCGTGTGTCTGAGGAGAACTTGGATGTAGTTCTTACATTTACACTCATGTGACAGGGTGCTTTTTTCCCCTCTGGCTTCTTTGAAGATATTCTTACCTTTGATTTGTATAGCTTCCATATCATATGCCTTGCTCTCGTTTCTGGGCGTGGAGGGGTTTTTGTTTGTTTGTTGTTTGCGTTTATTTTGCTTGGTGTTCTTTGAGCTTCCCGGATCTGTGGTTCGGTGTCTTAACATTAATTTGGGGGAATTCTCAAATGTTCTGATTTAAACATTTCTTCTGTTATTTCTCTTTCTTCTCTTGCTGCTATTTACAGCTTCTGTTGACATGGCCTCAAGCTTGGAGGTTTCTCCCTCATTAGTTCCATCCTGCTGAAGGACCCATCAAAGGCAATCATTTGTTAGTGTTTTTATTGCCAGCATTTAAAAAGAATTTTTTAGGAAAAGAATTTCCACCTCTCTGCTTACCTGTTGTCTACTTTTTCCATGAGAGCCTTAGTATGGTAATCATAGCTGTTTTGAATTGCTGGTCCGATAATTCCAACATCTCTTTTTATTTTTATTGATTTTTAGAGTGCAAGGGAGGAAGAGAGACAGAGAGAAACATCGATGTGAGAGAGACACATCGCTTAGCTGCCTCCCTCGCGTGCCCTGATTGAGCCTGCAACTGAGGTACATGTCCTCGACTGGAATCGAACCAAGGCCCTTCAGTCCTCAGGCCGATGCTCTACCCACTGAGCAACACCGCCTAGGGCTGATTCCAGCAGGTCTGCCGTGCTTCTGATGCTTGCTCTGTGTCTGCAGACTGTTTCTTACCCTTGAGTAAGCCTTGTAAGTGCTGAAAGCCAGAGGTGATGCCCTAGGAAGGAACGGCAGGAACAGGCCCCGGGACTGTGGTGGTGGGGGGAGCGGGCGTGTTCTGGAGCCTCGCTGAGATATAGACTAAGTTGTGAACAGAAGTGACCACTGACTTCAGTCACACAAACGGAAGGATATGGGGATGTTAACAAGTCTTCATGGATCTCGGGGAATGGAGTCTGATGGCAGCAGGTTGAGGCAAATGGGGGGCATGAGATTGGAGAAGGTATAGGTGTTTCTATCAGGCATGTGCACTGGGTACCTGGGTTTTGAAGGGGAAGGAGGGAAAAATAATTTAAAAGAGACTGGGGAGCACAGGGACGAATCTTCCAGGCTGAACAAACAAAGATGGGTCTCTGCTGGAGAGGCCTGCAGCATGGGAAGAGCGTTCAGAGGACATCAGGGAGCGGCTGGTCCTAGGCCGTGCGTTTCAGTGGGTGCAACACGAGGGCTTGGGAAAGGACGCGTTAGGTCAGGTGTGCTCAGTTCAGTTGTGTGGGGAAGAGTCGAGGGAGGAGGGGTTCCTGGAGGGAGGACTTGGGGTTTCTGGTGGGAACCATTTTAAGCCAGACGGTCAGGGGCCACTGGCACCTGTTTCCTTCTGTGGTCCTTTGCCTTCTGCAGTAGAACAGGGCCAGGGGTAAAGCAATAACCCCTAGGAGGCTGCCCTACCAGAGCCTGTGGAGGTACAAGATCCACATGGGACTGTTGTACTATGGCCCAGAGCCCATGGAGATACCAGATCCACATGGGACTGTCGTACTATGGCCCAGAGCCCATGGAGATACCAGATCCACACGGGACTGTTGCACTATGGCAGATGGGGGGAGGTAGAGGCTAATGGGGAGTGTGAAGCTAGGAACCTTTTCCATCTTCAAACTCACACTCAGCATTAAGAAGACTCAGTTTCAGGGAGCCTATATTCAAGGACTACTAATGCTTTTTACACGTGTTTTTAATTGATTTTTAGAAAGAGAGGAAGGGAGAGGGATGGAGATATAAAAACATCGATGAGAGAGAAACATCATGGATCGGCTGCCTCCTGCACACCCCTTCCCCCCCCCCCCCCCCCCCCCCACTGGGGATGGAGCCCGCAACCCAGGCCTGTGCCCCGACTGGGAACGGAACCCTGACCTCCTGGTTCCTAGGTCGGCGCTCAGCCGCTGAGCCCCGCCGCCGGGCGACTACCGAAGCTTTGAATAAAAATGGCCTTTTCCCCCTGGCCCGCCTAGGTCACCTTTACGAAGAGGAAGTTCGGGCTGATGAAGAAGGCCTACGAGCTCAGCGTGCTCTGCGACTGTGAGATCGCGCTCATCATCTTCAACAGCTCCAACAAGCTGTTCCAGTACGCCAGCACCGACATGGACAAGGTGCTGCTCAAGTACACCGAGTACAACGAGCCGCACGAGAGCCGGACCAACGCGGACATTGTCGAGGTAACCGTCCTCTCCGCCTGAGCGCAGGCGTGACCACGCCTTCCTTTAGCAGCGGTACCTGTTAGATGCTTTCTGCATCCCAGATCTAGACCAGTCATAGACACATCTTGTCTCGGAATCATTTCTTTGTTTTTAAATATATTTTTATAGATTTCAGAGAGGAAGGGAGAGGGGGAGAGAGATCGAAACATCGGTGATGAGAGAGATCATGGATCGGCTGCCTCCTGCACGCCCCCCACCCCCACCCCCACCCCCCGGGGGTCGAGCCTGTGACCCGGGCGCTCGACCATTGAGCCCGCCGGCCGGGCTGGATCATTTCCTGGGAGGATGTAGTTGTTGCACGGGATGAACCACTGTGGCTACAAACGTGCCCTCCTCATGGGGACACAGTAAACGAGGCTGTCGTACCACAGGCCCAGCATCCTCTAGCACATCCCCTGTTTTTAAGTTAATATTCTAAGAAACGATTATCACTGAGTTACAGTTTTAATGTCTTAATTGTGTGATTATGTCAGTGATTGCCCACAACTCTAACCACTAATGAAGTGAAAGGAAGGGATGTCAATACGATTTCTCTTTTGCTAATGGCGATTTAGCTGTGGGGGAGGGATGCCCTCATTTTCCTCCATCTGCTGCCCGTCAGTATCGTAATTCCGCCAAAGGAAAGAGATGGGATTGTTTTCAGAACGATTTCTCTCTATTCAGAGATGGTGTTTTAAAGGGAAGCCTTCAAAAAGAGGACCAACATGCTTCCCCTTGCAAACTCTTGTCATAAAAGCTAGCATCCCATGTATATTCCTAATGGCGTTTAGTTAGCTCAGTCTGTACTTTTGTCTTATTTGTTATATTTGGAGATTTTGCTTCATTTTTATTCATATTTATTTTACTCCTTGAAAAGAGAGACACTTTGGCTTAATCTTGTAATATTAGAAAATGATTTCAATAATTAGGTATTTCCTTGGTGAAAGTACTGAAACCATGTGAAATGATGCATAACTAACTATAAAAGAAGGAATGAAGCTCCAATCTAGATTTCATTCAAATCATTGAAATTTAGGTGAAGATACTTTATTGTGTAGGAATCTGTTTGCTGCCACAGATTTTATTATAGATCTGACAATGAGATCTATGTTTTCCCTATATTTCTCTGCCTTAGCCATTCCTTTTTTCCCAGTAATTGTGACTGCCAAAAAAAAAAAAATTCTCCTACTTGTATTAAAAGAGCCCTTCTGTTACTTTTAAAGCAGTTAATTGTTTGAAAATAGAAGGAAAAGTGCAGCGTAATTACAGTGAGGACCCGTGTCTGCTGCTTGATTTGCCGGGTTGTATTTCAGTGGCTCACTCGAGGAGCGTCCCCTGACCGTGTCTGGCGCTTTTGTTTGGCGCTTGTTGAGCACTTCGCTTAAACTGCGCGGTGACGTCGTTGGCCACGCCCCTTCACTGTAAATTACTGTAATCATTGAGCATTTTTGGTCCATCTCATCACGTACATCCAGCACGAACTATTCAGCAGCCTTTTCCCTTCATACAGACACAATGAATTTTGAGTCAGAACTTTGTAAATGAGGAGATCACCATTCAGGTTCGCTTTAACAGAGATCTCATAACTGGATTTTCTGGAAATGGGGATGATCCCTGTGTGTCTAGTTTAAAACGATATCTTCTTTTTAAAATCTCGATTTCTTATAAAAGGTTGTAGTGCCTTAAGTTAACCAAAAAAAACAGAGTTGACTAATACTGTCAACAAATAGATGTCGGAGCTCGTTTCCCGTGGAAGGCGCGGCCACCTTCTGACCCTGATTCTCTGCTCTGTGACGGGGGCAGCAGTGTCGCTCTGGCACAGGCAGCGTGTGCCTGCTCAGAGACCAGGGAGAATACGGTCTCACTCGGTCCTCCCAGAGCTTCCAGGAGACACTCCGTCTTCATCTCTGCGCCAGAGTGTCGGGGAGCAGGTCTCGGCACTTCTCAGCCGTCTCCTGTGTTGCTACATCTGCTTGAGTAGGAAGGAGAACTTTCGCAGCCCAGGTATCCACTGGGATTCTGGTATTTTCTTATAGTTCGAATTTGTAGAGGGAACATAACTCTTACCAGCAGGTTTTTATGAAGTTCATAAATGCAAAGGGTAGGAGACAGTTGATGATAAGGGACTCATTTGTTGTGGTAGAATGCATGCTAAGCTTGCTTCTCCTTTGCTGTGTGTTAATGCCTTGCTGAGGTCGCCTGCGTTTAAGACAGCGGTGGGTGCACCTGTAAGATGTTCTTTCTCCCACATAGAAGGTGCTACAACTCAGCCTCACTAGCAGTGCACACACGTCTGAGTCCTTCTACCAGCCGTGGCCCTGGCTTATGCTCATGCAGCACAGACTCTGAGCCACACAAGTTCACCAGATAAGAGAAATGACAAATCCTCATATCGAGCTGCCTAGGGCCCAGACACTTCACAGTGCTTTACAGATATCTCACTGAAAGATATTTTTAGAATGCGATTGTAAGTATTTCCCCTTTTCAGCGTTCCCTTTCAAACAGCCGTAGTCATTGCAAGCCCACTTTCTGATGTCCATTTGCTCATTTGACAGCAGTAACTGGGGGCTCCTGTGAGCGTGGGCTCTGCAGTGGTGTTATTGGAGAGCTCCAGCTCCAGCCAGTGCCCTGTTCCCCCTGCCCAAGTTTGCTAACCCATTGAGATCAGCTTTTTCCAGCTGAGGATTTTACACCCACGAACTTCTAACACGTGGGTGTGCGGTGGTCTAGACTCTTTAGCCTTCTCATGTAGCATGAAATGGAAGCATATAAACCGCTATAAGTGGTCGACTCTAGTGTGTTTCCTTAGGCAATATGGTCAAGTGTAACTAACTGGAAACCTGGTGAGCAGTTTTCCTAAGGCCTCTAGCTGAATTCACTGATTTCCGGGTGCATATTTGTTCATCCCTACAATCGGCAGGATTTTACCTGAATGCCCTCTGGCAGAGCGCTGACTATTAAAGTGGAGTCAACTGTAGATGCATTTCCATGTGTCCTACACACCAGCCCTTTGGGGACGCACTGTGAAGAGAGAGGGCGGGTGTCCTGTGTTGTTAGCCACACTTGCATGGTCTGCAGCGTGAGGACACGTGTGTTGTGCCTGTAGAGTTGGATCTGTATGTTGTCTGGGAGCGCTGTGCTAAATACATGCTAAAGCTGTTGGTGTTGGAATCTTGCGGGATAAACAGATAGTGAGAAAGACACGACACTCATTTACCCACCGTTCAATTTTTAAAAAGAATATTTTTATTGATGTCAGAGAGGAAGGGAGAGGGAGAGAAACGTCAATGATGAGAATCATGGATCGGCTGCCTCCTCCACGCCCCACGCCGGGGATCGAGCCCACAACCTGGCATGTGCCCTGACTGGGAATCAAACTGTGACCCCCTGGTTCATAGGTGGACACTCCCCCACTGAGCCAGGCCGGCCGGGCACACCCTCGTGTGCAGTAGGGTTTGTGTAGGGGAGTGATCAGGGTAAGGAAGGGGCAGGTGGAGACAGTTGATGGGGAGAGCACCTTGAACACCAGGCTGTGGCATTTGACTTTTGTCCCATGGCCCTTGGCCACAGAAAATGAGCATTTTAAAGAGGTTTACAGCTTTTGAAAATAGACTGTTCTCTCATCTCTTAATTCCATAGGTTGTTAGTAATGCTGAGGTGTAGGAAGAAGAGTGCGTCTCATTGGGGAAGGGAGAGTAAGTGGGGTGCAGGCTGTGTCCTGAAGGAAAAGTCCGGGTGCTTCTGCTGACAGGTGGCCTGTGCCTCCCGGCCCCCCCCCCCCGCCCCCCCCAACACACACACTGCAGGGCCTACGCAGCCAGCCGTGTGCTCTGGGAAAAGCCACCTTCACGGGAAGTGTAACCCGCACTGGAAAGGCAAAATGATCAGACTTCTTAGAAGATAAATAGGAAAACGTCTGCATCATGTTGAGGAAGGGAAAGCGTCTTATACAAGACATAAAAATTACTGCCATCAGGGAAAACTGTAAAGGAGAAAGGGGGTACATTCGACTTTATTACCATTAAGAATCATTTTCATCCAAAGACAAGTATTAAAAAACATGCCAAAGAATGGGGAAAGGGTTTTACAGCGCATGCAATTAGCAAAGGACTTGTGTTGATTACAAATAAAAAATGGCTCTAAAGCAATAAGGAAGAGAAACAGCTCAGGAGAAAACTTGGCAAAGGACTTGACAGGCACTTCACACAAGAGAAAACCCAAATGGCCAGTAGATATGACATGTGCTTGATTGTCTTAGTCATGAGAGCAACGCAGACTCAGTCCTCGTCGCAGGTGGGAAATGTCCGCTGATACAGCTGCTGAGGAACAGTGTGGCTTCGTCTGGTCCAACTGAAGAACATTTTATGAACTAACAGCTTCACTCAAATACTTTAGAGAGATGTGTGCAGATGTGTAGACTATCTGCACACATGTACATTCGGCCCAGCCGGTGTGGCTCAGTGGTTGAGGGTGGACCCGATCCATGATTCTCTCTCATCACTGATGTTTCTCTTTCTCCCTCTCCCTTCCTCTATCTGAAATCACTGATTGGCTGCCTCTTGCATGCCCCCTATTGGGGATCGAGCCTGCTACCCGGACATGTGCCCTGACCAGGGAATTGAACCGTGACCTCCTGGTTCACGGGTCGATGCTCAACCCCTGAGCCACGCCGGCCAGGCATGATGTACTTTTCTTTATGTATGCTTCACAATGAAAATAAAAAAAAAGTTAATACATTTTCACCTTGTCTAGGAAACATAAGAAGTGTCTTTCAAAATTGGGGACAATTATTAAAAATGGGGAAAAGGAGAACTTTTCTCATTTAAAAAATCCTAATGGTCTAAGTTCCTTGCGACTTATGACATCATTCTGTTATTTCACACGGGCTCATTTGTACCTGGTGCTCCATCTGACTAATTCCCCATCCAGCCGGCACCCAGGGAGCCTGCGCTGCTCAGCTGCCTGCGGACGGGAGGGTGAGGGTGAGGTGGGTGGCGAGAGCGGGCGGGATGTAGTGCTGAGCTGCCCGGGCAGTTAAACCCCAGCGGACACCTTTGAGTACTTGCAGGCCCGTGGTTTCCCTTCTGAGCGCGGAGGCTGTTCGTTTGGAGTGGGATTTGACAGTTACCTTCCCAGAATGGAGCGCACACTGAGGAACATGCCAGTTCTCTTAGGCAGGAGTTAAACACGCAGCTTCTCAGGCGGCTCCGGGGGCCGTGGAGCGAGGCTGGCCTGTGTCTCCTCCGCCTCGCCCGGCCGCGCGCAGATCACAGCATTCCGCCCTTAGCGCCGGCCCGGAGCCCTCGCCTGGCCTGCGTGGTCACGATAAGGAGACGGAAAAGGCCTTTTTAGGAAGCGGGTCCTCAGCACCGCTCTCCGTGCCGGCGATAAGGACGCAGCTGGCTCCCGGCAGGGGCACATTAGTTCCTTATCTGCGCTGATAGCGGCTGGCATTCCCTCCGGGACCGCGGTGAGAGCCGCTCCCCTCCCGGAGGGCAGGCAGGCTGACCCGCCGCTGTGCAGGGAACGCGGGTGTAACTGCCAAACAGGCCATGCTTCTTCGTAACAAACGGTGTTCAGAGAGACACGCACTCGGGGATCGCTGTTGGTGAAAGCAGTCCGCTCGGAAGGCTGAAGAGGAGGGAGCCGTCGGGGGGCGTGGGGCTGGGAGAAGTCGGCCGCCTCATGATGACATGTGCGGAGGCACCTGCTGTGTGTTCCGTGTCAGGGCTGTGCGGGCATGGAGTTCCTCGGAGCAGAGTTCTGAGTGTTAACACCTTCCTGCGATAGCAGCTCGCGGGCTTTGGCAGGGCGGCCGCTGCGGGGGGAGGGCGCCTGTCCTCATCCTGGGTTCCAAACAGCAGGACCTTTTATGGCCAAGCGCACGGCGTCCCTGTGCTGGGGGAGACCGCGGCCCGAGGGCTGGGACCAGCTGCAGTGCGTGCTGGATGCTGTGGTCGGGGACCGGTGGGTGTCGGGCATTGTGCGTGGGGCTCCTAGCCCATCCCGAGTAGTTTGAGACGCTAATATATCTGTACTAACGGTTTCTGATGGTTCTTTAAGCATGAAAAGAAAATCAAGTTTAGTGAAGTGAAATCGTAAAATAACTACTTCAGAGAAACTAAGGAAAAAGTCACAAATCGTAATGTATTGTGTGATTTTTACTTCTTCCAAGAAAAGAGGAGTAAAAGTGGCACTCACAATTATCCTAAGTCATGTTTTAAAGGAGGCCACAGTCCATCACTGTGGATTAATTAAAAAGATTCCTCAATCGAATTTAAATAATTATTAACGAGCTTACCTACTGCTGGTCTATGGATCAAACCATTTCCTACCTAAATGAACTCTGGGAGGTAGGCTTACCTGGAAAATGTCACCTTCCTAGAACTTCCCTTTGGTTGGCTGGGACATCAACAAATCTCAAAGCTACTTAAGGTGTTGGACCCAGGAATTCTACTGTGAAATAAGACCCACGAGGACTTTTAAAAACAGACCTTCTAGAAGTGAGTTAGTGTTCCATAGATCGTCAAGCCCTTGGTTTTAAATACTGGACAAATCATTTCATGATGATTTTTCATTTAAAAACTTTAAAAGTAGAAACCCAGCCGTGCACAGCATTTTCACTATATTAGGAAGAAGAAGAAGAAAAGTCATTTTGGTGCAGGGATACTTGCTGACATTCGAGAAAATTCTCCAGGAAGTCACTTGAGTGGATTAAGTTAACCCATGAAGCGCTATGGAAAGAGCCGGGGAGATAATGCTGGGTCACTTATTTTTACAAATTTTAAAGAGATGTAAGGGCGCTAATACGTTCATTCTATACAGGAAGGAGTCGTTACTGTCATATATTAAGTATTTGAGTTTGTATACTTCAAAGTTATGTAGGAAAATGATCGTATCTCAGAGCAGGTGAAGGAGGAAATTTTGGGGATATTGTGCTGATTTGATTCTCTCTGGGGATTAGGATAAACTCTCAGCACAGTCAGTAGATGAAGTTGCTGAAATGTCCATTTTTTTAAGGTGCCATCCTGACTTCTCGGGGTGTCATGATGATACATTTCTGTTCCGGTTCCCACGCCCATTAGCCCTCGGATATGGGGGTGAGGCGTCATCAGGGTGGGCTGAGGCTGGAGAGCAGTGAGCCATGGGTCAGAATTCTCTTGGGAGTTCGGAAAGGAAGGGTCCACCCAAATACCCCTTTGCTGTTGGGGTGCAGCGGGAACATGGATTTTGCTTCTGCCTCACCGAGGAGTCAAGTCCATGTGACCATGTGAGACCATGCCCGTGGCTCCTGTGCGCTCGTAGTCGATGTTACAGAAAACCTCGCGGCACGTCAGTATCCTGTGTGTGTGAACTTTCCAATTGTATTTCAGACGTTAAGAAAGAAAGGCCTTAATGGTTGTGAGAGCCCCGATGCTGACGATTACTTTGAGCACAGTCCACTCTCGGAGGACAGACTCAGCAAACTAAATGAAGAGGGTGATTTTATTTTCAAACGAGGCCCTGTAAGTACTTCCCTCGCCTCACCTTGTGATGTGTTGATCCTTTCTGTTAACTTCATCGTCTAGGCTCTGAACAAGAAGGAGCACCGAGGGTGCGACAGCCCAGACCCCGATACTCCCTATGTGCTAACGCCACACACAGAAGAGAAGTATAAAAAAATTAATGAGGAATTTGATAATATGATGCGGAATCATAAAATCGCAGTGAGTACTAACGTCTGGCTTGTGCTTTTAACTTGTGCATGAAGAGGCTGACCACACGCCTTGTGTATTTTCAGTGACGGCAGTGATGAGGAGGAGGAGGGAAAAAAGCATATTTGACTTTATAGAACTTTAGGTCAAAATCGCTGAAATCTTACCACACGTGTTCAGTGCCTTAGACATAGGCGTGAGGAGAAGCGCTCTGGTCAGGCTCGCTTCCCACTGCGCCCTGTGCCTGTGGGGAGGGCACCTGCCACATCCCGGATTTGTTTCCTTCTCTGTAAAGGAGTGAGTTGCCTCACGTCATGTTTAAGGTCACGTCAGCTCTAAATTTCAGCGATTTTAACTGTGGGGTGCCTATGACTGCCCTCTCCCTCCTAGGACTTAAAAAATATTTCATGCACTTTAAATAGATCTTGAGACTATGGGGTATAAAATGGTTAGATTTATTAAAAAATTTGCTGTTTCAGAATTATTATGAAAATATATTTTTATTGATTTCAGAGAGGAAGGGAGAGAGGGGGAAACATCAATGATGAGAGAGAATCATGGATTGGCTGCCTCCTGCACGCCCCCTACTGGGGATGGAGCCCGCAACCCGGGCAGGTGCCCTGGCTGGGAGTTGAACTGCGACCTCCTGGTTCACAGGTCGACGCTCAACCACTGCGCCCGCTGGTGGGGCTCAAAATTATTTTTCCTCGTGTTGTGTAGTTGCTGTCATAGCAGCAGCTCACTGCCTGGCTCTTTGTAAATGTCGTCACACCACTTGGCAGCAACATCTGTGCTTTGCTGAGCCCGTGGGCACCGAGGAAGGGAGCCCTGGATCTAGTGCAGTTTCAGCAGCAGCTTCTTAACCCGGTTGCAGAGTGAATAGGCGTTCAGAGCTGTCCACGCTCTCACCTCCAGCCATAAGGAAACGGTCTTTCTTTGAGCTCATGCTCCTTGGACAGCCCTTCAAAGCGTTCTCATTGGAAGTCCCGTTGGCAAGAGCTCCTCACGGCAGCTGTTGTGAATCTGCGTTTCAAACGCTGTGAGTGTGCTGTAGGCCTCACGGGACACATTGGTTGTGATGCTGATACTTACTTTACCGTCAGAGTTAATGCTCTTAAAACTACGCTCTGAGGCATGCGTCATGGGTTGTTTCTTCAGAGCAGTCCCATACTGTACGCGCCACTCATGGAAGATAGACTTAAGGACGTATTTTTGTGCTAGTACCGTCATTGTCTTTAAAAACAAAACAATAGCAAACAGAAAACTAAAATTCCTTCTGACCTCATAGAGATGTTGGTGACCCTGCAGTTAATGCTAAGCTGCAAAAAAATATTGTGTCAATAAAAGTGTTTACCTTTGAAAAATTTTTAAATCTTATATCCACTGTTTCGTGTCTGTTAATGAATTATAATTTTCTACCTGAAATAAACTATTGAATAGGATATATAAACTGTATTCTTCCAACGTTGAATTAGTGTTTCCTAACTTTGCAAATCACTTTAAAAAAGTCTGAAGAGGAAAGGTTTTCCTCTCATTTTAAATTATAAAAAGGATTGTTATTTATCATCTGTGGAAATTGGTCTATGCCGGAATGAGAGGAAAATGGAAAACTCTTTAAAGAGGGTGTGGACTGTTGGAGGGAAGGAAGAGAGCAGTGATAATAGTTATAATTTAATCATCAGACAATTCAGAGAGAGCCTGTCAGTTGTTAATTTTATTGTTTAGATTATTTTTTCCCCTTCGTTACACCCGGATTGCTTTGTGCTACATATGTAACTTAGTTGTTGTTTTTAGTTTTGCCCATCAAGAATGTCAGTCAATTAAATCATTGCAGGGTTATTTATAATGTCTGAAATTATTAAGTTTATAATATTTCTACACACTTTGCCCTTTTTATTATAATGGGAATCTCCCAATAGAAATGTAATGTGACTAAACTGGTTTCATTGAAGTGATGATTTATGCTTAACTTGGTAACACGATATATTTTGTAATGTCTAAATTTGACCACATACTTTAACATTAGGTGGACTTTTTCATCTCTGAATGTTTGAAATATATAACATATACATTATGTCGGAATATATGTATTAATACATAAACAATGGAAAAGGTTCATGTGAAGCATACTCCTGTTTAAATATAATTCTAAAGGAAAGAGCTTACACCTGCGAGTGGAAGATTTATAAGGATCTGTCCCCATCCTCTGCTTTTAATAACGAGTTAGTTGGTGAAGTTCATAAGTGAATGCGTTTGATGGAAATGAACCTGACAGCTTCTCTGCTTGTTTGTCCTTTACAGCCGGGGCTGCCGCCTCAGAACTTCTCCATGTCCGTCACGGTCCCCGTGAGCAGCCCGGGCGCGCTGTCCTACACCAGCCCCGGGAGCGGCCTGGTGTCCCCGGCCTTGGCCGCCGGCTCCGCGTTGGCGGACTCGGGCATGCTCTCCCCGCCGCAGGCCGCGCTGCACAGGACCGTGTCCCCCGGCGCCCCGCCGCGGCCGCCCAGCACTGGCAGTGCGGGTAGGTGGTGACGGCTGTGCTGGCAGCTCTTTGTCAAAAAGGGTAAAAAAAAACAAACCAAATTGCTACCCTAAGCAGTTCTTAATGCTGCTGCTCTTACCTTTATTGTTTTAATAAACAATAACTGGCTTTCTTTTCAAGTATTTTTAAAAATATATTGTTATTGACCTCAGAGAGGAAGGGAAAGGGAGGGAGAGAGAGAAACATCAATGATGAGAATCATGGATCGGCTGCCTCCTGTACACCCGCTCCCCCCCCACACACACACACACTGGGGATCGAGCCAGGTATCTGCCCTGAGCAGGAATCAAACCTCGACCTCCTGGTTCATAGGTCGATGCTTAACCCCTGAGCCACACCGGCCAGGCTCAAGTATTTTTTGACAATCTGCTGTGGCTCTCGCACCGCGGCAGGTCCAGGGGAGCGGTATATGCCACCTGTCAGCCCTCCTCATGGGACAGCCATGCTTGCACGGGCAGGACATCCTGACAGAGGTTTAAAGCGGCGTGGGCCGTTCATGCTGAAAATGGCGGAACGGACTCAGCTGACTGGAGTTGGTGCTTCTGCATCTCTCCCTGCCCGGATGGTTCATTACTCAGCGGGATTCGTGGTGCGCTGCCGGCCTCCCTCGGTGCGCGCCTCCCCGTGCCTGGTCGGTAGCGCTCCCTGAGCACTGCTCACCCAGCAGCGAGCACTGTCTGCACTGACACCCGCCAGGCAGGCACACGCAGGGCCGGCAGCGAGCGTGTGCAGGGCGGGCAGAGCAGGCCGACAGCTGCGAGTGTGCGGCAGTTCATCCTCGCATTGTTACTGATTAATGTATTTATATTGTGCTTGTATTATGGTCGTTGTTATCCTTACTTATATGAGTTATCGCTTAGGGAGTGATGGCCTGTAACTTCACCTATGTACGTTACCCGTCAATGCCAAGTTCAGACTGGCCGGGTGTTCCTTAGGCGTGGGGCGAGGCCACCTCCGTGCACTTGCTTCAGATGCTGATGAGGAGGCGGTTCCTACTCACCCCTGTCCTCTCTCCTCCTCTCTCCCTCCCAGGTGGGATGCTGAGCTCCTCGGACCTCACGGTGCCCAATGGAGCCGGGAGCAGCCCCGTCGGTGAGTGGATCCTGCGCTCGCGCGTTGTAGGCAGCTGCCGGCCGTGGTGGAGGGAATGGTCCCCCCCACGGGCCGCTGCCGATGAGGGAAGGGGTGCGTGGCATTCCCTTGTAGCCTGGTTTCTCCCTGAGGGTACGTCTGCCTCACGTTTCCTGGTAACTCCCCGCTTTATTCCTCACACCGTGGCCTGGAGTTCAGTTCTCAGTTACCTGTGGCGAGCCCCCTCCCAGCAAGGAATTATTCTTTTCTAAAGTCTAAATCGCCACAGCACAACTTTTACATCAACACCGTCAAGGAGAAGCTTTCTGTAGCATCTCTTCTCCCAAAATTAGACTAACAGGCCACCGACCATCTGACAGCGGGAGATGTGGGCAGGGAGCTGCCGGGAGGCACTGGCGGCTGCTTCAGGCACAGAGAAGCGAGCAGCGGGTCCGCGGGCGCTGGTGGTCACGGCAGGACACTCACATGGTGGCGTGGTCGCAGCCCGCTGGTTTCTCACTTCAGGATCCTCCCAAGGGGACTTAAACCCTTAAACCCCTGTCACAGTGTGTCCGCCCCCGCCCAGGAGGCTGGAGAAGAGAGACTGTGCTCTTACCATGACAGTACGCATGCGTGCCCGAGGTCCCAGGACAGCTGTATGCCTCTGCGTTGCCGTCCTACTAAGGCAGTGGTTCTCAACCTTCTGGCCCTTTAAATACAGTTCCTCCTGTTGTGACCCAACCATAAAATTATTGTCGTGGCTACTTCATCACTGTCATGTTGCTACTGTGATGAATCGTCATGTAAATATCTGATATGCAGGATGGGCTTAGGCGACCCCTGTGAAAGGGTCGTTCGACCGCCAAAGGGGTCGCGACCCACAGGTTGAGAACCGCTGGGCTAAGGCATCCTGGTCTCCGATCTGGGGTTACCGTCCTAGTGACCTGAGAGGAAACACAGGCGCTCCTCTCTGCCTTAGCACGGCTGTGGGTCCGGGAGACTTCTAGGGACAGTTCCCACGCCTCCCGCTCATTCACACAAACGGAACCAGCTTCTCCTCGAGTAAACGATGAGATGTGGAATAACTTGATTTACGTTGAAGAGAAATAAACAGGCTCATTAGTAAGACAAGCTACAAACATTGCGGCCTGACGTCGGAATAAATGCCCAATTATATTTGCCACCGTGTTAAGTGCTAGTTAAACGGAATTAAACAGGTAAGACCGGTTGTAGGATCTGTTAAAATAGATAATTAACGTGCAGAAATTTATAAAGGCCTCACCAGTTATCCGTCGGGGCTCTCACACCTGGATGTGTCTTTCCAAATATTTACAGCCTTTTCATCTCGGTGTAGCTGTGTGCACGTCAGTGCTTCATCGGCGCTTCCCCCCGCCCCGCCCCGCCCCGCCCCGTTCATCTTGCTCTCCTTTACCTCCAGCTGCCTGAGGCTGGAGCAGCCATTCCCGCTGCATTCAATGTTCCCTTTACTGGGTGGGTCTTTTCTCTGTTGTCGTTTTTGTAAACATATTTTTATTGATTTCAGAGAGGAATGGGGCACCTAGGAGCACCTCCCGTCCTGTCTCCCTCCCGTCCCCTGCGCTCTCCCGTCCCTCTCTCTCTCCTACCTGGACCCCGGGTACCAGCCGCCCTGTCCAGCCGAACGGCCTCAGAGCGCCCACGGGGGAAGAGGAACTAGCGCTTCTTGATAACGTTCTGAATTACCTCTCTGTATCACCTTCTAATGTTTGAGAGGACTTGACCCTTCAGGTTGGAGTGCACAGCAAGGAAATAAGCATCTTCCAAGTGCGATCAGAGACTGAGCAAAGACATCGTGCCCTTACTTCATGAAGGAAGGGCCGCTGAGCTCACTGTTCATGTTAACCCGGCGTTCTGCTGGTTCCTAGCAAGGCTTCCTGTCTGTGACCGAAAGGATTTGATAAGCGTTTCCTACCCAGATGCCGTGCTTGGCGGCTGTCTCTGCCTGACTCACAGCCGAGCTCTGCCCGCTGGGGTGGCTGAGGGAGACTTTTCCTAACCGCCCTGCTTCTGAAGCCACAGAGGCAGGAAACGGCTCGCTGGGCGTGGAGAGGCGCGGCGGCCTGGGCCCAGTACGTCCCCCTCAGGGTGACGGGAGCAGCCGGCAGGGGGCAGCCCTGAGGGTCCCCGAAACCCACAGCTGGCGAAGTCGCACAGACACTGCGGCTGGGGCCACGAGGACAAGTTCTGGAGAAGCCAGAGGCCCGAGTGGGGGTGCGCGTGGGGGGCGCGGGGAACCCTGACGTCCTGAGTGACAGCTGAAGGAGATGCGCCCGTCCCAGCGCCAGCTCACCGCCCGCTGTGCTTGTCCCTTAGAATCAGGCTGGCTCGGAGCCCACGGAGTGGATTCCGTCCTGTTGGCAAAACATCGCTTTTTAGTGTGTCTCATACATGAGTGACATGGCTTTCTCAAGCTCTGTGTTATAAGCGGATCTGTTGAAGCGCCCGTTTTCTTCGATTTGCCTTCAAGAACTTACTCCATCTCTTTCTAGTTATATATATTTTTAATTTTTGAACTGATCTATCCATTTGTCAGTTGACCCCATTCCTTACATACTGTTCCTGAAATGTTTCATGAACAGCCAGACGCTATGCACGTTTTAAGCGGCTATAAATAATATTTCTATTTCACACAAGACGCGCTGGTGAAATTAAAGCGGCCCCATCACCAGCACCACAGCTCTTGGTGGCAAACACCCATGCGGCTGCACCTGTGTCTCTCCTCCCTCACTGCCGTGCGCGGGGCCTGTCGCTGCCTTTCTCAGGGTGCTCTCGGGCGAGAGGAGGGTTTGGGCCGTGTCAGCACGTGGCAGACACTGAGGTGCTGGTCCTCGCAGGTCTCCCATGGGTGTGCGTGCGTGTGTGCATGTGCGTGTGCACCTACCTGTGGTGGATTGTAAAGTTGTCTGTCTTGCTCTGCTGGGGGGAAGGAGCAGAGCAGACACAGCTGCCGTTTCCGGCGATGGTCGTGGAGCAGCCGTGGACTCCGCTTATCTGTCCCTTCCGTCCCCACCTTTTCCCGACGCCTGCCTTCTGTCACTCACTGTCCGTGCAGCCTGTTCAGCCATTCCCACAGCCCCAGGCCTGCGCGGGCCTCGCTGTCTGTCTCCTCCTAAGCTCCGTGCGCGCCCCTACTGTGTGCTTCCGCCCCTACTGTGTGCTTCCGCCCTTATCTAAGTACAAAGCTGCGTGAAGACCATGTAGATTTCCTCTTTGCTATGCCCTCCCCCTGCGTGTTCCACACACAATCGGGGTGTCAACGTTTACTTCCACATCGCGCAGGTAGGTCTCTGTGGGAGCTGAGGTGCTGCTACAGTTGTGCCAACGCCAGGCCCAGCAGAGAATTCAGGGGCGCTCAGCCCTCCAGGAACGTCGAGGTCACTCTTCCGAATGTTTTCTGTTTTGGTCAGCTTTGTGTGGTGTAAGCTGGCGTCTAGTTTAATGTTTTTGCAGGTGTCTGTCCAGTTTTCCCAATACCACCCACCAAATAGGCTGCCTTTACCCCACTGCGTGTGCTTGCCTCCTTTGTTATGGACTCACTGACCTGCACCTATGGGGGGGGTCTCTACTGTTCCATGCGCCCCATGTCAGCTCTATGCCAGTGCCATGCTGCTTGGATTCCTACAGCCTGGTATCCTAGTTTGAGACCAGGTAGCGTGATACCTCTGCTGTGTTTTCTTTCTCAGGATTGCAGTGGCTATTCGTGGTCTTTTGTGGTTCCATGTACATTTTTGGGATATTTTTTTCTAGTTTGTGAAATATAGTCGTACATTGAGCTTCAGCATTACATCTATGTCACACTTTGGTCAAGTTCCTCTGCTTATTTTAAAAATGTTCAAAGGTGCACGGTGAGCTACTAATGAGCTTTCTTACAGAACTCATCTGAAATCAGAACTGGGGAAAGCTTGCTTCATATTCACACCCAAGTATGTGGATGACTCTGTTTATGTTAATGAGTGATATTTCTTTTTTCCAGGGAATGGCTTTGTAAACTCAAGAGCTTCTCCAAATTTAATTGGAACTACGGGTGCGAATAGCTTAGGCAGAGTTATGCCTACAAAGTCTCCCCCCCCTCCAGGTGGCGGCAATCTTGGCATGAACAGTCGAAAACCAGACCTTCGCGTCGTCATCCCTCCGTCCAGCAAGGGCATGATGCCTCCCCTGGTACGTCACTCTTTCCTTCAGTTTTGTTCTTTCGGGCACGCATTCTACACACACTCGGTCTATATTTCCTTTTTTAAAAAATATATTTTTAATTGATTTCAGAAAGGAAGGGGGCGGGGGAGAGAGAAACATCAATGAGAGAATTGTGGATCGGCTGCCTCCTGCACGCCCCCTACTGGGGATTGAGCCCACAACCCGGGCATGTGCCCTGACCGGGACTGGAACCCTGAACTCCTGGTTCCTGGGTGGATGCTCAACCCCTGAGCCACGCCAGCCGGGCTTGGTCTATATTTTCTTTAGGAATGTTCGTATTTCCCTAGAATCTAGACTTGTTCCTAATGATTATTTCTATGTGAAGTTAACATTTGAAGGAACAAGTCAATTTTAAGTGCACAGAGATCAGAGTATGGAGAACCAGGAAATCAACCTGCGTAATGGCGATTTAAACCAAAGCTCAGTCGGGAGAGGTGATTTTTCTCCGTGGAGGGCCTCCTTTTAGTCACCTACTGTGCCTGCTTTGTGTGAGGAAACACTATTTGTTAGAAAGTTCTACACGCCAAGGAGAGCTGTGGTGGAACAGGGAAGATTGCATAAAAAAGTGAATGAGTTATTCTGCCAGTAAGTTTTTTATTTATTTCTTCTCAAAAAAACCCTTCCCATTTGAGTCTATAAAGAATACGGTCTCCCGGGCCCAGCCGCTGGCCGGGTCTGCAGTCCCAGCCTCGCTCACTTCTGAACCCGGGTCTGGAAGCAGAGAGGGTGTCTGTCCCCCCGTCTCTGTAGAAAAGACGTTGTGCACGCAGGCTTTCCAGCGATGCTCCGTGTGGCGGCTGCCTGCCAGCACCCAGGTGTCCTCGGGGCTGGGTGGCCGCTGATGGCGCCCTCTGAGGCTTCGGAATGAGAGAGCCTGCATCGGGCTCCCTAGCTCATTCACCCAGGAGCTGCCCTGGGCTGGTGGAGGGAGGAAGCAGCGGGGTTGGTGCGGGAGAGCCAGGGCCCAGATGCCAAGCCCTAAAGCAAAGGGGAGGGCTTTCCATCCAGATGCCACTGAGCCCCGCCGGCCAGCCGGAGCCCCTCAAACCCTGTGGCAGCAGCCTGTGCGCAGGTGCAGCCAGAAGGGTAGATGGAGTTGGGGAGACACGCCTTTGAACCTGGCCCTGGGGAGTTGACAGGCACCTTCCCAGGCGCCTGACGTCCACAAGCACAGACAATAAGTCACTTCCGGGTGCTGCCTACGCAGTGATCCCTGTAGGGTTTCCAGCACCCGCTCGCGTCCCATAACATTTCCTAAAGAAAGACTGTCTCTCCGAGTGCCAGCGCTTCTAACTCTCTTCTCCCTCTCTGTGCGAGCGCAGTCGGAAGAGGAGTTGGAGCTGGTGAGTGGGGTGTCTGTTACAGCGACGTGAGAAGAGGTGGAAAGTACTAACTCTGATGTGTTTACAGCCAGTGTTCCCTCTGCCGCACAGGTTTCTTTCTTGTTCTCCAACACGATGGAAACACTGTGGATAACTAAACCAATCTGCGGTGACAGGGCGTCTAGTTTATTTATAATTGTAAATCTCGGTCCTTTTTTTGTTGGCGGGAACACTGGACTAAAACCATAGCTGTCCACGGTGAGGAGGCTGCCGTTGCAGCTTTTAAGGAAAGATGCAAAACACCGCGTATAGCTCCCCAAGGGTCCACGTATTTTTAGAAGATGACCTCACCTTCATAGTCCTAGTTCCTCAGATTGTAACACATGGCCGTGCGTTGTTTATCTTTCTTTCAAGATGGTGACATCATCCGTGGTGAGGTCACCTTTTGCAGAGCTGGAGTCGCTCCATTGTGCACGGAGCAGCCTGCACCACCAAGGGCTGCCCTGTGCGCCAACGGGGGTGCCTATAGCAACTCTGTACAAATTTACTATTTTCTATCAGAAGGTTTTTCATTCTCAAAAAATGTAGCTATTAACACCCTTTTCTCCAAAACGTGATTTCTATTAGCTTTTCTTCTAGAAGATAAGTTGATGTTTCTAAAAATAGCTTTCAGTTGATGTTTCTTCTTTAAGAACTAAAACCCACACCTCACAGACGTGCTCAGACGAATTCAAAGTCAGCTGCTAATTAGAGGACTTTCAGGGGAATGAAGTCTTGAAAATGTCTCGTTTTTAGCATGGACAGGGGTCAGATTGCATGAAAGCATGGGAATGGCATCTGTTGGTTTTATTCACACACGTGTGTGTGTGTGGGGGGGGTTGTGTGTGCATGCTGGCGTGTTTTGCACAATTTATTTTAAAACAAGAGCTCATTCTTTAACTTGGTGATTGCTCTCGTAGATTTGGATGTGGTTTGTATTGGTTAACTTCCATACACCAGCCAGCTGTCATTGTATCGGATTGTATCCTGTGCAGATGTGGACTATCTGCTGGGAAAATCCTTAGTGACACAGTAATGATTACCAAATGGAAGTTTACAATTCGAGATAAAATAATTTATATTAGATTAGATTTCACTATTTACCCTTAAGTTGATGTCATGAATGTGTCCTTGTGAATTACCCAGCAATACGTCGCCCTCTAGTGGTTCCGGAAGTCACAGCGCCAAGCGCCATCTGTTAGAATGTAGAGTTTGAACTGAGAATAGAATCCTGATGGCTCTGACCCAAAGTGAGGAAGGAGGTGTCCTGGAGCCAGGCCGAGACCCCAGTTCTAGACCAGCTGTACCTCCCGCCGGCTCCGGGGATGGCTCCGGACCCCAAGTCCTGCAGAACCTTGAGGGAGGGGTGGCTGGGACCACAGGTTCCGCTGCTTTTCGCAGGACTGTGTTCGGGGAGGGAATGACTCCCAGTGCTTGCGAGGTGGTGGGTCGAGACCAAACCCGGGCCGCGTACCCACACCCTGAATGTGTTTCCCACATTCTCTGCCTTAAGATGGTACAGGAAACACAAACGAGAAAGAGCTGAGATGTGGCTCCGGAGCCGGGGATCCCTGTTCGGTCCGTAGGCCTTCCCCCAGGCTCACCTGCGCGCAGACGACACTTGGAAAGTGGCGAGGAGCCCACTCAGTCGGTTCCTCGTCCTCTCGGCACTGACTGTGCCTTCATGGCTTGTCAGGTACAGGCCGGCACTGCTCCCCGGAGGCCCCCGAGCCGCGTGCTCTCTCTGCCCCCGCCACACGCAGCGTGGGCTGCGTGGTCCCTCTGCCCCTGGCTTTTGGAAAGGGTCCCTGTAGCCATGGTGGCGAGAAGTGGCTGCCGCTCCTACACACAGGACAGGGACTGCCTCGCCCTGCCCTGCCTGCACGGCTGGTCCTGCTGATCCGCTCCGTGCGGGCAGGACGCCTGGGGATGGGGCGCCAGCAGGCAGCTGCTCTGCGCATTCACAGCCCTGCCCCGGCCCCTTCTCCACGCCCTCTTCCGGCCCCGCAGGCGGGGAGACTGGAGCGATGCGTGTGCATCTGCTGTTAAACGTGGGCCCACGGGTGGGCGATGGGGGTAACGAGGGAGGACACGCGTGTAGGAGGGCAGGGGCACATGGGAAACCTGTCCATTCCCTAAAACAGTCTTAATATAAAAAAATACGTGCACTCCAGCTGCAGGACCCCAGGGAGGAGCCCAGCGGGGAAGTAGTTGGTCCTGAGCCCCGGACTAGTCCCCTGGACACGAGTGCCTGGCTGGCCGTGGCGTTTAACCCACAGGCGTTGGTTTGGGCGGCCCGGCAGCATCACTGATGCTCACACAGGGGCCGTCGAGGCGCTCAGGGCGTGGCTGACAGCCAGCGGCTCCACGAGAAGGCGAGGGAGTGAATCATTGCTGCAAAAATATGCCCCTTAGCATGAAACGGTGAGATCTGCCCCTGAGCATTCACCTTTAAGGCTCTCACATCGTCACTGCTGCAGGAAGTGGCACATCCTACAGTGAGACCTGGCACTTCTCGGGGGAATGTGCTTTGTAAAGGCCCAGCCTGCGCAGGTTCCTCGTAACGACACCTCCCTCTCTCCCCAGAGCGCCCAGCGGATCAGCAGCTCGCAGGCCTCGCAGCCCCTCGCCACCCCCGTGGTGTCCGTGACGACGCCCAGCCTGCCCCCGCAGGGGCTTGTGTACTCGGCCATGCCCACTGCCTACAACACAGGTAAGCGGCTCACGTGTGCTTCTGTGACTTCACACACACGTTCACGGACACACATGCCTGCCAGCCTTTGAGACTCCCATTTGCATTGAAACTCGCCGCCCTCTAGGATGTTACAGACAAGTCAGGCCAGCGAGTGGCTTCCCCGGTGACCTTGACCCACAGGCACAGCAGCTGTCGGAGGAGGGCCCGTCCTGCAGCCTTTCCTGCTGGCGACCAGCACAGCGCCCCGGCCCAGCCCTGAATGAGCCGTTTCCCCTCGCTCCCCGTTAACCTCCTTCGGGGGAGTCAGGAGGCCGCACGGGCCCTCGTGCCTTCAGGACCCGCCCGCGGGCTCCGTGTGCGGCTGAGGGCAGAGCCAGCCAGGCCTCCGCCCCGGCTTCCTCCCTCCCCTCAGGCGTCAGGCCTTGTCTCCCAGTGCCCCTTGGGGGGTGAGCGGCACATCCTGACACTGAGGTCAGCGGTGACCAGTTCCTGAGCGTGTCCTGCGGGTTTGTCAGGGAAGAGGGCGTGGTTAGCGGGAACTTGGGGTCCAGGGGGAGACAAACAGAACGACACTGGAATGACCCCTGACAGGCGTGTTCAGGCTCCATCTCAGCTCTGGCCTGAGGAGTGTGTGACCCGGGCCGGGAGGGCTCTGGGTGTTAGAGGCGAGGCTGCGGTCCGGGGCCGACAGGCCCCACGGGAGAGGCGGGCGTCGCCTGGAGCGCACTGGGCCGCAGGGCTTTCAGCAGGGAGGGGCCTAGTTGTGGCTGCAGTTGCGCAGGGGCAGGAGGAGCAAGGCCCGTGGGCCGGGGCAGTGGCGGGGACGCAGCTAGAACCGAGCGGACGTGGGGGAGAGGTGTCGGGGTGACACCCCAGGTTGTGGGCCGAGTGGCGAGGCGAAGGCTGCTGCGATGAGCGGAGGAGCAGGTGTGGAGGAGGAGAGGAGGCGTGTGCAGACATCCCAGCGCACAGGTCGAGGTGGTTGGAAGGCTTGGCAGTCAGAGGTGAAAAGATAGTTGTGGGCTGTGAGGGTCACGGTGGAAGGCGTCAGCGTGATGGCCCCCCCCCGCTTCTTAGGGAACACAGGACAGTCCGAGAGAGAATCCTGTTTCGACTCGGCTGCTTTTGGCTTAATTGTATTTTTCAGTTACAGTTGACGTTCAACATTGTTTTGTATTGGGTTCGGTGGACAGCATTGTGGTTACACAGTCAGACACTTTACAAACTGATCCCCTGGTATTTCCAATCCCCTCCCTGAGCGTCATGATTCCGTTACAGACCACCTTCCCTGTGCGGGCCTGCACGGCCCGTGGCTGCCTGTAACCGCCCCTTCTCTCTTCTCCGCCCCTTCGCCGTTCCCACCCAGTCCCACACTCCCCTCCCGGCAGCCGGCAGCCTGTCTCTGCGTCTGTGAATCTGTTATTTGGCTCCTTAGATTCCACATACAAGTGGCATCACATGTCATTTCTCTGTCTGACGTCACTTAGCACCGGCCCCTCCCGGCCCCCCCGGCCGTCACTGAGGCAGATGCCTCCTGTGGATGTGCCGCAGTCCGTCCATCCACTCCCCGCCGACGGGCCCCTGGGCTGCTGCACGTGCTGCAGGGAACAGAGGCGTGTTTTCTCTTGAGTTTGTGTTATTTGTTCAGATATAAGCCTGGGTGTGGACTTGCTGGGTCATAGGAGGGTCATTGTTAATTTTTTGAGGAAAGTCCAGTTTCCCGCAGCGGCTGCGCCACCTGCCTTCCCACCGGCGGTCACGAGGGCTCCCTCTTCCCCGCGCCCTCCCAGCGCTTGGCGGTGGACGGAGCCATGGCAGCCGTTCCGACGGGTGAGGCGGCGCCTTGTGCGGTTCGGCCAGTGATGCCGGTGGCGTCTGCTTGTCCTCTTTGGAGAAGGGGCTCCTTCGGGTCCTCGGCCCGTTTTCGGTCGGAACGTCTGCTTCCCGCCTGGGGATCTGTCAGGGGAACATCGCTGAGAGAAACTCGGGTGTTACCCGTGCTCTCCTGGAGTCCTACGTCCGAGCCTGACCTTTCAGTCTTCATCCATGTGAGTTTATTCACGCTTGTCGGGCAGCGGGGGGCCTTGCCGGGACCGTCTTTCCCAGCGTAGCTCCTGCCTCCTGGCGCTCTGCCGTCCCTCTGGTGGGCGTCTGTCCCTCAGCCCGCGGGAGGCTGACGTCAGCAGGCCGCCCCTCCCGCTTCCTCCTTCCTTCCCACGATCCCTGGGTCCCTCAGGCCTCCCGAGGCTCCGCACACACTTCTGGATTCTTTGGTCTCGTTCTGTGAAAACACCTTCAGCTGCTTTTTAAAAAATGGTGACTTGGTGGGAAGAGCAACTTCTTTCAGCGCCTCTGGAGCCGTGAGAAAGTTAAAAGTAGAAGAGCTTTCGGCACCTCTCGTTTAGAACTGGTTGGAAAGCCGAGGGCCTCGGCCGCAGTGGTGACTGACGCAGGCGTAGGGGCGACCTGCACTGTCGCCGGGGCCGTTTCCTCATGAACCTGGACACAGGTTGCCGGCCATCGAGGGGCTCGGCCGTCCCTGTAGCAAACGGAGTGAGTTGTGCAGTGACGCGGGGACGGTCCAGTGCACGGAGCTTGGCACCGGAGAAGGCGCTGTCGTCCCTGGGACGTGCTGACAGGGACCGAGTCTGCAGGAGCTGGAGGGAGGGTGTGTGTTTAGGATGCTAGTGTGTGTGGCGGGGGAGATAGTGTTTAAAATCAGTTGCCTAGCAACAGCCTTGGACGATGGCCTTTGTATTATTTGTAATTTCACAAAAAGTTGAGATACTTGTAAACTGTGAACGTTTGGCACAACATTGAAACTGAGTTTACTGACCTGACCCCGGACCACGGGAGAGAGCGAGGTCTGTGAGCCCCCAAGGGTCACTCACGCTGGGACCTGCCTGGGAGCGCACCCCGCCCACGGCCGCCACCCTCTCTTGCAGATTACTCGCTGACCAGCGCGGACCTGTCGGCCCTGCAGGGCTTCAACTCGCCGGGCATGCTGTCGCTGGGCCCGGTGTCCGCCTGGCAGCAGCACCACCTGGGCCAGGCCGCCCTCAGCTCCCTGGTGTGAGTACCGCCGGCCCCGGGCTCGGCTCCCTTCTCTAGCGTATCTGGCTCTGTGGCCGTCCCCCGACTCTCCCACCGCGACGAGGACCGGCCCTCGTGTCCTGGCTGGGCTGGGGGTGCTGTCCCCCGGCCCCCTGGCCTCCGTCCTCCTGCCCCTGCAGTGTCCAGGTGGCCAAGCGTGTGGAGGAAACCTTGTTTGCAGGCTCTATAGGAGCTTGGAGGTTGAGCGCACAGGGGGTTCCTTGAGGTTCAGGCAGCCAGGCTGCGATGGACGCATGGAGGCACACGCTCAGGATCTAGGGGACCGGGTGCAGATGGCACCACACGCACCCCCACCTCCTGTGTCTGACGCCCCTGTTTGAAGAGAGGCAGCTTGGCCACCCTGGCCACACCCTCCCTCCACCACAGACAGGCCTGGAGAAGGAGCCGTGCCCTGGGCTCGCTCGGCTCCCAGGGGAGGGCGAGAGGGTGGGTGTCGGGCAGACCCCAGCCCGCTGCACGCCTGCCCCCCAGGAGGCGCTCACCAAGGGCGGGCAGCTTGAGCTGCTGTGAGCACAGCCCGTCCCCGAGCAGGGCGAGCAGAGTGCGGTCCGGGCAGCCCTCCAGCCGTCGGGGCCTGCGCGGCTGCACACTGACCACTGGGTGCTCGGCCGCGGGGCGCCGGTCCGGGCAGAACCAGCCCCTGCGCCGCGCGGCCTGTCGGGCTCCTTCCCGCGGGGGGCGGGCTTCTCGGCGGTGACGGCGCTTCACGCTGGGCGGCCTCCCCCCGCAGGTCCGGCGCGCAGCTGTCTCAGGGTTCCAGCCTCTCCATCGCCAACCAGAGCGTCAGCGTCAAGTCGGAGCCCGTCTCCCCCCCTCGGGACCGCGTGACCCCGTCGGGCTTCCAGCAGCAGCCGCCGCCGCCCGCCCAGCCCGCCCAGCCCCCCCAGCCGCGGCAGGAAGTGGGGCGCTCCCCCGTGGACAGCCTGAGCAGCTCCAGCAGCTCCTACGACGGCAGCGACCGGGAGGACCCGCGGGGGGACTTCCACTCCCCGGTGGTGCTGGGCCGGCCCCCCAACACCGAGGACCGAGAAAGCCCGTCGGTGAAGCGCATGCGGATGGACACGTGGGTGACCTAGGCCCGCGGCCGGCGAGTGTGACCGCAGCCACCGCCCGCGCCGCGGGGGTCGGGACCGAGGTAACGCTATTTATATGTACATACCGACAGGCCCGTCCGCCGCCTGTGTGTGTGTGTGTGTGTGAGTGTGAGTGTGTGGCTGTGCGTTGCCGACAGACCCGCCCTTCCCTGCCGACGCCTCCGCCTGCAGACGTGGTCCGTGCGCCGCGGGCGGGCGGGCGGCCGGGCTCCGTGTTTCCGGAGACAGTTTCGCAGAGAAACGCGCGCCCGTCGGCAGCCCTCTCGCCGGGGCCCGAGAAACGCTTCGTAGACAGAGCAGCGCAGGCACCAGAAAGCAATACTGTACATAGCGTCACCCTGCTCCCCGCATGGGCTCTGCGAGGGGTGCATGGGGGGCTGTCCAGACAAACCCCACGCCTCACCGTGTTGCACGCGCAAGTGTATCGGGTCAGAGAAGTGATCTTAGCCAATAAGAGAGACTAGACACGCATGAGACCTGCCGAAAACCCTAATAGATAGAGCATTCACGGAGCAAAGTAATATATTAAGTTATGATTGGACTGTGTCGGAAGTTTCTTTACAGTCGTATCTTAAAAATTAAAGAAACGGATTTTAGCTCATGTATATTTTATATGAAAGAAAACACCCTTATGAATTGATGACTATATATAAAATTATATTCACTACTTTTGAAAACATCCTGCTATGAATTATTTATATAAGCCAAAGCTGTATGTTTTAATTTTTTTTTTTTTTTTTTTTTTTTGAGAATAGCTTTATCTTGTTTTAACTTTTTAGTTTTATTCTAAGAGGGAAAATACCTTGCAAGCAGAACCTTGGGGGGAAAAAAGCCATGAACACTTATTATTCTATATATAAATTAAAAGTTGAGCCAAACTTTCTGTACATAGCATCTTAAATATATTATCACCTTCGATGTAAGTACCTATGTATTGTATGGTCACCAGATTAAAAAGTATATTTTTGTGGCTTTGCCGCCAATTTGGGGGACAAGGCGAGATCCGTAAGTAGAGTACTCACTGTTGAGTACTCCCTATTTTGTTAAATATACTGTACTTTGGGTTCTAATTATTGGCCCAGTCTCTGCGGGCCTGTGCGCGGGTCCTCCCGGTGGTGAGTGTGTGCTGTTGCATTGTAATCCGTGTGCTGTATGGGTTGAGCAGCATTCTATATTTTATATGTGTACATAAATAGCAAAGTGGCAAAAGTGGTGTTAAGTTCATCCTGCATAAATGGAAAATTTGTAACGGATTTTACAAGGCATTCTTTAAAAATATAGAAAATGCTGACCTGATTGACAGAGAAAGTGGCCAAATCGAGGTGCACCAAGGTTTCCCACGTGGGAACGGTGAGGGCGGCGCGGTGGGGGCAGGTCCTCTCCCCGGACCCCTCCAGTGGCCCGACATGGCTGGTTACGGAGACGCCCGTCCTAGCTCCACCCAGAAACGCCCCTTTTCTGGGGGGATTCGGTTGCAGATCGGGGCTCGGCCCGTCACCCCGAGGTCAGTGCACCCTCAGCTGGGGTTTGACCACAGCCTTCCTCTCCCAGGAGTGGGGGTCCCAGGTCCCGGGCTGGTGCCATGAACGAAATTCCAAGTCCTGTAATGTATGTCCATCTACCAACGGTTTTAATATGACTTTCCCCGAGAAACTCCAACAGGGTTCAAAACGCTGCTATTTTCTATTTGACACTCACTGGGAGCAGCTGCCTATGTCCCTGCATGTCTGCCCCCTCAAGTGCACCCAGGCCAAAAAGGGAGAGTGAGGTGCTCTCTCCTCCGTCTACACACAGGGCTCATTCGGAAAGGACTCGCTTTTCTTGAAAACGTCCTCATCTTTCTGACCGACTCACTCACAGGCACATCCATAACGCCACCCCTAACTGAGACAAGACAGCCCCCCACTGTCACCCACCGAGCGGGGCCGTGGGAGGCGACCGCCCCGCTCTGCATGTCCACGGCCGCCTGCCGCACACGGGGCGGGAGCCCCCGCACATTGACTGTCTTTCTTGTGTGCCTTACGAGACGGCTTCCCGACTGTCCGCTAGTCTTTCTTCCTATGCAGGTTTCTGACCGTAACCCGCTCCCCTAGAGCACGGCCCCGCCAGGCTCGGAGTCTGTCCGGCAGTGGTTCTCAACCTTCCTAATCCGCGACCCTTTCGTACAGTTCCTCACATTGTGATGACCCCCAACCATAAAATTATTTTCATTGCTACTTCATAACTGTGATTTTGCTGCTGTTATGAATCATCATGTAAATGTCTGATATGCAGGATGTATTTTCATTGTTACAGATTGAACATAAAGCATAGTGATGAATCACAAAAATATGTAATTATCTATGTGTTTTCCGATGGTCTTAGGTGACCCCTGTGAAAGGGTCGTTCGACCCCCAAAGGGTCGCGACCCACAGGTTGAGAACCGCTGCTGTCCGGCAACCACAGCCACAATCACATGACCAGGGGGCGAGGGGCTGCGCTTCAGGAACCGAATCTAGACTGTTACCCCCTGTCCTACACGCAGTGACAGGAGCACGACACTCTCACCACGACGCCACGGACGAACACGCCTCCTGGTGGGCGCCACCCCGACTGGGCAGGACACTAGCGGGGTCGCTCAGCACCTCCATTTCTTACCCTTTTAGACGCGTGGGTTTTGTATGACACCATCACCAGAAAACGCACCCATCCCAAGGAAGTATTTTATTACTAAAAACAAAAACAAAAAAAGCTTCGCGTGAATTGCACTGGCCGGGACAGCTTCCAGCCCTGTCCTTCCCTCAGGACCCTCACCCAGGGCGGGCGGGGCCCCCACCCACGTCACATGGCCCCACCCCACGCCATCTCCTGAGCCCTAACGTCAGCTGCGTCAGAGGCTAGATCAGGGTTTGTTCTAAGGAACAATGATCACCGTCTCCCTTCCCCAGGGCTCCCCTCAGGCACCCACACGTTTCCGCACGAACCATCCTGCGCACAAGACACACAGGGAGCAGGGAGCGGGGCTCCGGGCCCGGGAGCCAGGGAGCCGGCCGCTGTGAGAATGTGAAAAGGGGTTTACAAATGCAACACTTCCCTTTCTCTGTAGAGACTCCCTTCACTTTGCTGTGTGAGAAGACACTGCTTTGCTATATTTAAAACGGCTTTTTTACAAGAGATTTATGTCTTTGGTAAATGTTTGTAGTCACCAGGTCACACGACGCTGTACGCGGTTTGATCATGTGAACCGTTTGGCGGCACAAGCTGGACTTTGTTGCCATCCCTGCGATGAAAAATAAGTTAACCTGTTTCCCTGACGTGTTTTTCTTCCTTATTCAATAAACATGACAGTGACTTTTTATCAAATGGTCGAGCTGCTGAGGCTGCTAACTTTGTGTCCTGCACTCGCTGCCGTCCGGGTGCCTGGCGTCTCCTGCGGCCTCCGGACCCTGCCCTGTGGTCCCCGAGCCCCAGGCCGCCCCCTGCGGGCGGGTCCTGCGGGGTCACGGGGGGTGGGGGGGCTGCGGTGAGGACGGGGGGGGGGGGGTGCTGACAGCAGATCCCACTTATCTTAGTTGTTTTACCCCAAATGCACACACAACACTGAGCCAGACGCAGAAGATCTAAATAAACAGTTCGCTTCCAAGGCTGTCGGTGGGAGGAAGTGCCCTCTTCCCCCGTTCACCCCGAGCCTGGCTGGCAGGTGTCTGCTGTCCCTCAATCGAAGGGCTCCATCCTGCTGCTTCTCCCTGCCGGCTGCCTGCGGCGAGTGGGTTTGGAAGCTGGCTGTCCTGTGGCTAGAAGTACTCGAACCCCACCTGCAGCTACTCGGTGCCCCCCCTCCCCCGTTTCTAAGCCGATCCCGCCTGCCTGGCAGCAGCCAGGAGAAGGACTTCCGTGGGCGCCCTCTGCCCGCCGGGGGCTCCGGCCGCCCGTCCAGGGGCTCACGGGTCAGAGTGCCACTGGGTGTGGACAAGGAGGGAAGCAGTGTTCCCCGCCTCCCATGGGTAGGGGCGCCCGCCTTGGGTGTGGGGCACAGGGCAGGGGCGCCGGCCACCAGGCAGCGCGGATGAGCACCGGGTGGGGAGCTGGGCACAGGCTGCCCCCCAGGCCCTGTCCACCCTCAGGCCCTGGTGTCAGTCACCTCCTCACAGCGCCTGCCGCTCAGCCTCTGCCTCTCGGGGCGGCCGGGGAAGGAAACGGCTGCACTAACGGCTTCCCTGTGTGACCCCTGCCGCCCTTTCACCTCTTTTAAACTCATTTTTTAAAAAAGTTAGAAAAACAATAGTTTCCATATCTGTGTCACCTAACTTCCCTGGCGCTAACGTTCACGTAACCATAGCAACACCATCAACAACACCCGACTGAGCCCCCCTTCCCCTCGGGAGCTGCCCGTCCCGGGGCCGCCACTGTGAACAGTGTCCCTGCGCGTGGCTGTGGCCGTGGCCGTGGCCGTGGCTGTGCCCGGGGTGCGCCCTGGACCGACCGGGTCTGCTGGGCCCGCGGGCACCCTGGGGCCATGGTGTCGATGCCTCAGGCCGCGGGCGCTGGCCTTGACCACCAGGCCACCCGCTCCACTGGGCTTCTCCCCTGAGTCCCTGCCCTCCCTGTGCTGACGAGTATCTCGGGGACACACAGACACACAGGCTCCCTCACACTCCCCCTCGCAGGATAGCGTCTTGTTCGCAACGATGACGGTGCCATTTCCCTGCACTTCCCGACATTCATTCATTGAACTGTCCCCCCCCCCCCCCAACTTGTCTAATTGCGGCTGTTATGGACGCAGGGAACCCATCTTATTCTCTGGGTTATAACGGCACCGTCATGGCTGTTCCTCACACTGTCCCCGCTGTGGCCCCGAGAGCGCCTCCCGCGGGAACCCAGGCTCCGGGCATCTCCTCCCTCTGGCAGCACCGCCCACTCCCATGGCCCTGCCTCCTGCGGATCAACAGCTTCTCCAAAGATCAAAGGGGAGCCAAGAACCAGCTTGAAACAAGTGACCATGGAAACGGGTACAAATCCTATGGAGGCTGCAAAAGCAGTTCTCACAGGGGAAGGCGCAGTGACAAACGCACGTGGAGAAAAGCAGCAAAGAGCTCCAACAGCCCGAGCCTACGCCGCAAGGAGCGAAAACCAAAATAAGCCACGCTCAGCAGAAGGAAGCAAGTAACAGCACACACTGGAATGCCGCAGAGGCCAGAGCAACAGGGGAGATCAATGACACTAAGCTGGGTTTTTATTTTTATTTTTTAAATATTTTTATTGATTTCAGAGAGGAAGGGAGAGGGAGAGAGAGGGGGAGAGGAAGGGAGAGAGAAAGAAAGGGAGAGGGAGAGAGAAACATCAATGATGAGAGTCATTGATTGGCTGCCTCCTGTATTGATTGGCTGCCTGCCCAGTGGGGATTGAGCCCGCAACCAGGGCATGTGCCCTTGATCAGAACCGAACTCGGGACCCTTCAGTCCACAGGCCGCGGCTCTACCCACTGAGCCAAACCAGCCGGGGCTAAGCTGGTTTTTTACCAAAAAGATGACCGAGATCGATAAATCTTAAACTGAAAATATCAGAACTGATGCCGGACGTGTGTGGGCTCTAAGGCACCGCTGGAGTGAACACCCACACGGACGGCCCAGGTCAGGTGGGTCAATCCCGGGACTCGGGAGCCCTGAGCAGACCCAGTGCCGCGTCAGGAGCTGGACCCGCCCACCGGGCCCTCCGACCGGAGGAAAGCCCGGGCCAGGGCGTTCCCCAGGCGACTTGTATCAGATGCTCAGAAGCGGGAACGGGGAGGGGCCACTCCCAGACGCACTGCACAAGGCCGGCAGCTCCCTGACCCAGAGCCCGAAAAGGACGATATAAGCTCAGCACAGACCAGCGTCCCCGACGAACAGAGAAGCAGCAATTCCCCATGAAACATAGCAAACCGCGCTCAGCAGCTCAGCGGACCACTCACCACCAACACGCGGATCGGTTCCGGGGATGCAGGACTGTTCAACCCAACGGCCCCCATCGGTCGCTGGGCTACATGCGCCTCCTTAACAAAACCCTGCGATCGCCTCCACAGGGGCAGGAAAAGCCTTTGACAAAATTCACGTCCGCTCACGATACCAGGGCCTCGGCCTCAGGGAGAGAGGAAGGTGCCTCCCACAGCAAAGGCCAAGGCCCCAGCGAGCGTCCTGCTTCACGTCCTGCGTCCTGCTTCGCGGGGGAGGCCGGAAACTTCCTCGGGGGCCGGTGCCCACGGAGGGGCCACGCTCACCTCTGCCTTTTGCCAGTGCGGCCGCCCCGGCCAAGGGCGCAGGTGGAGAGAGAAATAAGCGGCATCAGAATTGGAAAAGCAGCAGCAGAATGGTCTCTATTTGGAGATGGCGATTGTTAATCCGCACCTGCGGGTGTTTTTTCCATTGCTTTTCAGAGAGGGTGGGGGGTGGGGGTGGGGGGAGAGCAGAGGGGAGAGTGGAGGGGAGAGAGAGAGAAATGTCAGTGTGAAAGAGACACATCGAGTGGTTGCCTCCTGCAAACCGAGCGAATCCACAGCCCAGGTAGGCGGCCTTGACCAGGAATCAAACCTGTGGCCGCCCAGTGCGAGGGCCAGCGCTCTAACCATTGAGCCACATGGGCCAGGGCCAGAAGACAAACCTTACGTATATGTGTACGTATACATATTCCTAAAGACTCCCCCAAAACTGTTAGATCTAATCAATAAAATCAAGAGTTATCTAAAGAAAGAAAATCCCATTTTAAAATAGCATCGAAAAAATAAAATACTGAGGGATACACTTCACCAGGGACAGGTGAAAATCTTCATGCTGAAATGATGTGATCCTGGCGACAGAAGCGGAGATACAAATACATGGAAAGCTAGTCCTGTGTTCACGGACCGGGAGGGTTAATACGGTTAAAATTCCCCTATTACTCGAAGTCATCTACAGACTCATGCTAGTCCTACTGAGATTCCAACGGCATTTTTTGTTTGTATCCAGAAGCAGAAAAACAACCCTGTCCTCGCCTAAGCCCACCCTGCATAGCAGATATTTACATGAGATTCATCACAGCAGCAACATGACAGTGATGAAGTAGCCACGAAAATAATTTCATGGTTGGGTCACAACATGAGGAACTGTATTTAAAGGGCCAGAAGGTTGAGATTCACTGCCTTACACGGTCAAGGAAACCACCAACAAAATGAAGACAACCCATGGGTGTGCCAGCCTCATATCTAATAAGGGTTTAAAATGCAAAATGTATAAAAAACTCACACAACTCAACAGACAAAAAGGAACAATCCAGTTTAAAAATGGGCAAAGGACCTGACCCGCCAGCAAACACATGAGAAGGCGCCTCCCATCCCTCATCCGGCAGCGCCCGACCGCAACGCGACATCCCCGGGCCTGTCGGAATGGCCGCCCCCAAAGCGACAGAGATCACAAGAGCTGGCCAGGGGGAGGGAAAGCGACTGTGAGGCGGTGCAGCTACCACGGGAAACAGTATGGAGGCTCCTCAAAAAAAAAAAAAAGATTAGAAATAGAAATAGAACTACCGACTGACCCAGCGAGTCCACATCTGGGAGTGTATCCAAAGGACATGAAGACAGGATGTCGAAGAGCTCTCTGCACCCCATGTTCACAGCAGCTTTATTTGTAAATCTTTATTGTTGGAAATATTACAATTGTCCCCATTCCCCCCCATTGGCCCCTTCTAGCCCACCCCCCGCCCCAGGCCTTCAGCACCTTATCTTCTGTGTCCACGGTCGTGCATGTCAGTTCTTAGGTTGATCAGTTCCCACCCCTCCCCCTCCCCCGCACAGCAGCTTTACAACAGCCAAGACATGGAGAAAACCCAAGTGGCCATGAATGAATGGATGGATGGATAAAGTTACACACACACACACACACACACACACACACACACACACACACATAGGAATATTACGGTGCCATAAAAAAGGAAATCCGACCATTGAGACGGATGGACCTTAAGGGCATGAAGTGAAGTCAGTCAGAGAAAGAGACACACCGGATCCTTCCACGTCTATGTGCAGGCTGAAAAAGAAGAAAAAGCCAAACGCAGAGAGAGATCAGACCTGTGCTCCCAGAGGCAGGGAGGGGAGGCGGGGCTGCGAGCGAGGGCGGGGCTGTGGTGTGGGACATGACTGCGGAGCATGCGTGTGAAACGGAGTAAATCGTCAGAGCTCATTTCCTTACATGAACTCCCCCCTGACACAAAAACGTGGTAAAATACATAGAAAAGGAGCTCCGTGGGTTCTCGTACGTCCGCCCGTTACCGCACATTATGCAGACGCATCAGCGAGGCTGCGGGTGACCTTCACCTGCCGGATGACCTTGGGCCCAGCCCCTGCACAGGCCACCTCCATCTTCTCCAATGCTGTCCCTTATCTCTTAGTTCTGAATGACCAACCCCCAAGTTAAAAACAAAAAAAGGAATCACTTTCCTTCACAGAAGCGATGACTTTATTCCGTCTGAAGGGGGTACAGGAGGCAGCTCCTCATTCTCTGCCCGACAGTCCCTGTCCCAGCTCAGCCCGCCCTGCGGCCCTGGGCACAGACAGCAGCCCTGGGACCCACACGCTCTGCAGCGAAGGCGCCCAAGTCCATTCTGTCCGGAGACCGTGGGTTTTGAGGCACACGCTTCATCACGAAGATCCTTCAAGTGTCCGCACGGAGCCCCGTTTCCACGGGACTGAGGAGAGGAACTGAAGCCACCCCCACATCCCTCCACCCCACCCTCCCTTCTTCCCGCCCAGGGATCTGCTCAGGCGTCCCGGCCTCAGGGCAGGTGCCATCCACGTGCCCGCAGCTCAGCAGCCGCGCGAGCTCACCTCCTGGAGACAGAGCTGAGGCTGAGCCGCCCGCCATCACCCTCAGTGGGACCAGATGGGCTCCCGCAAAGCAGGCTATCCCCCCCCCCCGCCCCCCGCAGGGCCTCAGAGGGCGCCCCTTGCCCCCTTGAGCCATGCACTGGGCACCACTGTAGAATGAACGGACGGAGAGGGCACCTCAGGCAGCAAGCATCGCCTTCTCTGTGGCTTTCGCAGGAGGGGCACCCCTGCGCCCTCGAGTAAGTGGGCATTTCAGCACACGGGCCCTACTGTCCGTGTAGGGGGTGCTGGTCACCCCGAGCAAACGCTGGGCCCTGTCCCTCCTGCGGCTCGGGGACCCTGAGGATGGAGGCGGGGAGCAGCGGAGGCCGCCTGTCCCTGCACCCGGAGCCAGGGGTGCGCAGGGGCTGCTGCTGGGGACGCGGGACCGGCCACTGCCTGGCCTCACCGTCACGCGGGCACCTCCGGGACTGGCTGTCCTCTCGCCACGCCAGACGCTGGCCGGCAAGAGGGCCTGGCAGGGCGGCCTGGGAGCCCGGTTCGAGAACGCTGTGGGGGTGCCCTGCGGGGGGCGCGCCGCCCCTGCCCGGCCTCACACCTGCGGGGGACTCGAAGGTGACAGGACGCTCAAGGCGCCGCTTCCTCCGGTGACGGCATCGGGTTCGAGGGCTCTGACCGTGGGAGTGACGTTGCCCAAAAGGCGAACCGGCAGGCGGAAGAGCAGGTGGCTCCCTGTGCCCATGGCGCTCAGAAGCAGGTGACGGGTGCCACGTGGACGGCGGCTTTGCCAGGGAGACGGGAAGCACTGTCGCCAGAGCCCGCGCCCCCACGGGCAGCCAGGCTCCGCGGCCCTTGCCAAGGCCCTGCCTCTGCTTCCCAGCAAGGCCCATTTGGGGGCCACCCACCCAAAGCCTTCAAAGCCAAGGGCACATCCGTGCAATGTCCCTGCCCCCGCTTCCTGGGTGCAGGAGGCCCGGGGGGCGGCTCGCGGCCTTGGCTGGAGGTGGGTGTTAGCCGAGAACGCGGGCGGCTTCCGAAGCGTGTCCGTGGGCCGCCTGCTGGGTGTGGCCCTGCCGGCCGGTGCGGATCGGGAGCCCCACGCGCAGCCGGCCCCCGAGGCCGCTCCCTGAGACACGGCAGCTAGCTCCCCGCCCAGGTCTGCCGGAGCCGGCTGCCCGGAGAGGGGGTGCTGGGCGCCGGAACCGCGAGTCTGGGGGCCTGGCCCGGAGCCGCACTCGCCGCCACCGAGCCCCTGGGGACGGCGGTCGTGTCCCAGCCGCCGGGAACGTCGCCCGCGGCGCGGATCTTGAAGTAGACCAGGTAGAACACGGGTAGGACGACGCCGACGAGGAGCATGAGGCAGACGGCGTTCCACCACCGGATCCCGCAGTCGGCGCCGAGCGGGGGCGCCTTGGGGGCAGCGGGCAGGGGCGGCAGGCGGGGCCCCGCGCGGGGACTCTCGCTGGTGAGGATTTCCGACTGCGCCGCGCGCTGGAGGTCGCGGTCGATGCCCTGGAAGAAAGCCGTCAGCGGGCGGGGCGGGGCGGCGGCGCTGTCCGGGGCCGGCGGCTCCTCCACCGTCACTCTGGTCTCTGAGGACGGGCCCGGGAGGGGTCTGAGCTCTCGGTGGGTCTCGGTGAGGATCCCGTGGCTTCTCACGGGAATCTTAACCGATTTCAAAGCGAACAAGTCCTGCTCCCGGATGAAGCTGTTGGCTCGCTTGATGTCTGCAACCTGGGGAAGCCATGACACAAGCATCACGACAGACAGACAGCCCCTGGGAACTGACCTCCAACAGCAGCGCTCAGCCTTTGGGGGGGGTGGGGGGATGGACCACGCCCGCCCAGCTTAGTAGGATCGACACGCCCCGCCCCGTCAGCAGGGCTCAGGGGCTGAGCATCGGCCTATGAACCAGGAGGTCTCAGTTCGATTCCCGGTCAGGGCACATGGCTGGTTGCAGGCTCGATCCCCAGTGGGGGGCGTGCAGGAGGCAGCCGATCCATGATTCTCTCTCATCATGGATGTTTCTATTTCTCTCTCCCTCCCTCTTCCTCTCTGAAATCAATAAGAATATATTTTAAAGAAAAATAATACAATGAGCCAGTGGGAAACTGCAGCTACGCACAAACTTACTTCAGGCTAAAGATCGCTGGTCTTTGGCTTTAATATACAGCCCAATCCTCAGTAGTTCCTATAGACTTACGGGTGTCAACAATCTGAGATCAGTTTTGGAAAAGGCTTTTTTGTTTGCAGTGTGGCTGCCACAAGATGCTGTGAGGTGAGCCACAGCCATGGTGGCGAAAGGACCGCCTTCGCCTGTTCTCCTTGTAACTTCTGAGGCAACAGCGCCCCCGTCTGGCTGCCCCCGCCCCCAGCAGAACCCAGGGGGCAGCTGCGATGGACCCAGCTCTCCCTAACCATTTGCTCTCAGAGCTGTGCCCTCGCACACCAGCTGGCACACACACTTCTTCTGCTGCTCGAAGCGTGCGGACACTCACAAACCGAGGTGGGGAGCCAGGGGCCGACACCTCCCCGGCCGGCACTAGGGCTCAGGAGAAGGGAACGCCTCGGTGCGTCTTAGAAGCCGGCAGCGTTCGGGGCCAGCCCCTCCCAGAATGAGGCCTCGCGGCTCAGAAGGGAGGGGTGTGAGGCCAGGGCAGGCCCTTCCTCCAGCTCCTGTGTGAGCATCGGGGGCGGGCTCCGTGGTCTGCACGGAGCAAGGCCACGTGTGAACGCAGGTCACGGCCCGCAGGCCTGCGGACAGGGCGCATTCCCGCCGAGGTCTCCGCTAGCTGCGTCTCAGCTGGTTTTAATCACCTGGTTACACTGGGCTCAGGGGCATGTTTCATTGAAATCCTGAATTCAAGCAGAAGGTGTGTGAGACCATGTGTCTGTGTCCCTAACAACTACCAGCGAACTCCTTACTCCCGATGGGGAGACCGGCATGTGCTGGAGGCATTCCCCGGCTTCCTGGGTCCGCTGAGCATCGCCCTCGGGGGAACTCACGGTGTCTGCCCAGGTGTGTGGGGCGGGGTTCGCTCATGCACATGGACCCGTACAGCTGCCCACAGGGCGTCTAATGAGCCAAATGTACACATTTCAGCACAACGCCGCGCCCCCCGGTGTACCCGGGACCGGCCTGTGTGTTTCCCCGGGAAACAGCGCCGCACCCCACACAGGTGCTCGCCATGGGGCCTCGTTAGAGAAAGGAGTCACGTGAAGGAGGGGAAGATTTTGAGAGTAGGTCGCTGGGTGGCCTTAGAGAAAGCCCCAGAAAGCCATTGGTCGCAGAGGGCCAGCCACGCACAACAACCAGTTCCCACCCAGGAGCAAACGCAGCGGTTCCGGAAACGCGTTCCTACTTACTTGGCCACTGTCACCCACTCTGAGCGCTAAAGACACAATTAGAGAGAGAAACAGGGTTACACAGGGCACAGCGCACGGAGAGGCTCGCTCATGCAGCCCCAGAGAGAGACGGGGCAACGTGACCAATGGAACAAGTGACCACCAGCAAGAAAGGCTCGGAAAAAGAGACGCAGCCACAAATAAGTACATAAATAAGTAAAAATAAAGCAAGCACACCAAAGAAATCTTGCATAAATTCTGCCTGGCGCCTCTGGCCCCATTAGGTCTTAAATACAATGAGCTCCAAAGGAAAGAAAAGGTTTCAGAATCTGTTGGGGGCTGGGGGGGGGGGGGCGGGGCAGGGAAGAGGAGAGGGATTTTGCAAAAAGGGCTCAGCCCACCAGCTGGGACTCCTAGCCTGACACCGCGGAGCCCATGGGAGGAAAGGGCTCCCACCTGTGAGCACCGGCAGCCCCGAGGCCTCCCCAGCCCCGGCCCCGCGGGAAGGGGTGGCCAGGCCTCCCCTGGGGTCTTACTTGGCAGCCGTACTGCAGGGCGAGCCGGTTGAGGCTGTCGTCGCGGGCCAGCTCCCGCTGCAGCAGCACGATGCTCCCCGCTCCCGGCGGCGCAGGGCGCTGGGCAGCCTTCTCCGGGCGCCGCGGCCGCAGGGCCAGCTGGGGGGCCTCTTCCTCCGAGGAGCCCCCCGAGTCCGCGCCGCCTCGGCCGAACACGTACACCTGGCTGGTCGGGGGCCCGCGGACCGCGGCGGGGCCCTGGAAGGCCTTGGCCGGCGCTCCCTTCTGCCTCATTTTCTTCACTGGAACCAAAGCCCGGCGTCATGAGAGGGTGTTCCTTGCCCCAAGCATTGCAAACAGTCAAAAATACCAAAATACCAGCAGCACTGAACTGTGTTTGTGCAGGAACAGAGGCGAGAGAGAAGGCAATAAAAACACCATTTTTTCCCAACTGTATTTTTTTGTTTTGTTTTGTTCAGAAAACCCAAGGGCTCCTCTTCTTCGCCCCTTAGTCTTCATCCACACCGGTGACCCCCCAAGTTGTCCCAACGAGTCCAGGGATGAACTCTCTCCAGCACAGAATGACAGCCCCGAAGGGTTGGCATCCGGGCCTGTGGGGACCCCAGCGCGACCCCCGCCCCCGCCCCGAGGTCACCTGCCCGGCCGGGGCCGCGCCCCTCCACCCGCACTCAGGGCCGGCAGCGCCCCCAGGCCTCAGTTTCCCGCAATGTCTCTTCCGTGAAAGGAGGGGGGTCCCCAAACGGGAGCTGGCACTCAAAACGGGGAGCGGCCCGCCTCTGCGCTTAGACAGGCAGGGCCCCAACTTGACACAAGGCACGACCTCTGACCTCCAACCCCAACCACCTCGGGCCAGGCCCCGTCGCCCGCGGTGGCCGCCCCTCCAGCGGCAGGAGGGTGGCCGGCCCCCCCGCCCCCCAGCCGGGCGACGCTTAGCGCCACCGACCCGGGCCAAGGCCACCCCGCAAACCCCGATACCTCAGCTCCCAGGATTCGCCGCGCCCGTCGCCCGCGCCGCCGACACTGCTGCGCTTGCCCATTGGCTGCGAATATCTGCGGACTCGAGGGGCGAGGCAGCCAATGAAACCAGCGGGGGGCGGGCACTAGGACGAGTCTGGCATTCTGATTGGTCAGCACCGAACCTGCAGGAAGCGAGGCTCGGGCCTAGGGGAGGGGCCGGGCCCGGGGGCGGAGCTTCTAGGGGGCGGGGTCCCAGCTCTCCGACCTGAGCCACGCCCCGCCCTCCTGCCCGTCACTGGCTGTGACTCACCTGAACGCCTCACTCCCACAGCGGAGACCCAGGCAGAGAAGGCACCTTTGCTCAGATGGGCGAGGGGTCCGCCCCGCCCGCGAGGATAACAACAGTTCACCAATGTCAACACTGAACCACCACAACTCGGACCAAAAAAATTCAATTTATCGAATGCAGGATGGCAGAGGGCTCCTTCACCTTAAAGGTCATGGATGAACTCACACACGAAATCACAAACGTTTAAAACTCCCATCCAAAAAAGACAACCGAAATTAAGAAGCAAAACTAACTGAGGAAAAGAAATGCAACAAACACCACAGATGATTAAAATCCTTATTTGAGGGAGACCTCGTCAAATGAATAAGAAAGACACTAAGATGGATGGGTGCAGACAATTCACCAAAGAATCCCAATTGTGCACAGTGAAGAGAAACTAAACCTCACTAGCAGTCAAATTAAACGAAAGGATTAAAACAGTAAGGTTTCAGAAAACCCTTCTATGGCTTTCCATCCTGCTTAGAATGAAAGACAAATTCTTTATCTTGGCAGACAAGTCCAGGATGGTGTGAGGGCTCCAACGCATTCTCTGCCATCCTGCTCCTTCCTCTCAGCCACACTTGCCTTTGCATCACTTCCCAGCTAATTTACTTAGAGGTCATCATCTCTAGGTCTGTTTTGCTCACCACTCCCAGTGCCCACCTCAGAATCTACACTTAGTAGATGCTCATTAAATAGTGGTTCAATAGGACAGACATGAAGTGATGTGATCCTGGGGACACAGGTGCAAAGTAGCAGGACCAAAATCCAAATCCTAAAGTGTCTCACTCCGAAGACCCTCTGTCAGCCACGGCTGTGCTTCTGGCCCACAGATGTGATGGCCGGAGCACCTGCAGGCATCTTGGACCATGAGGCAGCAACAGTGGAGGTGGAATCCATGTGGAATCCAAAGCAGAAAGGTGGAAGGCATTATTTGTCCAAAATGTCATAGCTGGTAAGTACAAGAGGCAGGATATACCTTCAGGCAGTGGCCACTGAAAGCTTCTGAACAGGACTGTTTTTTTAAAAAAAAAAAAAATTTTTTTTTTTTTTAAATTCATGTCAGAGAGGATGGGAGAGGGAGAGAGGAATAGAAACATCTATGATGAGAGAGAATCACGGATCGGCTGTCTCCTGCATGCCCCCTACTGGGAATGGAGCCCACAACCTGGGCATGTGCCCTGACCAGGAATTGAATCAATAACCTCTTGGTTCCTAGGTGGGTCGACGCTCAACTGCTGAGCCACATCAGCCGGGCTCTCCCATGCTGACCTTTAACCCCAGCGCTGGCTTTCCTGGGCATGCCAGGGAATTCTGCCAGGTTCACAGGGCCCAACTCAACACCCCTCCACCCCCATCTCCTCTCCAGCCCCCTGAGATCAGGTGGGGACAGACCTCATTTATAACTTTTATAGGAATTACATGCTAACATGGAACTATTTTAGATATATTCGGTTACAGAAAATATTATGAAAATCAATTTCACATATGGATCCTCTTAGTACTCTGAGTTAGAGGCATTCCCAGGCCTGGGACCGCTGGCTGGAAGAGGATGTAAATTTAATTTTACAGGCTGTTGCCAGGTTGCTTTCAAACAAATGCCACAACAGTTCACATTTCAGCAACAATTTTCAGAAAGCCCCATATTGGTACTTATTTTTATCAATCCGCTAGGTATAAAGTGATAGGCTGTTTCTTAAATTTGCATTTTTCTAACTACTAACAAGTTTAAGGGCTTTTTTGTGTCGATCATTTCGATTTGCTCCTCTGTGAACTGCTGTGTTAACTGGATTAGGTTTAACTGAATATAGCAGAAAACCCCAAACTAGCAGAGACCATGTTTGTTGTCCTCAGCCCTCGTGTGCCAAGACGGCTGCCATAGCGCCAAGCATCACATCCTCATTCCAAGCAGCAGGCGAGAGGCAGGCACAAAGGCGAGCACACTGCCTCCCTTTAAGGAGACTTCTTGGACATTACACGTAATATTTCTGCTCGCGTACATTGAGTCAGGACACATGCCTGGATTGCAGGCTTCATCCCCGGTAGGGGGCACCTGATCGATGTTTCTCTCTCATCGATATTTCTCTCTATCCTTTTCCCCTCCTCTCTTTCTAAAATCAATAAAAGTCCAACATCCTTTCATGATAAACACATTTGACAAACTAGGAATAGAAGGGAACTTTCTCAACCTGATATATGACATGAATGGAAACCCCCAAGCTCACATCATACTTAACGAAGAAAGACTAAAAGCGTTCCCCTTAAAATTGGGGACAAGACAAGGATATCTGCTCTTGTCACTTCTATTCAACATTGTAGTGCAGGTTCTGACTGGGGCAGTTCGGCAAGAAAATAAAATAAAAAACATTTAGATGGGAAATAGAGAAATTCATCTCTTTTGCAGATGACATAATATATGCAGAAAATCCCCTGCCAAATCCATAAGAAACTATTAGAGCTAACAGATGAGTTAAGCAAGGTCGCATAAAACACACTTCTATATAGGAAAGAAATCTCGGATGAATGGGCGAGCCATAAAAGAAATATTCCACATATAGCAATGAACAGTCTGAAAATAAAATTCCGAAATAATTATACTTACAATAGTAACAAAAGAGAATAACATACTTAGGAAGACATTTAACAAAAGAAGTGGCAGACTTGTATACTGAAATCTAAGGAATTTAAAAGGACCCCAATAAATGGAACGACACCTCACATTCATAATAATTTAATGTTATGATGGCAATTCTCCCCAAATTGATTTACAGATTCAGTTTAGTACCTCTCACAATTCCAACTATCTTTTTATTACAGATATCGACTAGCTCATCTTATAATTCATACAGAAATATGAAGGACCCAGAGGAGCCAAAACAATTTTGAAAAGCAAGGACAAGATGGGAGGACTCAAAATTTCCAATCTCACGCCTTCCTACAAAGCAACAATAATCAAAATGGCCTTAAGAAGAGACGTTCAGAGGAACGGAATAGAACCGGCAGCCCAGGAAAATCCACACGTTAAAAGGCAATGGTTTTGGACAAGGGTGTCGAGACCCTTCAATGGACACGAACACAGTCTTTTCCACAAATGCCACAGGACAACAGAATATCCACATTATAAAAAAACTTGCATCACTATTGCATGTCATTAAAGCAGCGGTTCTCAACCTGTGGGTCGCGACCCCTTTGGGGGCCAAACGACCCTTTCACAGGGGTCGCCTAAGACCATCGGAAAACACATATATAATTACATATTGTTTTTGTGATTAATCACTATGCTTTAATGATGTTCAATTTGTAACAATGAAAATACATCCTGCATATCAGATATTTACGTGACGATTCATAACAGTAGCAAAATGACAGTGATGAAGTAGCAACGAAAATAATGTTATGGTTGGGGGTCCCCACAACACGAGGAACTGTATGAAAGGGTCGGGGCATTAGGAAGGTTGAGAACCACTGTATTAAAACATTAACTGAAGCCCGGTCGGCGTGGCTCAGTGGTGGAGTGTTGACCTATGAACCAGGAGGTCACAGGTTCGATTCCTGGTCAGGGCACATGCCCCAGTTGCAGGCTCGATCCCCAGTGCGGGGCGTGCAATGATTCTCTCTCATCATTGATGTTTCTATCTCCCTCTCCCTCTCCCTTCTTCTCTGAAATCAATAAAAATATATTTTTAAAAAATAACTGACAATGAGTAAAATCTAAATCTAAGAGCTAAAACTAAAAAAATCCTTAGAAGCAAACATGGGCCTGAAAATGAGTGACCTTGGGTGAGGCAGGTTTTCTTGGATGTGACACGGAAAGCACAAGCAATCAAAGGAAAAACAAAGTGGATTTCGTCGCAAGTACAAACGCTGCCCGTGCAATAGCGTTTGCAAGGACGTGAAAGGACAGCCCGCCCACGTGGTCCAAGAAGATCATCGAAAATCATCTCTCTGACAAGCATCTAACCTCCAGACTATACAAAGAGTTCATACGACTCAACAATAAACAGACAACCCCTTAAAAATGGACAAAGAATTTGAGTAGACATTTCTCCAAAAAAGACATAGAAATTAGCAGTAATCGTTAAGCACATGTAAAGATGTTTAATATCCCTGCTGACCATTTGGGGTTGAATGCACGACATTGTAGATAAACAAACAAACAAAACAAAACAACACCGAGAAAACGGCACAGGTCATTTGAGGCTCTGACTTATCACACCTGCATTTTTCTGCAGGCAGCGAGGCCGGAGACAGAGGGAGGGCGCCCGGCCAGCAGGGGGCACTGTGACGCCATCGTGGGTCCAGCCTTGGGCTTTCCCTCCAGATCGCACAGCTGGGGAGGGGCAGAGCTGGGATTTAAAGTCCTGTCTCTTTAATGCCAAAGCGCATGGTTTTCCTACTGTCAATCACCCAAGATCACGGTGCCGGGAGGGATGTGAGTGCAGGGATGGATGGGGCCCTCCTTCTGCCTTGCCAATGACTACCTTCTCCCTGTACCCTCACAGGTAGAAGATATATATATATATTACGTATATATGACATATGCACGTGTATATATATGTATGTATATGTTTATGTATACGTATATTTGTATGTGTGCATACAACACACACACACACATCTCACCAAGAGAACCCCCCGCTAATTACCTCCAATCGCCCTATCGGGGGTTAGGGCTTCCACATACGAATCCTATAGGGACGCGACCTTTCCTCCCAGCGCCAACGCCTTCGACATTCACTGACCTGTGCAGTGCCCTCCGCCAGCGCCCTGCGTCTTCGTGCGGATGCACGTCGCCTTGCCGCCCTCCTCTTCTGCTTCCCTGTTCCTTCCTCTTCACTAAGGCATCTTCTCTCTGCGCTGTGCCAGGCATCCTTTATTCCATCCTGTGGGCCTGTGAGGGTGTCACTCCCTGTCTGTGCAACCGGGGACCTCTGCCGCCTCCCAAGGTCACGGTGCCCAGGCCGAGCCCCAGAGCGTCCTGAAGGCATCTCTTTCCTGAGCTACAGGAACAACATCCACTTGGGGAGAAACTGACTTTCCAAATGCACCGTATGCTGTTGCTTCTCTCTAGGAGGCTGGGGCAGTAGCCTCTACCTTGTCCGAGTAACAACCTCTACTGCACAGAGGTAGCCACCATTCAAGAAAGCAGTTGTGCCAGCCGGTGTGGCCCAGTGGTTGAGCATTGACCCATGAAGTAGGAGGTCACGGTTCCATTCCCGGTCAGGGCACATGCCCGGGTTGCGGGCTCCATCCCCAGGAGGGGGTGTGCAGGAGGCAGCCAATCCATGATTCTCTCTCCTCATGGATGTTTCTGTCTCTCTCCCTCTCCCTTCCTCTCTGAAATCAATAAAAAAAATAAAAATAGAAGAGAAAGCAGTTGTCCCCTGGGGCAGATGGTGGGCGCCAGGAGGGATGCTGTAAGTCAGGGTAGACTTAGTAATGGGTTTCTGGTCGGAGGAGACCACCAGGGCTGCCCATTAACACCACATTAGTCAGGCCATTGTTCACGAACAAATCAATCACGAATCAGAGCTTGAGCCACGCATGATTAATGGGTGGCGCGGTGTCACCATGAATCACGCCCCGGAGTGCTGAGGAAAGCCCGAATCGCGAGAAGGTGAGGGTTTGGGGTTTCCTGAAACAAAGCTCAGTCAGTGATATTCATGAGCGGATGACGTACTGTGCTAACCAGGCCTTGTTATTAGTCCAACCCCATTAGGGATCCCAGGGGCTGCAGGGCTGCCCAGCTGCTGAGCTTTCTGGAAGAGAGGGATTCGTATGCAGCCTGTGTCTGGGGAGAAACCATATACAGCCCATCGTGTGTTTTCAGAGCTCGACGTGGAGAGCAAACGAGAAAGGAGAGGTTTAAGATTTCCAATTAAATTCAAACGTCGCATGAGGCCGGGGAGAGGCCAGATGTCCTTGCAGTTGGGGACGCAGGTCCTCAGAGCCCCATAGGACTGGAAGCCGACCCCAACGTGAGGGTCAACTTTGGTGGAGCAAGACGCAAAGCAAGCTGGGAGTTGCACACTGCTAAGGCGCTTTTAAAAAATATATATTTTTATTGATTTTATTATTATTACTTTTTAATCATGGACACGATGCTTGTGTCTGCTGTCAAGCATACCCCCTCAATGTTTAAAAAAATATTTGTAGTGATTTCAGAGAGGGAGAGAGAGATAGATACTTCAGTGATGAGAGAGAATCACTGATCAGCTGCCTCCTGCACGTCCCCCACTGGGGATCGAGCCCGCAACCCAGGCATGTGCCCTGACCAGGGAATCGAACTGTGACCTCCTGGTTCATAGGTCAATGCTCAACCACTGAGCCACGCTGGCCAAGCTATTTTTATTGATTTTAGAGAGAGGAAGGGAGAGGGAGAGACAGCTAGAAACATCAATGATGAGAGAGAACCACTGACTGGCTGCCTCCTGCATGGCCCACACTGGGGATCCAGCCACAACACGGGCAGGTACCCTGACCAGGAATCTAACAGTGACCTTCTGGTTCATGGGCCAGCGCTCAACTAAGATGCTTTTTCATGCTATTGGTCTAGCTCCTATTATTGTCACGAGCGAGAATAATACCAGCTGCCATCTCTTGGACCAACTGTGTGCCAGGCTCTGCCTCAGGTGCTCGGTAGACACGAACATACGTAGCTCTGTGTTGGGAGACAAGAAGGCTGTGTACCTGCGATGTCGAGCACACAGAATCCCGGGGTGTGGAGGCTCCGGAACCGTCTTATTGCTCTGCTTGCTTGTCCGGTACGTCCACTCTGTGGGCCGGGTCTCCCCTGTCCGTGGATGACAGCTGTGGCCCATGAATTCCCTGTTCCCTCCTGGGTAAGAAAAGCAATTCCCTGGTCACTTTCTCAGGTCAATTTCAGTTGCAAGCTATGATCTCTATTCAGCAATAACTAGTTCCATTAAAGGATCTAAATTCTGAGCTTATTTTAAAAATTGATATATATATATTTCATATACATTATACAAAAAATATATTTATGTATATTCTATATATCAGTTTCAGAGCAGACGGAAGGGAAAGAGAGATGGAAACATCCATGATGAGAGAGAATCATGGCTCGGCTGCCTCCTGCACGCCCCCGCTACTGGGGATCCAGCCCGAAACCCGGGCATGTACCCTGACCGGGAATCGAACCGTGACCTCCTGGTTCAAAGGTCAATGCTCAACCACTGAGCCAGGCCGGTCGGGTCAAACTCTGACCTTATTTAAATTTGAGACCACTGCTCCTTCTTTGGCTGAAGCAGGAAACCTGCTTGGGAAAGGGGTCCCTGATGAGCCTCTTTTGGGTTTTCCCCACCATGGCCTTCTTCCTCCTCCTGGACAGGGTGGACAGGAAAGGGGAGCACGGACGTTCTGAGCTGCCAGCTACTATCGGGTACAGGCACCGCTTCAGCCCTTTCATAGGTTGTTTGAAGACAGACCCGCCCCCAACCCACCCTGTCATGTGCTGGGGGCTCTCACCTGGAAGGCTGACACGGGCGACATGCTTCCCTCCACTGTGGTCGCGGCTCCTTCTGCAGCTCCTGGGATCATGGCTGATCACGGCTGGACCCTGGCTGTGGTCCCCTCCGAACACAGTCCTCTCAGATGGTGACCCAAGCCCCCTCCATTGGCTCCCTCTCAGAGAGCCCACACATTGGAACACAGGTCATCCTGGGGCAGTCACCGCCCCTTTGTTCTGCCAACAAAGCACCCAGGCAGCCAGCTAGGGACTGAATTGAGCCCCCCTGGTCAACATGTTGCAGTGCTAAGCCACAATGTTACTGTATTTGGAGACAGGGCCTGTAAGGAGGTAAAGAAGGTTAAATGAGGTTGTAGCGGTGGGGCCCTGATCCAAGAGGATTAGTGTCCTTGTAAGACACCAGAGTTTTCTCTCTCTGGGACACCAGCTTTCTAGCACCAGAATGAGGGGTTGGGAATGTCATAAAGATTCGGGGGTCTCTAGGAGGGGTTGAGGAGGTCTGCTGGGTGAAGGGAGCCTCCATGGGGTACAGCCAGGAAATTCCCAGGGGGATGGCCCAGGCCCATTTGCACGGGGGTCCAGCTGACATCTCTCCCTGTTTTGTTCCAGACATACCTGAGACATCTGCTTTCCTGTAATCCCACCTGGTCCCCAAAGGAGGTACTCACCGGAGGATGGAACCACAACCACATTGCTGCCAGCAGGCGGCAGACATCGGAGGGAGCCGCTACCATATCTCAGCTGCTGAAGGAGGGGAGCCATGCCCAGGGCCCAGGTGCAGACAGGGCCTCAGTCCATGGTTTGGTAGATCAACCCTGGCCCTTGACCCCAGCAGAAAAAAAAAATGCGAGAAACATGGATCGGCTGCCCCCTACTGGGGATCGAGCTCGCAACCTGGGCATGTGCCCTGACTGGGCATCGAACCGTGGCCTTCTGGTTCACGTGTGGGTTGATGCTCAACCACTGAGCCACGCCAGCTGGGCGACCCAGTGTTTTGTTTTCATCTCAATGACTCTGTCAATGCTGAATTGCCTTGCTGGCCCTTTTTCCTATTTACTTGATTTTGTGTCAAGATTTCCTGTTCGTTTACAAATATTTGCTCCTCCTAGATTTGCCTTTTGCCGTCCCCAAACAGCTGTGAGAATCCAGCTCATACCTGAAAACGGCTGTGTGCAGACGGACACACGTCCATCAGCCTGCATGCAGGACCGTTCAATGAGGTCCGACCCATGGACCCACTTGGAAAGCACAGGTGATGTCATTATGATGTGACATTGGTGATCACTGTGGGAGGCCCAGGATTCACTGGAGGCTGCTAGGGGGTGGTACTCAAACGTTGAGAACTTGGCTTTGCTGAGTCCCAGCCACCGCAAAGCCAGCAGATCCTATTCCCCCCCCCCGGGCAGAAGTGTGTTTATCCTGACTCCGGAGCCAACAGCCCTATTAGTTTTGAGCTGACTTAAATATTTTTCCACATTTGGGCAGAGCCACTGTGAGCCAAGAGAAGGGCATGGCCACATATTGTTAAGATTCTCTGAGGATGGGGACTGTGCCTGGTTTATCCTTCCTTCCACCCTGCATCCACCGCTTGGCTCAACAAATGCTTACTCCCCTGGCTGGTGTGGCTCAGTGAGTAGAGCATCGGCCTGCAGACTGAAGGGTCCTGGGTTCGATTCTGGTCAAGGGCACGTACCTTGGTTGGAGGCTCAATCCTGGGCCCTGGTTGGGGTGCGTATGGGAGGCAACCCATCGATGTGTCTCTCCCCCTCCCTTCCACTCTCTCTAAAAAATAAATCAATGGAAAAATATCCTCGGGAAAGGACTGACAGCAACAAGAGCAAATGTTTACGGGCTCACACTGTAAAATGGTCATTTAACAGGAGTCATGATATGAAGGACAGCCCGGCCGGTGTGGCTGAATGGTTGAGTGTGGACCTATGAACCGGGAGGTCATGGTTCAATTCCCGGTCAGGATACATGCCCGGGCTGCAGACCTGATCCCCAGTAGGGGGCGTGCAGGAGGCAGCCCGTTGATGGTTCTCTCTCATCATGGATGTCTCTCTCCCTCTCTCTCCTTCTTCACCTCTAAAGTCAATAAAATATATATTAAAAAGAAAAGAAACATCAATGATGAGAGAGAACTATTGATCGGCTGCCTCCTGCACGCCCACAGTGGGGATCGAGCCTGCAACCTGGACATGTGCCCTGACCGGGAATCGAACCACGACCTCCTGGTTCATAGGTTGACGCTCAAACACTGAGCCACGCCGGCCGGGCCCCATCCAGGGTTTGCAACCACACAGGGAGGAGGCCCAGGACGGAATGGTTGGTTAGCACTTGCTCACTGGGGGAGACACGGCCAGAACCGCATGGACCAGCGCCCCCTGACACTGTCCACAGCTGGCCGGCAGCCCCCAGCTCCCCGCAGACAAGCCCCGCGACACCCCGGGAGAAAGGCACACCGCCTCCCTCTTTCAGCCTTGAGGACTGGCTTTGTCTCTTGCTGTACAGACAGCTCACGACTGTTACAGGAAAAACACTTTATTGAACATATTCAGCTCGCTTCCAATGAAATGATCAATCTTTCATGTACAGTGGTGTCCAATGTGTGTCTTCTATTGTATTTCTTTTCTATTTTTTCTCTGCTTCTTCTTCTTTTGAAAACCAGCACCAAAAAAGTCACACAGAATAACCCGGGGACAGAACGCAAAGTGAGTTAACTAATGGGAACTATATACATTTGACTCCGGAGAGAACAAGACATGGTATTACTGCCACTGAGATTGTGCCCTGTGGGCAGAGGTGGCCAAGCCATGGTCAGCCGAGAGGGTTGCATTTGCACCAATGAAAACAGCACCATGAGCCTGGCCGGTGTGGCTCAGTGGTTGAGCGTCAACCTATGAACCAGGAGGTCACGGTTCGATTCCTGGTCAGGCTCGATCCCCAGTAAGGGGCGTGCAGGAGGCCGATCAATGATTCTCTCTCATCATTGATGCTTCTATCTCTCTCCCCCCCATCCCTCCCTCCCTCTCTGAAATCAATAAAAATATATTTTAAACAAATAGCACCATGAGATCCTAAGACGGTAGTTAGCCGCGCATGTGTGCGACCGCGTAGGGACAGCACTTGAATGACAGTACAGGGTGTTGTTAACCATTAAGACACGCCGCTGCCGCTGTGGCCATCACGGGGTATTCGTGTCTTCTGAACAAAGTGGGGCGATGGCTGCACCGAGGTTAGTCGTTGCTGGTGAATTGCAGATCACCAGTGCCACGTGAGTGGAAGGAGCACCTTAGGGAAGCAATGGGGTGTTTCTTAACAACCGAATCAGCCGTTTGCACTCTGAGGGTGTGGGGCCCTTGCCAGGGGCGCGCAGTTGACACAGAGGTGACAGGGAAAGGGCTCAGCCAGGAGCCCAGGCTGCGACCCATGCAGGCGTGCAAGCTAAGCTGCCCCGGCTTCCTTAGCTGGCCTCCCCTCGCCAACCCCCCTGCTCCGCGCCCCCGGCTTTGTCCATCTGTGATGACCTACAGAACATTTGGGGCTGAGGAAAAACGAAATCCTAGTGCCCCAAGATTTAAGAATGTTGTGGGTACAAGAGCCGGGGGGGGGGGGGTGACATTAGAGGATGGGCAGCCCCATCCTGGCATTCTGTCCCTTCTCTCTGCAGAGCACCGGGCGCTGAGCACCAAAGGAGGGTTCTCCACTCCTCACTGATTCCAGGGGCTGGGGGTAGGGGCAGCTGCCAAGGGGCTGCAGCAAGTCCCGGCCACCCCCCTCCACTTCCCCCATCCCTGGAGCAGGCTTGAGAGAGCAGAGGGATTTGTTGTTTGTCATTGTGATTGAAGCTGACCTGAAAGTCGTGACATCCACAACACAAACACAGACCACAGACACAGCGCCAGTAAGCGAAAAAGCACCCGGAGAAGACCCCATGCACATCCTCTGGGCTAACGGAGGAGATGGTGGGGTCTTCATGGCAACGTCCTTGAACATGAGCACCAACCCAACTGCCACCACGCTGGCCAGGGAAACGGACATCTTGGCATCCAGGGCCCGTTCCCAGGCTGGGGTCCCTTCCTCCCAGCTCCTGGGAGGTGAGCGGTGAGCGGCCTGTGCGCCAGCAGTGCTGTGGGTTGGAGGATCCTGGCTGCAGGACTGTTGCGCCCTGTTGTCAGGACTCATCTGTGCCCTCAGAGGGGTCCCCTCCCCGGGCTCCAGAGAGGGCACAGCTCTGTGTTGAGGGGCGAAGAGACTGAAGGTGGGAAAGACCCTCTTCATGCTTTTCTGAGTGTCCTTCTTGCCCCACTGGGAAGATGGTCAACAGGGACATGACAAGGTCTGCGCTACAGGAAGGCTGGATGGCCGGGCAGTGGTCCCTGGTCCCGGCCAGGCAGCTCTCCTCCACTAGGTGGAGTGTTCCCTGGAGGAAATCTGCCCATGATGGACGAAGCGGCCAGGCTTGAGCCTGAATCTTCTGAGGTTCTGGAGATAATCAACTTCAGGCAGGTGGCCAAGGTCACTGGGAAGCCATCTACAGGTGCCAAAGTTATGAAGTCCTGGCTAGAATAGAGGCCCCCCCCCCCCCCCTGCTAAGTAGAGTAGAGGGCTCCAGAAGGCAGAGAGGAGCCCCCACGACCCTGACAAGGCTGTCCTGGGCTCCCCCGTCTGCCAGGAAGCGATCCCAGAGCTGCTCACAGCACCTGGAAGAGAGGGTCTTCCATTTCCCTGGGTGGACAGCAGAGATCTGACAATTAAGCACCTCCCCAAACCTAAACCTTCCAGAATCTTCTCCCCAACACAGCTGATGCAATGCGGCGTGGCCCCGGTCTCCCATGGGTTCACGCAGATCCAGCCTTGCAGAGGGAAGTCCTCCAGGCCAGGCCCAGGGTCCAGAGAACCTGCTCTCAGCGCTGGGCAGACGGCAAAGTTCCTGTGCTGTCGCGAGGCCCCTCCGGAGAGGCCGCCGGCATCTGTCCTTCCACCCAGGGTGCCGCTGGCTTTCAGAATAAAGCCCGATTCCATGTCCACGGTCCCGTTTGGGCTACTCCACCCCGTGATACACGAAGCACCGGGAATTCGGACGTCAGAAGAAAGCCGAGGCAGAGGCGGCCGACGACGTCTTGCTCTGCTGTCGGTTGTCAGAGGTGCCCCCGTCGAGGTCCAGAGAACCTTCGAGACTGCCGATTCTGTGGCTCAGGCCTATTTCCCCTTACTGCAGAAAGCCATCCAGTGGCTCTGAACAATATATTAAGTATAAAAGCACCAAGGGCAAAGGTCAAGTCCACACTTGAGTTCTACGGGGACTGGATTCTTGGGACGGCCTGTGGGGGAGGGCGCTGTGCTTTGGAGGATCCTGGCTGCAGGACTGCTGTGCCCTCAGATGGGGGGGTGCTCAGCTGGCCCTGGAGTGTGGCGGGACTGCGGGAGCGCGTGTCATGAGCTTGGTGAGGGTGGGGGCAGCGGCCGGCGCATCTTGTTGGCGTAGAAGTCCCTGCATGTCTGGCAGCAACGCTGGTACCACCGCATGTCCTGGCAAAGGTTCTTTTCCCGGATGACCCGACAGTACACGGTCCACTGGTCCCGCGTGCACTTATAGGTCAGGGCAGCTACGGGGACAGTGGAGAGAGAAGGCCTGGGGGTTACGGATGGCAGGGGGTGATTGTGGCACACGCCGGGAGGTGGCCCATGGCCCGACCCACACTGGGCCGCCCTTACCGTTGCCCCGTGGAGCCTGGTGGAGACTGAGGAGGTATGTCCCCTGCTGGGGACACTGTGGCTGCTGCTTTCTTCTACGGGGGACGCACCCCTGTGTCCAACGTGACCACGTGGCAGAGTCTGGTGGCCTGGCTGCCTCCTTGGGATGGGGGCACTGCCCACCCTGCTTCTGAGCTAAGTGGCGCTCACTGTTATTTTGTGGCAGGAGACCTCGTCACTATGGGCATTTATGAAACATGAGGACATGGGGCGCTGCAGATCAAAGGGCCCACACAGCTCAAGGTCACAGCACAAACAAGGGTCATGGTTCTGCAGAGAGGAGGCCCTGCCTGAGAGACAACCCTGGGGGACTCCGTGGGGCTGGTGCATACAACAGCCTGGGGTGCACTTCCATAAGCTCACTCACCCTCGCCCCACCCAGCGCAGCCACAGAGAAACGCCCTTCATTCCGGTGCCTTCCAAGCGTCAGGGAAAGGGCTGTGGGTGGGACATATTCCCTGGGGATGTCTATTTGGGCGCCAGTGGACCAGTGTTCAGTGTTTCTCACCTTGCACCCCTGCTGGCCCGGGGCCATGCCCGCTAATGGCCGAGTTTGGAGCCTGTGGGGCCAAGCTGCTCACACAGAAGGTCCCCGTTGAACGAAAGACCAAACCCACTAATACCTCTCCCGTTTTCTCGAGCTCGGCTTGAGGAACATCCCGTGCAGACGTCCCTGAGGATTCACGAATGGCGCCCCCACCGCCTCCATTTGCCCCGCCCCACCTAGGAACCCTAGAACATTTGGAGGGATTCCCTCATGTTCCCCAGGGGTGGGCAGGGGGGTCAGCGGGACACTGTGTTTGAGACGGAAGTCAGCCAACAGCTTTCTCATGACAAGGACTGGAATCCCACCTCTGATCTGCTACAGAGGTGGCCCACGTCGGCCTCTCCGGGGGCGGTGGGGGGGTGGGGGGGGCTGGGGGCAGGGAACTCACCGAGGCGAGGGGAGGTGATGGTGTTCACATTGATCTTGTCGTTGCAGACCTCCTGGTGGCACTGCCTGTAGGCCGCGGGCTTCGAGAGGGTGGGGCACTCGTTGCCATGGCGCCCGGTGACCTTGTGCATGCACTGCACCACGCGGGACTGCAGGCCCTTCCCGCAGGTGGAGGAGCACTGTGGCGGGGGAGAGGGGGGGACAGGGCAGCCTGAGCAGCCACGCCAGGCTGGGCGCCGGGAGGGGCCAGGTGGCATCTGGACCACGTGCCTCCCGTCTCTTCCCGGCAGGCCTGCCCCAGGCGTCACCAGGCACAAGCACCGTGGCACCCAAGTGGGTGCCCTCTGCTCCCAAGGGCTGTGTGCGCGAGGTGGGTACCTCTACTTCTAGATGGACAAGCAGGATCATGGGGTTTTTGTTTATGTTTTTAAATAAATATTTTTATTGATTTCAGAGAGGAAGGGAGAGGGAGAGCAAGAGAGAGAAACATCGATGATGAGAGAGAATCATGGATCAGCTGCCTCCTGCACGCCCCCCACTGGGGATCGAGCCTGCAACCCGGGCATGTGCCCTGACTGGGAATTGAACCGTGACCTTCTGGTTCATAGGTGGACGTTCAACCACTGAGCCACACAGCCAGGCTTGTTTTTTTTGTTGTTGTTTTTTTCCCACTTTAGAGGGATAAAGGGACACAGAGACCATGGTGCTGTGGAGGGCCCCGTCTTTTCGAGTCACAAAAGAAGCGGAAACCCCCCAGCGACCCCTCTGTGGGCCTGGCCTGCTCAACCCAGAGGGGCCGCCTCCAGGAGCCTAGGCCCCGCTGTGCGCCCTGTGCCACATCCCATCTCCCGGCCCAGGGCCCTGATGCAAAGCGAAATCCTGTGAACACAGAACACAGTCATGCCAACGTCCAGCCACAGCAACACAGAGCAGTCGCGCCAACACGGGGCAAAGTCATGACAACAGAGCAAAGCCATGCCAACGCAGTGCAAGGTTATGCCAATGGGTGCAATCCTATGCCAGCGTGGACCATCTGATGCCAGTGCAGTGCAAGGCTATGCCACTGGGTGCAATCCTATCCAACATGGACCATCTGATGCCAACACAGTGCAAGGCTATGCCAACGGGTGCAATCCTATCCAACATGGACCATCTGATGCCAACACAGTGCAAGGCTATGCCAACAGGTGCAATCCTATCCAACATGGACCATCTGATGCCAACACAGTGCAAGGCTATGCCAACGGGTGCAATCCTATCCAACATGGACCATCTGATGCCAGTGCAGTGCAAGGCTATGCCAATGGGTGCAATCCTATCCAACATGGACCATCTGATGCCAACACAGTGCAAGGCTATGCCAATGGGTGCGATCCTATCCAACATGGACCATCTGATGCCAACACAGTGCAAGGCTATGCCAATGGGTGCGATCCTATCCAACATGGACCATCTGATGCCAACGCAGTGCAAGGCTATGCCAATGGGTGCAATCCTATCCAACATGGACCATCTGATGCCAGTGCAGTGCAAGGCTATGCCAATGGGTGCAATCCTATCCAACATGGACCATCTGATGCCAACACAGTGCAAGGCTATGCCAATGGGTGCGATCCTATCCAACATGGACCATCTGATGCCAACACAGTGCAAGGCTATGCCAATGGGTGCGATCCTATCCAACATGGACCATCTGATGCCAACGCAGTGCAAGGCTATGCCAATGGGTGCAATCCTATCCAACATGGACCATCTGATGCCAGTGCAGTGCAAGGCTATGCCAATGGGTGCAATCCTATCCAACATGGACCATCTGATGCCAGTGCAGTGCAAGGCTATGCCAATGGGTGCGATCCTATCCAACATGGACCATCTGATGCCAACACAGTGCAAGGCTATGCCAATGGGTGCGATCCTATCCAACATGGACCATCTGATGCCAACACAGTGCAAGGCTATGCCAATGGGTGCAATCCTATCCAACATGGACCATCTGATGCCAGCGCAGTGCAAGGCTATGCCATGGCCTATGAGTGAATCGCCAAAGACAGCAGCACAAACACATTCAGAAACAGGCGGCACTCCATGGGCTCAGCTGGCAGTGCCTGGGCACAGCCTGGCGAACGGAATGGCGGCGCAGGAAGGGGGGTGATGAGGGCACAGGCAGACACCGCCATGGTCAGGCTGCCCCTTACGGAAGCGCTGCTCTCCCACCGGTTCTGACCCCTGGCCCCGCATGAGCGGCAGTGTTATCCGGCCCAACGTTATCGTGCCTGTGAGACCGGACACGGCATTATTTCTAATGTAAACCTATGGCTTTAACTGTGAACGCGGAACTTCGTGAATGAATGACGGGTTTTCAGCTGGCGTTTGACGAGCCCCCCTATGCTATTAAAGACCTTTATGTCTAAATTGGTCATAAAATAAAACAAAAACCCTGCTGCCTGAGAAAGCGGGGTTTCCATGTGCTTGAGGGCCTGTTTCTGTGACCATGCAGCACGGACAAGACCGATGAGGAGAGACAGGGACCCAGCAGCGCCCCAACATCCTCCCTTTCTCATCGGATCTGGACTCGGACCTGGGGCCTGGCACCACCTCCTGCACGGGACACGCCCAGAGGAAGAGCAAGGTTGTCTGTTGTTGGTGGTCCTCAACCAAGGATACTTTTCCAGTGATTTTTAGAGAGAGTGGAAGGGAGGGAGGGGGGGAGGGAGGACGGGCAGAGAGAGAGAGAAACATCGAAGTGAGAGAGACACATCGACTGGTTGCCTCCCGCATGTGCCCAGACCAGGGCCAGGGATGGAGCCTGCAACCCAGGTATGTGCCCTGGACCCAAATCGAACCTGGGACCCTTCAGTCTGTGGGCCGAAGCTCTATCCACTGAACCAGACCAGCTACGGCTTAAAAAAAAAAAAAGTTTATTGATTTAGAGAGAAAGGGAAAGGAGAGATAAAAACATCCATGTTGAGAATCATGGATCAGCTGCCTCCCACACGCCCCCTACTGGGATGGACCCCTCACGTGGAATCGGAGGGTGACCTACTGGTTCAGAGGTTGATGCTCAATCACTGAGCCACAGCGTCCGGGCAAGAGCTAGGTATCTCCCTAGGTCAGTGATGGCGAACCTATGACATGCGTGTCAGAGGTGACACGCGAACTCATTTTTTTGGTTGATTTTTCTTTGGTAAATGGCATTTAAATATATAAAATAAATATTTAAAAAAAGTCTTTGTTTTACTATGGTTGCAAATATCAAAAAATTTCTATATGTGACACGGCACCAGAGTGAAGTTAGGGTTTTTCAAAATGCTGACACGCCGAGCTCAAAACGTTCGCCATCACTGCCCTAGGCCCTTCTTGGAGGGATATGGGGCAGGTGGCAGCTGGGTTTCTAAGTCCCTAGGAGACTGCACCGGCTGACGGAGAAGTCGCCGCAGTATGCCTGCCTTACTCCCATGGCGCCCCTGCCACCAGGTAGCCGGGCCCTGCCAGCCGGGCAGTGGCCTGCCTAAGTCACTTCCGGGCCAGGAGTGCCAGCAAGGGTTTCCCTGTCTTGTGCAGGTATGGTTATGAGGCCTGTGAGAAACCAGGCGAGGCCTCCATCCTGTGGGCCTAGCAAAGCCAAGTGCAACATTGACAAGGTCTCTGCCCAGAAACGATCAAGGGCCCTCGTAAGACTTAGCTTCCACCTGGGAACCAGGTTCGATTCCTGGTCAGGGCACATGCCCGGGTTGCAGACTCGATGCCCAGTGTGGGGCGTACAGAGGTGACTGGCTGCCTCCTGCACCCCGCCTACTGGGGATGGAGCCTGTAACCCAGGCATGTGCCCTTGACCAGAATGAAATCTGGGACCTTCACTCGCAGACTGCTGCTCTGTCCACTGAGCCACACCAGCTGGGCCAGCAGCGCTATTATTATTAACATCAGCGGAGGGCAGGGCTGACGGGGAGTCTCTGGCCTATTGTTCAGCGCCCCCAGGTGGCCGGGCCCGGCCTCTGCAGGCAGGTGTGGCCGGCACTGACCTGCTGACCTGGCGGCTCAGTCAGGTGGCCTCCGGGGCACAGAGGCCGAGATGGCCCTGGTGACGGACACGATTCCAGACAGGTGTGCGGCTCGCTTTTGCACGGCCTCCTCCTGTCACCTGAGCTCCCCACAGTAAGGACGACAGAGACTCAGGCAAGGAATTCCATCTCCGTCCTTCCCCCTCCCCCCGCACCCCGCACCCTATCCCACCGGCCTTGGCTTTAATTGAACAGCGAGGAGGCTGCCCACCCGTGCAGCCTGATAGCATCGGATCAGCACCAAGCACAGGAGGGAAGCCATTTTTCAGGCTTTTAAAACGCAAGCAAACGGATCTATAAAAGACAAAGGAACGGATCTGGTCTTGTCTGAAGCCCTCCTTCCCTGCTGGGTGGTTTTCTCAAGTCGCTCGTTACACGAACATTTCATGGGGCTCCCCAGACACCGGAAACTGAGCAGCCAGGGAGAGGCCCTAAATCCACCCAACAGCTCCTTGCCTGGGGCTTGGAGGCTGTGCCAGCCCCTCGTGCTCCCTCCCAGCACACAGGGCCTGGTGACCTGCCACCCCTCCCAGGGGCCCGCCCCCAGCCAGGAGGGGGCGCCAAGACATTTGGGGTGTGAACTCCACAGGAAAAGCAATCTATATATATAAAAGGCTAATACGCAGTGTCCCCTCAGGAATTCGACGTGTGCTGACTACCAGGTGGCAGCGTAGAAGGAAGGCAGGCCCTGGCCAGCAGCCGGAAGGAAGGCTCCGATCGGCCCCGATCGCTGGCCATGCCTAGGGACCCTACCTGTGCACAAATTTCGTGCACCGGGCCTCTAGCATTGAAATAAAATAACTTGCCCTTGCCAGTGTGGTTCAGTGGTTGAGCATAGATCTATGAACCAGGAGGTCATGGTACGATTTCTGGTCAGCGCACATGCCTGGGGTTGCTGGCTTGATCCCCAGTAGGGGGCGCGCAGGAGGCAGCCGACTCATGATTCTCTCTCATCATGGATGTTTCTCTCTCTCTCCCTCTCCCTTCCCCTCTCTGAAATCAATAAGAACACATTTTGGGGGAAAAAATGGTAATAGCTACAGGGCCCAACTTCTGCCTGCCTACTGTGAGCGAGGACCAGGCCTAGTCCTCTCTAATCCTTACACGAACAGCCACGGTGGCATGCATGGCTGCGAGCACAGTAGGTGCACAATAAACGCGCACCAAATGCATGAATGGTGCCCCGAGGGGCGGAACGTGAGGCTCAGGGCCTGCGTGACGGGGCCTCCCACCCGGGCCTGCCCTCCCTGAGGCCCCCACTTCTCCCAGCCACACACACCCCTCCCCCCAGCTGGGAGGGACCAGGTCTCTGTCATCACACGGAGCCCAGACCCTAACGACAGGCTCCACTAGGGCGAGACGCCGTCTCTCCGGCCTGTAAAGTCACGACTATAAAGAACTCCAGATCCCAGAGGGATGTTTTGAGAATTAGCGAAAGGAGGTTGTAAAAGTCTCGGAAGAGGGACTCGCTGCAGGAATGTTACAGCTGTGCGTGCGTGAGCCCGGGTTCCGGGCTCTGGGGGAGCAGGGGACTAGGTGGGGGTGACAGGACGCGAGGTGGACCCTCACTGCCCAGCGTCACCCCCGTGTGGTCACTGGGCCATTCTCTGAGGGGCCAGTCTGCCTGGGGCAGGTTTGGGTAACAAAGAATGAGAGAGAGAGAAAGGAAGGGAGGTGGGGAAAGGGAGGGAGAGAGGGAGAGAGAGGGAGAGAGAGAGAGAGAGAGAGAGAGAGAGAGAGATGGGGGAGAGAATACCCTACAGTAACTCTTTCTTCTGTTTGTGCCTGGAAGGCACTTGCCTGGGAAAATGTCAAAAGCATGTGTGACAGATTCCCCCTGACTTGGCATGAGCACCACAGCCTCGGAAGCTGCTGGAACCTGAGCCAGCAGGTTTAAGCAAGAACGAAAATCCCCTGTCCCGGCTCCAGCCCGAGACAGCAGATGCTATCTTAGACGCCCCCACACACAGCCCCCCACACCCCAACACACACACACACACACACACACCTACACACACACACACCACACACACACACACACACACACACCACACACACATACACAGTCCCCCAACACACACACCCTCACACACAGTCCCCCACACCCCAACACACACACACACAGCCACCCATACCCCCACACACATCTACACCTACATACACAGTCCCCCAACACACACACCTACACACACACACACCACACACACACACAGGCCACCCACACACCAACACACACATACACAGTCCCCCAACACACACACCTACACACACACACACCACACACACACACAGGCCACCCACACACCAACACACACATACACAGTCCCCCAACACACACACCTACACACACACACACACACACACATACAAACCTACCCCCCACACACACACACACAAACCCACCTACATACATCCCCCCACATCCAGCCATCTCCCCCACCCCCGGTCTCTCTGAGTTGCAGACTCCGGTTGGGACATGGCAGCTGGGGAAGCAGAGAGCTAGGGTGACCCCAGATGGGATTCTGGTTGGCGAGCAGGGAGCCAGGAGCATGGGGGCTTGCAGGGGGCGCTCTCCCCGTCTCTCTAGTTTGGTAACTGACCTCGTCACCAGGACAGTTCCAAATCCCCTGCACCCCTGTAAGAGCCTCCTTGAGCTTCTACCCCAGGGACAGGGGCCCGCCCGGCCTGGGGCGGGAGGGGCAGGGCACAGCACAGAGGAACAGAGCCAGGCGCCGCCAGACCAGAGCTGCCCGCACCTCAGCCCACTTCCTGCTGGCCACTGTGGCCATGGGACCCGCTCTTCCGTACTGCGTGCGGCCTCTGCCGCTTGGTCCCACCCACACCTGCACATCGGCCTCCAGATGACGTCATTGTGCCTGTCGGACAGGCCCCCTCTATGTCCTCAGCGACCCGTCGGGCACCACGGGCACTCCCAGGGAGACGGAGGTGAGTTGCCACCAGTTTGAGTTCTGATCAGAAAACAACCACAGCCCGGCCGGCGTGGCTCAGTGGTTGAGTGTAGACCTAGGAACCAGAAGGCCACGGTTCGATTCCCATTCAGGGCACAGGCCCGGGTTGCGGGCTGGATCCCCAGTAGGGGGCGTGCAGGAGGCAGCCGATCCATGGTTCTCTCTCATCATGGATGTTTCTATCTCTCTCTCCCTCTCCCTTCCTCTCTCTGAAATCAATAAAAAAATAAATACATAAGCAAATAAATAAAAACATTGGTGAGGGTTCTGTGGCAGGACTGTCAAAAGCCACGGGCTCGAGGTGGAAAAGGGGCTGTCCCTTTCCAATGGCGCACGGGGTGGGGTCACCGGCGGGCGCAGCGTTTGCAAAGAAAGGGCGTTTGCCTGGTCACGCAGGGCCCGCCTGGGTGACAGCGGCCGGGCGGCCGGGAGTGCGGGCGCCGGGCTCACCTTGGACCAGTCCCCGGTCCTCCACGCGTAGCAGCCGGAGTAGTCCTCGCACGCCTCCTCCGCGCGGGGCCGGGTGGACGCGTCGCACTTCCCTTGGGAGTTGGTGCAGGTCACGGTGCGCTTCTGCGTGCCGTGGCCACAGCTGGCGGAACACTGCAAAACACGGCTGGTGCTGAGGCCGGGCAGCGCCATGCGAGTCCCCCCACGCCCAGGGAGGCCCCACCCAGGGCCAGGCCCGGTGCCGAGGATGCAGGGACCAGGGGCCAGGCTTCTTGTTTTTTGTTTGTTTGTTTTTTAATATATTTTATTGATTTCAGAGAGGAAGGGAGAGGGAGAGAGAGAAACATCAACGATGAGAGAGAATCACGGATCGCCTGCCTCCTGCACGCCCCACACTGGGAACCGAGCCTGCAACCCGGGGACGTGCCCTGACCGGGAATCGAACCGTGACCTCTTGGTTCACAGGTCAACGCTCAACCACTGAGCCACACCACCCCGGCCCTAACTTCCTTTTTCATAGTTGCTTGATTTACCTAAAATAAGGGGACGATAACAGTGATGTTCTTCAGCTACAACAAAGCTGACTTCGGCAAGAATGCACAGAGGACACATGCTATTCTTTGCATTTCTGTCCTTGACATTTACCCCCAAATGCTATCTAGCCTTATTTTTCCGAGGCATGCAGTTTAGCTCTCTGTCTGAAGATCTCAGGAGGTTGTCTTTCTCTTGCTTTTGGAAACTGAGGTAGACCCGCTTGTTTTAGCAGAAATCCACGGGCCGTGGCGTCACTCGGGTGTGGGGGGGCGGTGTTTGTGACCTGCCTGTGAGGTGAGCGGCTGGTTTCAGGGGACGCCAGGGTCAGGCTAAGGCGGGCTAGGCCCACAGGGCGGCCCGGGCAGGCGGGTGGCTGCAGGGAGCCCTGGGTGACTGTGCTGAGGGGTGGTCCCCTGCTCTTCCGAACGGCCATGGTCCCCCCATCATTTCAACTCCGGCAACCTGTCAATAACCCATCTGAACACAAGTGTTTCCAGGGGAAGAAATGTCAGAGGGCTTCGGCACGGGGCAACGTGGTAGAAATACGTCGGGGCCCGGCCGGTGTGGTTCAGTGGTTGAGCACTGACCTATGAATCAGGAAGTCATGGTTCACTTCCCGGGCAGAGCACATGCCCGGGTTGCGGGCTCGATCTCCAGTGTGGGGCGTGCAGGAGGCAGCCGGTCGATGACTCTCTCTCATCACCGATGTTTCTCTCTGTCTCTCCCCCTCTCCCTTCCTCTTGGAAATCAATAAAAAATACTTTTAAAAAGAAATAAGGAAGAAAGACGCACTCAGCTCAAGCCTGGGCTGCGCCCTGGGGGATGGGTGGGTGCGGATAGGGTTTCTGGAGGCGGCTCGGGCGTGATGGGGCCCATAGATGGATGGAGACGGAGATGGAGATGCCTCTATAAATCTCGTCTCCGCTGGCTCACGCCTCCCGAGATGGTGCTCTTGAATCCGATGCTGACAGCTGATAATGTCAGGCTGGGGTATTTTGGGAAAGAGCATGTCTATTTCTTCCATATAAGAAAGAATCTGAATGGAAAATGTATGGTTTTGATCTGATTAAAGTATAAATCTTGTTTGGATCAAGACCCAGGTGATTAAGGCCCTATGGCTCCTGGGAGGTGGGGGAGGGGAGAGAGACTACTTACCTGCCCCTACTATCCCTGCAACAAGTACCGCCCCCCCTCCCCCCGCCCCCGAAAAAGGTCCCTGGGATGTTAAACGTACAAACCTAAGTCCATCTTAATAAAAAAAAATCAAGCAAAATCTTTAAACTCTTGGCCTGGTCGGCATGGCTCAGTGGTTGAGTGTCGACCTAGGAACCAGGAGGTCACGGTTTGATTCCCATTCAGGGCACATGCCTGGGTTGAGGGCTGAATCCCCAGTAGGGGGCGTGCAGGAGGCAGCCGATCCATGATTTTCTCTCATCATGGATGTTTCTTTCTCTCTCCCTCTCCCTTCGCTCTGAAATCAATACAAACATATTTTAAGACAATTTAAATTCTCTTCTTTTCTTAAAATATCATAAAGGGTAGGTTCCACACGGAGGCCCTTCAATGGGTACACGTCAAGGTCTGTCTGAAAAGGAAGCTTCGTTTTAGAACAGCCCTGGGCAGACTTTTCATTCATTAAGAATGGGCCGAATGCTTTCTTATTCTAAATAATTCCAACTGTTTGGCAATAAAGAGGAACTTTAAAAATATTTTCCACACTGAACAGTGTCTTGGACGGAGCCCTCTGACTTTCCTAGAGCACATCTCAAGGGGGACCCGGAGGAAGCTGGCCCTTCATCCAGCGAGTTTGCTGTTTTGCAGCCAAACAATCAAAATCGTGAAGCTTCAAAGAATGCTGTTACCGAAGAGAAAGCGACATGGGCACGAGCAGCCTTCAGAGTCAAACACCGAGGGCTTCACTGACCTCTTTCCAAAGTGGCGATGGCACGAGAGGCAGGACCTGGACAAGCTCAGCGAACGTGGGCCCTCCCAGCAGCCGCCTGCCGCTGGGACGCACAGCCTGCCTCGGGGCTGAAGGGAAGCTTGTGAAACCTCCTTCCCAGTCTGACACGAAGTTCAAATATGCCCCAAGGGTATTAAAGGCAGGCCTGCACATCTATGATCTATCTGTGGGTGTATCTTTGTATCTACCTATGTATCTACCTATGTATCTATTTATGTCTATGTATGTATCTATGTATGTACGTATGTATCTAAGTATCTACGTATCTATGTATATACCTATGTATTTATCTATGTATATATTTATGTAACTATGTACTTATTATCTATGTATTTATGTATCTATGTACCTACGTATCTATCTATGTGTTTATGTATCATCTATGTATCCATGTATCTATTTATACTAGAGGCCTGGTGCACAAAATTTTGTACACTGGGGGGGGAGGGGATCCCTCAGCCCGGCCTGTGCTCTCTCACAGTCTGGGAGCCCTGCAATCAATCACCCCAAAGAGGTAGGCCCCGCCCACCCGGCCAGGGCTCCACGATGAATGGCCCCTGCAGAGGGAGGCCCAGGCTACCTGCTGCACTGCCGCCGGCCGGATAGCCTGGGCCTCCCTCTTTGGGGCGATGGTGGAGCCCCCCAATTGATCGATCACCCCACCGGCCGGGGCCTGGGCCTCCCTCTTCAGGGCGATCATGGGGCGATGGCTGGGCCCCCGTCCAATCGCATCGCACCCACGTTGGCTGGCCTGGCGCCAGTGGGTGTCACAGTGTGGTCGTCCAGATGGTCATCTGGATGGTTGCTCCACTGTTCAGCAGTCTGGTCGATTTGCATATTACACTTTCATTATTATAGATATCCATCTATGTATCTATGTATTTATCTATGTATCTATCTATGTATCTTCCTATCTACCTATTTACTTATCTATTTCTCTGTCTCTCTCTCTCTATTCATGTGTCCATCCATCTCTATCTACATGAGAATTTTCACAGGAAATGGGACGTAAAAGTAGTGTGGTATATGTTATCAGAAAGCAACTATCCATGATCAGTAACACGTTCCCCATGTGTTTTAGCCACGTTGGTATCTCGGATGGACGTGAAGAGCATGTGAGCGCCCAGACAGCTCTGAGTTGCTTGGGGGGCTGGCGAGGACTGTGACACATGAAGCTGTGTCATGAACACGACGCAGGAAAAGGGACCAGGCGGAGGTCCCTGTGGACAAGGGCCAGCGGCCCTGGTGGCGGCCCGGGCACCCACCTGTGACCACTCGGACGCTTCCCAGATGGACAGGCAGTCCTGGCCCTCGCAGCTCTGCACGGGCGCGGGCCGGGCGCCCTGGCAGTAGAGGGGCCGCGTGGTGACGTGGGTGCCGTTCTGCAGCTGGTACACGCAGGTCACCTCCCGCTGCTGGACGCCCTTCTCGCAGGTCGCTGAGCAGGGGCTCCACGGGCCGGCCACCCACCTGGCCGGGAGGAGGAGAGACGGTGAGAGGAGATGCGGGCGGAGAGGCCAGCCTCCCCGAGGGCCCTGCCCCCGGACCATGGAGCCTGGGGCCTTCGGGACACAGGGGGGAGGCAGAGCAGAGAGCTCTGCGTGGACTCTGTCTTTTGTCCTTGTTAATTCTCACCCGAGGATATTTTCCCATTGATGTTTAGAGAGAGTGGAAGGGAGAGGGAGAGACAGAGACAGAGAGACACATCGATGTGAGAGAGACACATCGATTGGCTGCCCCCCCCACACATCGAGCCTAAGCCTGCAACCGAGGGACGTGCCCTTGACCAGAATCGAACCGGAAACCCTTCAGTCCACAGGCCAACACTCTATCCACTGAGCCACACCGGCCGGGCGCCCTCCTGATTTTAACATGTTGGCCATGAACTCCAAACCTTAGACACCTCTGTGGGCCCAGCCGGGTCTGCTGTGGAATTCAGCTCCACACCTCCAGTCTGGGACTTCACGCTTTCACATTTGGGCGGTGGGGGGGCAGCTGTGCCAGACCTGAACCGACGTCCAAGTGGCCATGTGTGTATTTTCCTCTCGCTCTCGCCTACAGAAGCCATTACTGGGCACCAGCGCTTGTCACATGGGCACCTCAGGCATTGCTTTCTCCTCCGCTTTGGTCCCCACACCCCTGTTGCACACACACGCATATGCACACATGTGCACAGACCCACACGCATGTACACGTGTGCACACACATGCTAGCCCGTCTTTTGGTCGCCTTCACAGATGCGTCCCAAGCATCTTGTCTTCAGACAATGAGAAAGAAAAGGCTGCTCCAGGGGAGTAACATGGCGTGGTTCTCCCGAGACCCCAGCGTGAGTGGGACCAGCCCCAGGCACCCCTCCGTCCGCGACCACGCGGCTGCTGCGGAGAACACAGGGGCTTAACGAGCACCAGCAGGCGCCCGCCCGCTCCCCGCCGCCCAGCCCCACCGTCATTCCAGGTGAAACGGCGCCAGCAGGCCTCCCTGCCACGCCGCCCGGTGCCCCGCGCTGGCTAGGAAAAGGCTCGGGATTTCTCAGGGCCCTGCCTGCGGACCGTTCCCAGGGGAGGGACCCAGGGCCGAGCGAGCCAGCCGGCCTCTTCGGGAAAGTGTGCGGAGGGGACGGGCTGCACGGGCCTGAGTGTTCGGAGGCCCAGGCACAGGGCTCCCTCAGGGACCAGCCGGGAGCTGGCTGCCTGCGCCCGAGCTCGCCCGCCCTGCGAGGCTCTGGCACGCGGCTTTACGAGTAGGCAGTTTGCAGTTCTGCCTGCTCCCACCCGTGACTACCTTTATTATTATTATTATTTAATATATTTTCACTGATTTCAGAGAGGAAGGGAGAGGGAGAGAGATAGAAACATCCATGATGAGAGAGAATCAAGGATCGGCTGCCTCCTGCACACCCCCTACTGGGGATCGAGCCTACAACCAGAGCATGTGCCCTGACCGGGAATCGAACCCAGGACCGCTCGGTCCCTGGGGCAATGCTCAGTCCACAGAGCCACACCAGCCGGGCTTAGCCGCATCTTGCCAAGGCCGCCCACCTCCTCCTTGGGGGTGGGTCTCCCCGAGGCAGCGTGTTCCGAGGACACTGCAGACCTCGGCTCTGGCACGTTGGGGAGACACCGCGCATTAACACCGCAGGCGAAAGAAACCTGGGAGTTTCCTATAAAACGTTACAGCGGGATCCGTCACCGAAAGATACTCATGCCCTTCCGTTCACGTCCCAGATGATCCAGGCATCCCGAGCACATGGTGTCACAGCAGATGCTGGGCAGATGCTCCTCTGGGAACAGAGACAATAATTAGTCTCAATTAAGTTCCCAATAAATTATGGAGCGGGGGCGGGGGGGGGCCCTTTGGCGGCTCAGCCCTGTGTGGCTTGTTGGGCTCAAGTCAGTGAACCTGGTCCAAGTCTGTTAGAAACTCTGATGGCTCTGGCTAATTCACGTTCAGAGTAAACTGCATACAAGTCTTGGCATGAGAGGGAATAATGAATCCCATAACCACTTGCAATTGGAAATAATAATTTGTTAATAATTTTAATAGCTAATGAGCTACAGAAACCATGTCCAGGAGTCCTGCAAGTAGAAGGGAAAGAGATCCGTTTTATTTCTGGCTTCCTTTCCCTTCAAATATATTTTATTGATTTTGAGAGAGAAGAAGGGAGAGGGAGGGAGAGAGAAACATCGATTGGCTGCCTCCTGCACGCCCCCTAGTGGGGATCGACCTGGAAAACCAGGCGGGAATGGAACCGTGCCCTCCTGGTTCATAGGTCGACGCTCAACCACTACACGTGTACCGGTTAATAATGCACATGGTAAGCCACGCCAACTGGGCAAAAACTCTTACTTGTTTAAAAATATTTCTCTAAAGCCTCGATACTTGAAGGACAGTTTTGCTAGATATAAAACCCCCGGTTGCACAGTCTCCCTCCTGGTCTCTGCTGTTGTGTAAGGACGCCCCTCACACCCACGTGACGACGGGGACCTGGGAGTCAGGGTGGCAGTCACAGAAACCACCAGGAGCGTGTGGGCACTGGAAGGGAGGAAGAGCAGAGGGGGTGCCCCAGTTCTCGAGGGGCTCCGAACCTTCACAGCCATGAGTTTGCCTGGAGCCTGCTGATTCCGTGGCCGCCCCACCATGGAGCCTGCCCAAAGCTGTCAGGACTGGAGGGTGACAAACTCCACGGGCAGAGCTGCAGTCAGACCCCCCGGAGGCCTCCCTGGACAGGATCACAGGCGACCTGGGTCTCGCTGCCACTCCATGGTAATGGGCCATGGGACTGCTTTTTGTTATTGTTCGTTTGTTTTTTAAACAAACCCATTTTTATTGATTTTAGAGAGGAAGGGAGAGGGAGAGAGAGAAACATCAATGATGAGAGAGAATCATGGATCGGCTGCCTCCTGCACGCCCCCCACTAGGGGTGGAGCCCACAACCCAGGCATGTGCCCTGACCGGGAATTGAACCATGACTTCCTGGTTCACAGGTTGACACTCAATCACTGAGCCACACTGGCCGGGCCCATTGGATTGTTTTCCAGCTCAATTAGTAGAAATACCACCGACACTTGCCAAGTGCCGCTGATCTACTGTCATCAAGGCCACAGTCAAGTGTGACGAGGGGAAGGAAGGGAGAGCTTCCTGCAGGAGCTGATGCTGAGAGCGTGGGAAGAGGAGGGCTCCTGGGCAGGGGCAGGGTGGAGCCAAAGCCAGAGTAACAAATGCACCGCTTCTATTTCAGCGGGAAGCAGGAAAGAGGAGCTTCACGGGTCAGACTACCTAGAAACGGACGCGATCATGGCATCTTTTCAGATTTTGGCTGTGCCTAAGGATCCACATGTTCTACACTTAATTCTTAAGTCATGATCACACGCATGCACACACACGGACACACACACATGCATGCAATACTCATGCATATATGCACACATGCATGTGGAATATGCTGCCATAAAAATAGAAGGGATTTCACTCAATCTTAACCCCAAACCAGGCGAACCTGGTTAAGATATCTCAGCAAAGAGGACACATTTCAACTCCAAACTCACTTCCTCACAGATGACTATTCGGGGTGCTTGCCAGGAAGATATTTCATGTTCTTCTCTGAATCCCCCAAATTCAACACGCAGCACAGTATGTGCCGCCTGGAAGGGGTCCAAGCCGTAACGACTCTGGGGGAATAGCTAATAGCTTGGCAGTAACTTCTCAAGTGGCCAATAAGCTCTAAAGGGCTGAAGAGACATGAGCTCGGTGACGCTGAGCTGCTGGTCCCAGCAGGCGCCCAGGTCCCTCCCTGTCATACCCCCTCCTCGCTCCAGGACGACGTGGGACTGGGCCATGAGGGACAGGCTCGCCCCTTCGCTGCCAGGTGACGGCAGGGCCTCTGTCCTGTGGACAGCAGTCAGCACGGGGAAGGCCGCTGGCCGCAGCCATGGCAGCTGAGCGGATCTGCAATTTCTGCCTCGCCTGCCAGCGTCGGGGCCAGGTTCGCCGATGTGTTTGTGTTGGTGCGGGAGGCTGGAGGGAGACCATCTGCTGTGTGTGTCAGATTCCAGATTCCAGATGGTTAGGGCGGGGTTTGGGAGCGGTACCCACGGGGCGGGGGGCGGGGGGGGGCAGGGTTAGAATAAGGAGGTGCGAATGGCGTGCAGTCTGGGAGGGAAAGGCAGCTTGCTGGGACCTGGATGGGAAAAGAGGGCTGAAGAAAATGGAAGGGGGGGCCGGGGAAATCGAGGAAAACATTCGGGATAAAGACAACCATCCCCCCGCCCCCCTTTTGAATTGATTTTTAGAGAAAGAGGAAGGGAGAGGGAGAGAGAGAGAGAAACATCAATGATGAGAGAGAATCATGGATCGGCCGCCTCCTGCACGCCCCCTACTGAGGATCCAGCCCACAACCTGGGCATGTGCCCTCCGTGGAATCCAGCTGTGACCTCCTGGTTCCTAGGTCGATGCTCACCCCCTGAGCCACGCCCGCCTGATGGATTGAACATTTCCATCCCAGTTCCGGCTTAGCAGCCAGAGGTCCAGTATTCCCAGCACACAGACGCCTCAGCAGCGAGGGAAGGCGGCAGAGTGGCCTGTACCGACTGTATTGCCGCGCCCCCGAGGGCCGGCGCCGGAGATGCCAGCTCCTTACCGTGCCTGGCATGGGTGTGAGTTGCACCTTCGGACCTGGGGCTCCGGGCGGCTCGCTGGGGGGCAGTCGCTGTCATTCACCAGCGTCGTGGTCTTGTTCACGATGCGCGTGCAGGACACGATGGTCCTGCGTTCCCCTGGAAACCAGCGCACAGGGAGCTGAGAGGCTGTGGCTGCCACCTCGGGAGGGGCTTGAGGTCCCGCTATGGAGGGGCCTGCAGGGGTGTCTTCTCATCGGAGAGTCATTAACTGACTGCAGTCAGGGCAGGAGAACTATCAGCTCGGCCAGGAGGGTGTGCAAGACATGGGCAGGGCAGTGCGGGGCAGGAGAAAAATTCTAGACTAGGACCAGAAAGAGGCAACTGCTGCCCGGCCGGTGTGGCTCAGTGGTTGGGCGTCAGTGGTCCGGGCTCGATCCCCAGTAGGGGGCGTGCAGGGGGCAGCAGATCCATGATTCTCTCTCTCATCGATGTTTCTCTCTCTCCCTTCGTCTCTGAAATGAACAAACACTGGTTATGTGCCCAGCCTGTCCCCCTCTGTGCCCTGACCACAGAGTGTCCGGAATCCACGCCTCCTTCCTTCAACAAAACCCCGCACCCGTGGGCCGGGACCCCGGGGCTCACCTCCTCCACACTGCACGCTGCACCCCTCCCAGCCACTGTGGGTCCAGATGAACAAGGAGTCGTGGGGTTTCTCGGGCTCGCTCTGATTCTCAGCCGTGGCGTTTACGGGGATGGTGTACTCATAGTGAATTCCGTAATTCTGGTCATGAAATAACAACACCTGGGCAGGAGGCAAAAGAGGCTGCTTTGAAACCACGCAATAGCCCGAGGAGAGCCTCGCTGTGGGGTCTCCCTCCCAGTGGGCACGGGCTTTTAAAATAGCTTCGACCTGCCCAGCCGGGATGGCTCCTGGTTGAGTGTCGACCCAAGAACCAGGAGGTCAGGGTTCCATTCCCGGTCAGGGCGCGTGCATGTCAGTGTTGTGGCTCGACCCCCAGTGGGGGGCGTGCAGGCGGCAGCCGATCCATGATCCCCTCTCCTCATTGATGTTTCTCTCTCGCTCTCCCTCTCCCTTCCTCTCTCTCTAAAAATCAAACAAAAAAAAAACAACCCATATTCAACTTAACGTTGCAAAACAAGGCTTCATGTAGGACTTTCCAGTGGCCTGGCTGTGGGGGGGGGGGTGTCCTCAGGGCAGGCCTAACACCAGTGGGTCCTCCCCGGGTCGAAGCCACCAGCAAGTTCACTTCCAGGCCGGGAGCTCCAGGAGAGGTGCCATCGGGAGCTCCAGGCAGACCATGCATGGCCCACCTGCCTAGACGGGGGTGGGGGGGGGGGTAGGTCAGGTGGCAAGTGCCTGAGACGGAAGCCTCCTCCTCCCTCCCCGGGGCTCCCCCTCCCCCGAGGGCTTGAGTGGGTGGGGGGTGGGGGTGGGGCGCCCCAGCAGCATAAACATCCACTTCTCCAAGGAACGCATTTGGAAACCTGCCTAGGGTGGAAAAGAAAGTAAAAAAAAAAAAAAAAAAAAACCTCTTTAAAAGAGATCTTTATTATCTCAGTCTGGGAATATAAGACTGGTGAATGGGGGATCCATCTGAAACCAATTTCATGCAATTTCGCAGCCACGTATACTTTGTGGGCAGGTCCCCGTGGCTCCCCAGTGCGTGCGTCCTGGTTTGGGGGACAGTGGCTTCTATGGACAGCCAGAGGGGCACCTCTTGTTTCTAATTTGCAAACTGGAAGTAACCGTCATCGTTCGCGAGAGAGAAGCGATTCACATTAACGAGGGCTGGGCCCGGGGCTGCAGCTCGCTCTCTCTCTCTCTCTCTCTCTCTCTCTCTCCTCTCTCTCCTCTCTCTCTGAGTTTTGTTTCTCGTGGTCGGAATGGATCCCGGCTGTGCCTCGGCCTGAACGGGCTGGCGATGCGCTCGGGCCATGAAAGCTTTGAGAAGAGATGGGAAATAAACCCATCCTGGCGCCTGCTACAGGGAGCAAATGCAAGGGCGGCCGGGTGACCTGAGGGTGTCCTTGGCTTCCTCTTCCAGGCCCTCTGCATAACTGCTTTTATTTCATTATGATCATCATTACTTTTAATCCTCACCCGAGAATGTTTTTCCCATTGATTTCTAGAGAGAGTGGAAGGGAGAGATAGAGAGAGAGAGAGAGAAACATCGGCCTGAGAGAGACACATCGATTGGTTGCCTCCTGCACATGCCCCTACCGGGGCTAGGAAACCTGCAGTTTAGGTATGTGCCCTTGACCCGCGACCATTTGGTCTGCAGGTGGATACTCTCACCACTGACCAAACCGGCCAGGGCTGCGTTTATTTTGTTTTATTTTATTTTATACATTTTTGTTGCATTCAGGGCTCACAGGCAGAGCTGTCCCTGCAGTGCTTTGATATTCTTAAAAAGGATGCATCAGCCTAGCCGGTTTGGCTCAGTGGGCAGCGCGTCAGGCACAGACTGAAGGGTTGCGGGTTTGGTTCCGGTCAAGGGCATGGATCTCAGTTGCAGGCTCCATGCCCAGCCCTGGTTGGGGCATGTGTGGGAAGGAAACAATCAAAGTGTCTCTCTCACATCGATGTTTCTCTCTCTCTCTCTCTCTCTCTCTCTCTCTCTCTCTCTCTCTCTCTCCCCTCCCCCCTCCCTTCCATTCTCCCTAAAAAAATCAATGGAAAAAATCTGCAGGTGAGGATTAACCAAAATAAAAGGATGCATCCGCAGGTGGTCCGCGGGTTGAGTGACATCCTCCCCGACAGGTAAGACAGGACCCCACAGGTGTCTGAGACCACCCGGGGAGTCGACATTCCCGGAGAACCTGGGCCTCCCCCACCCCCAGTTCCCGGATGCCTGTTGCAAGGCGAGCTTGGAAAATCTGAGCACTGCTGGTTTGGAAGGAAGCGGAGTCAACAGCTCCTTTCCAAAAGGTAATTTCCAGTGCGGACACACACCGAGGGGCGGACCGGTGCCGTCTGATGGGAAAACACAGACTTCGCGCGGCCGGCTGCTGAACGGGCCAAGTCTCCCTGGCGGCCCCAGGGCTGCGCGGCTCCTTCCTGGAGGCAGTTCCCTTTAAGAAGAGGTGGGAGTCCTGCCAGCGAGGAGCAGGGCGACGGTTCTGAGAGGGGGGAAATCCGAAGCATGCCCAAAGGGATGAGATAAGAAAAGATGGAGGCCGGCCGGTGTGGCTCAGTGGTTGAGCGTCGACCCAATGAACCAGGAGGCCACGGTTTGATTCCCGGTCAGGGCACATGCCCGGGTTGTGGGCTTGATCCCAATAGGGGGTGTGCAGGAGGCAGCTGATCCCTGATTCTCTCTCCCTCTCTCTCTCTCTGTCTCCCTTCCTCTCTGAAATCAATAAAAATATATTTAAAAAGAAAAGAGAAGATCAAGGGCGAGCCTGGAGCTGCAGGGGGCCAGGTAAGCCACCAGGAGCCGGTACACCTGCCCGCCACCCACACCCCCAGGAAGAAGTAGACTGGGGATCCTCTCCGAGCCTTACCATCAAGTGCAGGGGGATTTTGGTCGGTCCCTTGGCAGAAATCTTCTCCCACAGGCCCCTGCGGACGTAGCGGACCGTGGTGCCGGCGATCTGGAACTCTCCGGGGAGCTCGATCTTCCAGTCGCTGTTGATGGACCTCCGGCTGGAGTCCTTGAGGGCTGGCAAGAGAACGGGACAGCATGGAGCCGAGGCCACGCAGAACACCTGTACAGAGCAACCCGCCGACCCAGCCTTCCCTCTCCTGGGTACGGATCCCCCCAAAATTCCCAAACGAAAAAAAGTCAATAAAAACATTAAAGAAAAAGAACACAGGGAATTCTGGAGGGACCTGGTTCTGTCTGTGATGGATGTCTGAGGCTCTGATTGGCTGGGAAGAACAATTTCATTTTCAGGCTCCGCCGGGGTCAGAGGTCAGACGTTTGATTTGTATTTATTTTTTAAATATGTTTTTATTGATTTCAGAGAGGAAGGAAGAGGGAGAGACTGAAACATCAATGATGAGAATCATGATCGGCTGCCTCCTGCACGCCCCTTACTGGGGACTGAGTCTGTAACCCAGGCATGTGCCCTGACCGGAATAGAATCTGGGCCCTTCAGTCCCCAGGCCTCCGCTCTATCCACTGAGCAAACCAGCCGGGGCAGGTCGGATGTTTTAAATCGCTGCCTGAAACACAGCAGGGCCTTTGTGTATTTTGCTGAGGAGCCATTAGGAGCCTCTGAATGGGGAGAGGAACTTCCCACAGAAGGGAGGGTGGGTCCCTGCTCTCCTCACCGCCCTGGCAGGGCAGACAAAACCTCCTCCAGGGCCGAGAACCTGAGGTCACGTGATGCATGTCTGTTCCCAAACCGGGCCCTCCTTTCTCCGTGCAGATATTTACATGTTGTCCGTGGACGCCGGGCACGGAGGGAAAGCTTGTGAGCCATGCTGGGCAGTGTGGAGGGGCATCCCTGGCCGGGAGGGCAGGCTCCTGGTTAGCGCTGGCTGCAGGCCCATGTGGGGGTCTGACCCCGTCCCCAGGCCACACCCCCCGCACCCGTGGGGCTGTGCAGGAGCGGGCTCCTCGGGTCTCTCCCCGCCTGGGTTGCACTGGGAAGACTTGACCCGCAGTCAACCCACTTCTAATCCTGGCGCCGCGTCAGCGCCTTTTATTTCCACCCGGAGGCCCGCCAGGGCTGTTCTGAGCCGTGGATGCGAACTGCAGAGGCATTTCCTGTTCCAGGTGGTTTCGAGCCGCGAGCCAGGCGGCGTGGGCTGGAGGTAGGTGGGGTGGAATTCCTCGGGAATCGCTCCCAGCAAATGCGAGGGGAGCTCAGGGCTCCACGGGCTTAACTTCCAGAGCGCCCGGCCCTGGTGCCAACATGGCTGGGTTGCACTAAACTTTGGAAACGTCACGAGCGTGGACCACCTCCGGGCTTGCCCAAGTGCATACCCCAGGCCCTGGAATCCTGGGGTTCTGATTGGCAGAGGAGATGAGGGGACCAAGGCAGGCCAGGCCGGTGTGGCTCAGTGGTTGAGCACTGACCTATGAACCAGGAGGTCACAGTTTGATTCCCGGTCTGGGCACATGTCCGGGGTGCGGGCTCCATCCCGTGTGGGGTGTGCAGGAGGCAGCCGATCCATGATTCTCTGTCATCGCTGATGTCTCTCTCTCTCTCCCTCTCCCTTCCTCTCTGACATCAATAAAAGTATATATTTTTGAAAGTCCATTTCATGTGGGAATTAGAAGCTGAGCGATCTAGTGGACCCTGACATCCTGCTGCCCTTTTCACGTTTCCAGGGAAAAGCAGAGATAATGTCCCCCATGTTGCTCGCTACCCGGGGCTGGGGTCAGCTGCGCGATGGCGCTGGGAAGTCCCGGCAGCCAGAACCATGAGTCTTTCTATCACGACACCTAAGGTATGAGTTTGACACCGATGTCCTGGGAGAATGCTGCTGACCCGATGACCGGCCCGCCCCGTCCTCCGCCTCCATCCTCAGAACAGACATCGCGAGTCAGATCATTGTTTTGGCGTTACCTAGGAAACTGTGGGCGGGTTTGTCCTCCACCACGCGGATCCTCCGAGCTCCGGCGGGAATGACAGCGGCTTCGATATAGCCTGTGGTGACGGATAACATGGGTGAACCACTCTTGCCCCATCTCCCACCAAAGTCCCCTCGCCCCTCCTCCCCCATAGAGATTTCAGAGCTGGTGGGAGGTACAGCTATGGCAAGTGTCAATCACAGAGCGTTCTTGTATGGCCACAGCCCCTGGGCTGCCGAATTCCAGAGCAGCACTTACTTATTTGCACGAGGGATGGGTTGAACCGTATCCCGCCCCCCACCCCCCAATTCACTGGTTAAAGTCCTAACCCCCGGGACTCAGAATGCGACCTGATTTGGATTCGCGTCACCGAAGATGCAATTAGTTCAGATGAGGTCTTTGTTATATTTTTAAAAACAGAATAGACTGTTTAAGAAGGTTTCTCTTTCAGAACAAAACGCAAAGGGGTGCAGAGCTCATGGGTCACCGTGGGGGGTTCCCGTGGACACCAGTCGCTGGCGCTAAGGCCAGTGCGGACTAAAGGCCATAACGTCAAAACGGCGATTTAATGAATGAAGTGAAAGCCTCGTACCGAGAGCTTCCAAAACACCCCATTCAAACCACTTCGCTGTGCCAACTCCACCGAAGGCTGAGCCCACCCCTGAGGAAAGCAGTGTGATGGCCAATTCGAGCCAATTCCTTCACAGATGAGTTGCCCGGGGCCTTGATCGGTTCAAGGCTGGGAGGCGACAGGCCAGAGGGTCATACTACCTCCACGCAGCCCTCCAGGACACGAGAGGAAGGCATCCAGGAGGACATAGACGCTGTCCCCGTGGGGGGCTGCTCAGAATTCCCAGCTTCAGTATTGAAGGTAAGAGGACCCAGAGGAGGTCAGACAGGGGTCAGGATTTCTCAGAACTGGGCAGAAAGCCTGCGTCCGATCGCTTTTCATCTCCGGGATGGTATTTCTCTGTGATAGTCACCCTCGAGGGTGATAACATTCCTCCTGGGCGCTGGGCAGAGATGAAAGGTGCCTCCCTATCAGAGCTGACAGAATCGGCCGGTCTTTCAGCCACACTTGGCGCCACGGAGATGTCACATGACCTGGGGGAATCATACTATTTCGAAGTTGGGTTCCTCCTTCAACCTGAAATGCCCTGCCCCACCCCCACAGACAGTTAATCTCTAGTCGCCCTTTTTAAAAAAAAAAAAAAAAAAATTATTGATTTCAGAGAGGAAAGGAGAGGGAGAGAGAGACAGAAGCATCAGTGATGAGAGAGAATCATGGATCAGCTGCCTCCTGCACGCCCCCTAGTGGGGATCAAGCCTGCAACCCGGGCCTGTGCCCTGACTGGGAATCGAACCGTGGCCTCCTGGTTCATAGGTTGACGCTCAACCACTGAGGCACACTGCCTGGACCACCTCTCCTTGTTCTTTAGGGCGTAGGGGTGCCCTCATCTGCCCGCAGCCCTGAGGGAGGCGCCCTGCAGCACCCCCGCTGAGCTGCCTCCCCCTCATACATGCACTCAGGCTGTTTGCCGGGTTCCCCTCCCCTGGACTTGGTGACAGCTGCATTTTCCTTCTGCAAACCTCCTGCCTCTAACATCGTCGTCACGCTGAATCAATGTGCACTGGATGAAAGGCTCATGGGCGACTGTGGCTCAGTGGTGGAGCATCAACCTATGAACCAGGAGTCACGGTTCGATTTCCAGTCAGGACACATGCCCGGGCTGCGGGCTCCATCCCCAGTAGGCGGTGTACAGGAGGAAGCCGATCCAGGAGTCTCTGTCCTCACTGATGTTTCTCTCCCTTTCCCTTTCCCTCTCCCTCTCCCTCTCCTTTCCTCTCTCTGAAATCAATAAAAACATATTTTTGGGAAAAAAAATCAATGGAAAAAATGTCCTTGGGTCCCGAGGATTCACAACAATAAAAACATCTGAAGCGGCTCAGTGGCCAGTGGCTATGAGACTGGACGGAGCCGCCTGGATTCTCACACAAGCCGCCTGCCTGACAGACTGGACGCCTGCGTCACTGTGGATAAGACGCCTTTCTCTGCCTTGCAGAAGCTGTGACTCTGAGTCCCAGGTCACCCTCTCAATGGCCCACCAGCCCTTCCATACGAAACGCAGGGAGGGCACGCGATCGCTGGCTTGGGGGCCAGGGAAGTAAGACGTCCGTAAAGCACAGGCTTGCGCCCCGCGCTCACCTGTCCCCCGGGAGTGGCTGAAGTCGCCCTTGACCACGCGGCAGGTCTTGCCGTCCCCGCTGCACACCCCGCACCGGTCCTCCTTGGCCGCCGACCCGATGATGCCGTCGCAGCCGATTTTCTAGAAGACCAGAGAGCTGGGTTAGCCTGGGCTCCCGTCTCACAAAGGTCTGTCACGTGACGCTGGGGCCCCCATACTTTCAGAGGCCCGAGCAAATAGGCTAATTTATTTTAAGACCAGAAGATCAAAGAATGAATGGGAGCCAGCTTGCGTTATGTTCGGCAGGATAACCACCTCACGGCCGAATACAATCTTTCGTGTCTGACAGAGAGAAGGGGGCCCAGGAAGGCAGCAGTGTTCCCAGCCTGGCCGGCGAGGCTCAGTGGGCTTCATTTTTCTGGCTGGGAGGGAGAACACGTGCTTTCTGTAACGTAACAGCCATCTTGCAATGACAGCCGCGTTCTCTCTTCCATCAGAGGGACGCCGCCGACTCCTTACTTTCATTTGGACTAAAGACTTTCAGGCCGGCGGCACCAGCCCTCGACCCGGCATTTTCTGGGCTCCCGGTTAGTTCTAACAATTCACAGCCCTCGCCTGTTTTTTTTTAATGTATATTTTTATTGATTTCAGAGAGGAAAAGAGAGGGAGAGAAAGAGAGAGAGAAACAACAATGATGAGAGAGACTATGGATCGGCTGCCTCCTGCACGCCCCCTACAAGGGATCGAGCCCGCAACCTGGGCCTGTGCCCTGACCGGGAATCGAACCGTGACCTCCTGGTTCATAGGTCGACACTCAACCACTGAGCCCGGCCGGCTGGGCTCGCCTTCCCCTTCTCGACTTTCCCCTTGTTTGGTTAAAGGCCACGCCATCTCTCCGAGAACGGGCGCCTGGAAAAGAACATTTCTGAGTTCTCCCGTATCTCAACGTTCCTTTATTTTGCTCCCACGCTTGGTTGCTGACTTGGCAGCAGAATTCTAGAATCCTGCAGGAGTCTATAATTATCTCCCCTTCTTCTGCCAGGGTGCGTTTTCCTGTGTGTTTTTCTTGGTCTTTCTCGGGCCGGCTGCTGCTTTTCTTCTAACAGCAGGTCATCTCTGGTTGACCGCTCGCATTTGAGAAGGAGGCACACAGGAAGACCAACCCGGGGAGCTAGACTTGAGGGCGGGGGTGTCGCATGGGGGGCTTCCACTCAGGTGAGTGCCGTGCTCAAGCGCTGAGCCCCGCGGGCCGGGCCCTCCCTCCTTTCTCTTTCTTTGTCTCCTTCCGTGGCATTTATCACTGTTCCAGTGAGTCACAGACATGCAACATCAGGATGGGTTTGGGGACTATATCCCAGTGGGTGGGGCAAGTCCCCAAAAGCCAGGCATCGGTACCCCTGGGGTACCATTTGCCAAAGGCACCAGCTTCGTTCTGTATCTTTTGTCTCGAACCAGAGTAGAGCTTGTCCAAAAACATACGCTCACCTACACCTCCCACCCTCACCTGGGCATCACTCTTCCCTTTGTCATCACGTCTCAGGTTGTTCAAACATTTTTGAACATTTAAACACTACGAGACACCTACTCTTTCAGCCACCTCGACTCCTAGGTGGTAGCCAGGTGAGCCTGCAGGAGCGGGTACCAGTCTGAAGGTGGGAGGCAGCACCCTGGCACCTTCTTAAGAAAACCCATTCCTCTGCCCGGCTGGCGTGGCTCAGTGGTTGAGCAGAGCGGTCGACCCATGAACCAGGAGGTCACGGTTGGATTCCTGGTCAGGGCACACACCCAGGTGGCGGGCTCCATCGCCAGTGTGGGGCATGCAGGAGGCAGCCGACCCATCAATCGATGTTTCTCATTGCTGTTTCTGTCTCTCTCCCTCTCTCTTCCATGCTCTCTAAAATCAAGAAAATATATATTTTTAATCCTCACCAGAGGATATTTTCCCAGTGATTTTAGAGAGAGTGGGAGAGAGAGTAAGACAGAGAGAAATATTGATGTGAGAGGGACACATCGATTGATTGCCTGCTGCACACTCCTTGACCAGGGCTGGGGAGGAACCTGCAACCGAGGTACGTGACCTTGACCGGAATCGAACCCGGGACCCTTCGGTCTGCAGGCCGACGCTCTATCCACTGAGCCACACCGGCCAGGGCAATAAAAAAACATATTTTTTAAAAAAAGAAAACCCACTCCCCCAGGTCTCCCCGGGCCTCCGCCCACGCCGAGCCCCTCTGAGGCGAGCCGCCCCGCCAAGGACACAGAGAGCACACGTCACCTGGCACCTGCCGTGCACGCAGAGGTCGGTCTCGTAGGGCCCGCAGGGCGTGCCGTCCAGGACCCTGTCGGCCACCAGCAGCGGGGACTCCTTCCCCAGGGGCGAGCAGTACAGCTCACACGGCTTATCTGGGGAGGGAAGGGGTGAACGTTGGCGTGAGGAGGGCCATGCGGGGCGCGGGGAATTGCTTTGCAAAGGGACCGCGAGAGGAACATGGATGCCTGCGTGCTCTCTCCACCAGAGTCTCCCTAGGGGGCCTCCCGGGGGCCTGGGAGCGAGGGTGGAACTGACGGGGCCACAGAGGACTGGACACTGAGCTGGAGGGTTCCTGCTACAGCAGATACGCTTGCACCAGCGCCCGGGCTTTCGTGAACGAGTGACGGTCACTGAACGACCACTATGCTCAGCTGCTTTCCGTGGCTGGTGTCCCGTGGCACCCTGATCCACGCCCCAGTGGGAAGGCTTGTCTTAGGAGGCTAGAGGGGAGTGTCCTAAGGTTATAAGGAAGAGTCCTTTGGCTAAAGCAGTTTGAAAACAGTGAATTTTAATTTTTTTTTTTAATTTTTATTACTTCCAGAGATAGGAAGGGAGAGGGAGAGAGAGAGAGAAACATCAATGATGAGAGAGAATCATGGACCGGCTGCCTCCTGCAAGCCCCCTACTGGGGATCGAGCCTGCAACTCGGGCATGTGTGCTGACTGGGAATCGAACCGTGACCTCCTGGTTGATAGGTTGCAGCTCAACCACTGAGCCACACCGGCCGGCGGGCAAATTCTCTCTGTTTTGTTAAGCAGCTCCAGCTGGCTTCACTGAGCTGGAGTGACAGAGCCCTCACCATCACACCCGCCCGGTCCCCTGCAGGGGCTCCGACCCGGAGGGGGTCAGCCGTGCCGGGGAGACGGAGCTGGAATGTGCCTCTCGGCCTGTGCCAAGCCCTCCGACGCCTCGGCGGGCGCGTGGCCTGCTGGCCCGGCCGGGGACGCCTGAACTCTGCAAGGTCTGCGCTGCGATGAGATTCCACGGGGAAGGCAGAGACGGGGTGGGCTGGGCCCCGGGCCACGTCCACGGTTCTGTGTGAAGGCTTTTCCACGGAGAAGCCGTTTCTAAGGAGAGTCTTTGTCTCCTGCGGGAGGCGGGAAGGGCTGTGGTCCCAAGTCCTCCCTTGGAAAATCTACCTCTGCAAGAATTTCCTTGTTTTCTTTTTCCTTCGTTCAAGAAGAGAAAATAGAAAAAAAATACAGCTTCTCCCTCCCTGAACTGTGCGTCACCGGCCAAAGAATTCCGCCGCGATAGCAGAGCTATGAATAGGGCGGTCAGGACGGGCTCCGCAGAGCCGGGGCCGGGCCGGGCCCTGTGGAAAGCGGCTTTGGAGAGGAACGCTGACACGCTGCCCTCCCTCCCTGCTCTGGGTCGGCCATTGAGGAGTTGGTCTTTCTCCTCTGAAACGCTCCTCTACCAAGGGCTGGCTCCTGCTTCTGTCTGAGAAGGAAATGAAACCGAGTCTGCGGGAAGGCCTGAGAGTCCCCCCCACAGGGGAGGCGGCCCCCGCAAAGCCCTGAGCCCCAGGTCTCTCTGTCCAAGGCGAAATGCTGACTGTACCCTGCCTGGCTTCCTTATCCAAGACGGTGGCCTTTTTAGCGCCCGGCCAGCATGGCTCAGTGGTTGAGTGTTGACCTAGGGACCAGGAGGTCACGGTTCGAATCCCTGTCAGGGCACAGGCCCGGGTTGCGGGCTCCATCCCCAGTGTGGGGCGTGCAGGAGGCAGCCGATCCATGATCCTCTCTCATCATTGATGTTTCTCTCTCTCTCTCTCCCTTCCTCTCTGAAATCAATACAAATATATTAAAATCAATAAATACGGCGGCCCCTTTCAGGTCATAGGCGAAGGCACTCATCACTTCTTACTTTGGGAGAAAAAACACCAAAAAGCGAGTAGGTGGAACCGTCCGAAGGCAATGAGCTTCCCCGAGGAGCCCCTGCGAGGCCCCCGGAGGGGGTGTGGGCAGAGGTGGCTCCCAGCCCCTGCGACAACTCGAAGGCCGCTGAGGAGGTCAGCCCTCCAGCAGCGGTTAGAAGTGAAGCGGGAGTGTGATCGGGACTTGGAGAAATGGGTGGAAAAACAGACATTTCAGTGGGATTTCTGCGTTTGCAGAAACGAGGCCGGAGAACTGCAAACCAAAGCAAGAGGCAAAGGAGAGGAAAACACAAACCCGTGCGCATAGCGGAGTGGAACGGAGGGCGGGGCGAGCCCCTCGGACGTGACCTCCTCTTGCTCCCGGGGAGCGGGAGAGGCCCGGCCCGGCCTCGGAGTCCTGGCCGATCTGTGGGCCTGGCTGAAGGTTTGCGAGCCCGGCCTCCCTCCGGACTAGGGATCCAGTGCACCCGGGGCTGCTGGGAGCCTCCTGTGTGCCAGGCACGGCCAGGCCGAGGGCGGTGAGAGTCTGTGCATGCAGCTGCCCACACCCTCCCGGGAAGGCGGGCTCCCCTCCCCCTTGACTGCAGGGGAAGCCAAGGTACAAAGGCTCCACGGGGTTGGCCCTGGCTGGTCTGGCTCAGTGGGTTGAGCGTTGGCCTGCGGGCTGAAGGGTCCAGGGTTCGATTCCACGCCCGGGTTTCAGGCTCAATCCCCAGTAGGGGGCGTGCAGGAGGCAGCCGATCCATGATTCTCTCTCATCATTGATGTTTCTCTCTCTCTCTCCCACTCCCTTCCTCTCTGAAATCAATAAAAATAAAAAATTTACAAAAAGGCTAAAAACCAACCCAAAATGACCCAGGAAATTGCAAGGCAGCGCCAACACTGGAAAGGGAGGCAGCAGACGCCCACTGTCCCGGCCCCGCACAGCCTCCCTCTCCACACGGTTGGCCCTGGGCCCTGGAAGCAGGCAGCAGGCTGCTGGTACTCCTCCCTCCACCCCCACCCCCCACTCCCGCTTGCTGCAAATGGGGGTGCGGGAGGCTCTGGGCTGCTGCCTGCCTCGCAGCTGCTCTCGGGAAATGGCACAGAGCTATGTCGTCCAAGGCCAACCCCAGGCTCAAGCCGTGGGTCCCTCCCAGGCTGACTGGGCCACCCTTCGGGGAGGACTACGGGTGGGGGCGCCCTCTGGGTTTCCCCGGGAGGCGTGAGGTTCCTGGGGAAGCGATGGAGGGAAAGGACGCGCCATGTTCCTCACCGTCCACCACCACCGCCGTCAGCAGGCCCTTCTTCTTGCTGCTCAGCCGGTCATGCGTCTGGCACTGCTGGTCCCGGAAGCTGGGCAGGCCCTTGGGGCAGGGGGGGTTCTCGCAGACCGCGTGCTCCACGCTGGCGCCCAGGCAGTGCGAGCCTCCGGGCCCAGGGCTGGAGGGGAGAGACCGGCCCCCCGAGTTAGCCAGACCCAGCCGGTGCTCCGTGTCCGCCTCCTTCCCAGGAGTGGGAGGGGCCGGGTCAGGCCTCCCAGCACCCCCTCTGCTCACATACCTCCCATCTCAGCAGCCCCAGCCCCACATGGACGGCGAGTGTGAGTGAGCCCTCAGGGAAACGCATCCTGAGGCTGCAAGGTCATCTGGACACGCAATGTGGTGAGTATGGGTTAGCAAGATCCACCCACTGTGCCTTCATCTGCACTTAAAACTTAGCCATCAGGCCCAGCCGGCGTGGCTCAGTGGTTGAGCATCGACCTGCGAACCAGGAGGTCATGGTTCGATTCCCGGTCAGGGCACATGCCTGGGTTGTGGGCTCGATCCCCAGTAGGGAGTGTGCAGGAGGCAGCCAATCCATGATTCTCTCATCATGAATGTTTCTCTCTCTCTCTCCCTCTCCTTTCCTCTCTGACATCTATAAAAATAAATTTAAAAAATAAAAACCATCCATGTGGACACCAGGTCGCTGGCGAGTGGAAAGGGCACATTTGGGGTCTCCCTGTGGGAGCAAAAGCCGTGACAGGTGCATGACGTCACTCCCGCCCTCCAGGGGCCTTAGCAAGCAGGCTGCTTCCCCTCCTGATGCTCCTGGGGGACCCCACCCCGGTGACCTGCCGCCTTCCTGGCTCCACGTCCCTTCCTCCTTGGGCTCAGACAGAGCTGGCTCTTCACCTGAGAGCGTCCGAGCCGTTGCACCCCTCCCTCCCCCAAACACCCGCCCTGCGATGCAGGGGGCACCGGCATTTGAATCAGAGGTGACCTTCCTACCCCGCAGGCTTTTGGCGGAAACTCCCACCAAGAAGGACACAAATCAGGGCAGGGAAACATGAGCCCAGGAGGCTGCAGCCAAGACACGGCTGACCCCCAAGGCCTGGAGGTCAGCTGGCAAGAAGCGCAAATTCCAATAGCTGGAAAGACCAAGACCAGAGAGAGAGAAAAGGGGGCGAAGGGAGGGACTCTCTTGCCAGTGTGCTTGGACAGCGAATAAACCAGCTGTAGGAGACGGGAAAGGGGCCAGGACTGAAGGGAAGGGGGCGGGGGGGTGGGAAGGCTCCGAAGCCAGGCCGGGATGCGCAGAGCAGGGAGGTTTGCACATCCTGGGAAATCGCAAGGCCGCCAGCCTGGTGCGCTGAGGGCTGAGCGGGAGGGAATGCTGTTGGGTCAGCGCTTGGCGCTGGGCCCCATCAGCTGTGTTTTGTAACAATCACCACATCAGGTCCTTCTGCAAAAGCGGCTGACGGCGGCCTGGGCCTCATACAGCTCCCCAGAGGGAGGCGCCCGGCGGCGGCTGGAACAGCCCCCAGGCCGGCCCCTTCGCTTCCCATTCACCTGCGGAATATCCCTGACGGGAGGAAAAGGGCCTGCCACTGCTCTTTAGGACAGGAATCTGGTGTTTTTTAAAAATATACATATTTGTGTTGATTTCAGAGAGGAAGGGGGGGGGAGAGAAACATCAGTGATGAGAGAATCATGGACCGGCTGCCTCCTGCACACCCCACACTGGGGATCAAGCCCAAAACCCGGGCAAGTGCCCTGACTGGGAGTTGAACCCAGACCTCCTGGCTCATAGGTCAACCTCAACCACGGAGCCACGCGGGCCGGGCAGGAAGATCGGACAGAGCTCCAAGGTGTAAATATTACCAGAGCAAAACCAGATTGCTGGGCTCCCTCGGAATAAACCAGGCTGGGTCAGAGCTTAGAGCTGGTCCCAAGAGGCCACGGTGCACCCTATCTGTGGGCGACAGTCTCGCGGGCACAGGGCGGGCACCAGTGAAGATGGCCCTCATGTGCAGGGGGACTGGCCCCGCTCCCTGGCTGCCCATAGTGGTTGGGGGGCCTCAGTGAAGCAGACGGTCCAAGGCCCGCCTGACCCACCTCTTTGGCACAATCCTTTGCAATAAGCTCAGTGTTTCAGGGAAACAACATGAGGTGTGTGCCCGGGGGGCACTGGAAATGCACAGGGTCACTGACTCTGAGCGAGCGGGCAGCCAGGCAGTGGGGGTGGGGGGGGGGCGCAGCACAGATGATGGAGGGCTGTACTGAGTGGTGCCCAAACAGGGGTGGCTCTATCATCTATCTATCATCTACCATCTATCTATCATCTATCCATCTGTCTACCTATCTATCACCTATCTATCTGTTATCTATTATCTATCATCTATCTAGCTTCTATTTATCTATCCATCTATCATGTATCTATTATCTATCATCTACCTATCATCCTATCTAATAACAGGCAAACATGGTAATTGACCGTACCTTCGCTACGCCTCCCACTGGCTAATCAACGAGATATGCAAATTAACCGCCAACAAAGATGGCGGTTAATTTGCATACGTAGGCGTGAAGCGGCGGATTGAAGACTGAAGGCGGCTCCGGCCAGAGCAGTGAAGGCTTGAAGGCAGCTCCGGCTGGAGCAAAGGCCTGAGTCCCGGGTGCCGGAGGAAAACCGGGGCCGGCAGCCAGGGGAAGGGAAGGCCTATTGCATGAATCTTTTGGTGCAACAAGCCTCTAGTCTATCTATATTCTACCATCTATCTATATTCTATCTATCATCTATCTAATTATAATCTATTTTATATATCTCCTGTCACCTATCTATCTGTTATCTATCTATCTATCTATCTATCTATCTATCTATCTATCATCTAGCTATCTATTACCCATCATCTATCTACCTATCATCTACTTATCTATCTGTCTGTCTGTCTATCTGTCTATCTTTCTATCTCCTATTGGTTCTCTTCCTCTGGGAAACCTTATACACCATCAATGCTCTTAATGAAATAGCCATTCCTAAAGCACTGAACACCTCCTGCGAGCCCGGCACTCTGTCGGGTTCCAGGGGAAAGGTTTCAGTGAGACACAATATGCAGCACCGATTCCCTTAGCACTACCAGAAGGGACAAGGTGTCCCTGGCATGGGCTGAACTGCGAGCATACACTTCACTGTAACCGGGGCCTCCACGCTGGCCAGGGGAACGACCCGAGAGAGTCAGCGCCTCTGCCCCGGCCCCCGGAGCGTGTGATTTATGGGGCTGGGACCCCGCCAGGGCCGCGGGGTTTTGCACACAAGGGGGATTTGCTAATTCTTCATCAACATGACTTAATTGTGGATAAAAAAGCCTTTCGGGTGAGTCATCATTCATAACGCGCTCCTTTACGACATTAATGGGATGCAGCTGAGGGCCCAGGAGACGAAAACGGGCCCTTTTAAGAAACAGTGAAAAGGGGGAGTTTCGAGAGAAGATCAAAACCCACGCGGCGAGGGCAGCGTGACTGGGCGCACACCTAGCCCCACGCATTCCGAACCGACGTGCAAACATGGACCAAAGAAAGACGGCCCCTGAGGGAGACAACCTGAAAACCACGGTTCCCAGCCAAACAGCTCCAGGAGGGCGGCTTCTGATACGCAGGTGAGCTCGGCAGCCACCCCAGCGCCTCCCCTGACGCCGTGGCCGGCAGGCAGCTTCCACAGCAGCCAGCAGCCGCCTGAGCTTGGCCGCCGCCTCCCGCCTACCGGCTTCCCTGGAATGACCTCCACTGAGCAGCGAGAGAGGCCCACCGGCCCCAAGCGTCTGTCCTCCCGCTGTCCCTGGGAGCCTTTTTAAAAAATCTTTTATTTCTATTGATTTTGTGGTTGTAATACCCCAAGGACATTTTCTGCACTGATTTTTAGAGGGAGTGGAAGAGGGAGAGGCAGAGAGAGACATCGATGTGAGAGAGACACACGGCTTGGCTGCCTCCTGCAATGCACCTCGCTGGGACAGGGGATGGAGCCTGAAATCAAGGTACGTGCCCTTGACCGGAATCGAACCTGCGACCTTTCAGTCTGCAGGCCAACACTTTATCCAAGGAGCCACGCCGGCTGGGGGTTATTGATCTGAGAGAGAGAGGAAGCAGAAGGAGAGAGAGAAACATCCATGATGAGAGAGAATCATGGATCGGCTGCCTCCTGCACGCCCCCTACTGGGGATGGAGCTTGCAACCCGGGCCTGTGCCCTGACCAGGAATGGAAGCATGACCTCCTGGTTCCTGGGTGGACGCTCAGCCACCGGGCCACGCCGGCCGGGCTCTGGAAGCCTTTGGATGGGGGTCCGGGCGAGGAACAGCGGCTCTGTTCCCCAGAAAGAGCTGGGCCGAGGAGGCCCCCTGACACGTGTCCCGCCCCGGACCTCGTGTATTTCAGTCCTTGCGCCTCCTTGTGAGACAAACCCTGTCCAGGGCAGTGAGACCCGCAGGTCGGGGAGCTGATGGAGGTGCGGGGCGGCGGGGCAGGGCACTCACGGGGGGTTGTCGCATTTCCTCTGCCGGAAGCGGGCTCCGGTCCCGCACGTGCGGCTGCACATGCCCCAGGCGCCCCAGGGGCTCCAGTCTCCGTCCACGTGCTCCGGGATGGGCGTCTTGCTCACGCACTCGCCCGCGCGGCACCACTGCAACACAGCAGGCCTCCCACGTGATGGGGTGCCCCCCCTTCTCCCCCCGCCCCCCATGGGTCCGATTGCGCTACCTAACTTAGGTCCCAGCAGCCTACGCTGGGGGCAGGGGGGCGTGCTTGCTACCTCTGCGGCCTTCCTCACTCAGCTCGGCCTGACACCCATGTCCCTCGGGGCTGGGGTTTCGCCCTAAACGTCCACGTGGATGTGCTCCGTGCGGGTTTGCTAAGTGCCCAGCACAGGGGTGGATCCACGCGGCGCATGGAGACCTGGGCTTCTGCGAACGGGGCTGCATGAGGGAGACCCTGACCCCGAGGGCAGCGTGGCCCCACTCTGGGGTTTAGAACGTCAGGGTTGGGTTTGCTGCTTGGAGAGGACAAGCTGGCCCCACGTGGGTGACGCTGGCTTCCCTCTGAGGACAAGAGCAAGCCCGCCCCTAAAACAGACCTTCCCAGCGTGAGTGGCACGAAGCCTGGAGGGGGAGAGCTGATGTGCTGGGTGCCAATCACAGCATCTCCTTCGGTCTCGCCGTGCGACTAAGGAGGAAGGCTGGCCCTGGACACCTCTCTTTTCTATTTTTTAAAAAATACAGTTTATTAATTTCAGAGAGGAAGGGAGAGAGAGAGAGAGAAACATCCATGATGAGAGAGAATCATGGATCGGCTGCCTCCTGCACGCCCCCTACTGGGGGTGGAGCCCACAACCCGGGCATGTGCCCTGATGGGGAATCAAACCGTGACCTCCTGGTTCCTAGGTCGGTGCTCAACCCTGAGCCACACCAGCCAGGCGACACCTCTCTTCTCTAACGCTCATCCATCCCCCCTGCTAAGGAAGACCAGGCAGCAGGCTCGCTCTCTTAACCCTGACCTAGCACGGAACAGCTGCTCTCATTAAATCTCTTTCACCATAGCCTTTCCTGTGAGGCAAGCGATCCTGCTTTCCCACTTATGGTCTATTGATGCAACAGTTTGCAAGTAAATCCACTTGTATGACACACAGCGTTAATTTAACAAAAATAATATGCAGCCCGGCCGACATGGCTCAGTTCAACTCCCGGTCAGGGCACATGCCCGGGTTGCGGGCTCCATCCCCAGTAGGGGCCGTGCAGGAGGCAGCCGACCCACGATGCTCTCTCATCATTGATGTTTTTCCCTCTCTCTCCCTCTCCCTTTCTCTCTGAAATCAATAAAAAAAATATTAAAAAAATAAGAATAAGCAAGAGATTCTTGTGTCTTATAAGAAAAAAAAAGGGAGTAATGGAATTGGCCCTCTGCCCAGAGTGGGCTCCGTGGGCATTTCTGGGGAGGCCAGGAGATTCCCCGGGGGTGCCTGAGAACAGTGCCCAATGCCCAGGGGACGGGGGCTGCCCACGGGGATTGGCGGGGGCGGGTACCTTGTCGGCCCCACACTCGGTGCCGTCCAGGGGCGGGTCCAGCTTCGTCTTGCAGGAGGCGTCTCCTTCCACCAGGCACCACAGCCCCGCGCACATCAGATGCTGTGACAAAGAGAAGCAACATGACTGCGGAGGACACGGTGTGCGGGTCACAGCGGGGTCGCCGGAGGGCCCGGCGAGGGGTTTGGATCTCCCTTCCTCTCTGAAAGCAATAAAAATGTATTTTAAAAATAAAACAACAACAAAAAAAGAACCAAAGGGGAAAAATCCTCACCTGAGGAGGTGAGGATTGACGAGAAAAGAGACACGTGGAAGGGACAAAGATCAAGGAGAAAAAGACAGGGGGTGAGCATCGTCTCATGTACCAATAAAAATATATTTTTTAAAGACTGTCTTCTTTTAAAAAAAAATCTGTATCTACATCTATATATACTGACTTCAGAGAGGAAGGGAGAGGGACAGAGACATGGAAACATCACTGAGGACAGAGAGTCATGGGTCGGCTGCCTCCTGCACGCCCCACACTGGGGACCGAGTCTGCAACCTGGGCCTGTGCCCTTGACCGGAATCGAACCGTGACCTCCTGGTTCACTGGTAGGTGCTCAACCACTGAGCCACACCGGCCGGGCAGTGCACCTCTCTGACTCCTCTCTCCTCCCACTACCCGCCCCCCGCCCCCCCACCCAGAGCTTCCAGGGATCACCTCCCAGATAAACTACTTGCACCCAAATCCCCGTCTCGCGGTCGGAAAATTGAGGCCAGATGTACTTGGGGCTCTTTTAAGAGACAGTGTTTCCTTGAGGCCAAATCCAATCCATGACAAAAAATGCCTGAGCTGGAGTGGGGGCACGTCCCCTCCAGGGCAAGGCCAGGGCAGTCACCGCGGGGCTCGCCAAGGGTGTGCCGGGCTCAGTTCCCAGGCATCTCAAACATCTGCACGTTGGGCAGCGTGAGCGTCGGGGTCCCTGCGCACAGCTCGGGGCGGTCCAACATCTGCACGGAAAATAGGCGCTGTCCACGCTGCTAATGTCAGAGCACACCCAGGAGGGGAAGGGGCAGCCCTGGCCGGTTTGGCTCAGTGGATAGAGCATCGGCCCGAGGACTGAAGGGTCCCAGGTTCGATTCCCGGGCAAGGGCACGGAGCTGGATTGCAGGCTCGATCCCCGGCCGTGGTCGGGGCACATACAGGAGGCAACCAATCAATGTGTCTCTCTCACACTGATGTTTCTCTATCTCTTCCCCTCCCTTCCACTCTCTCTAAGAATCAATGGAAAAATGCCCGGCTGGCGTGCCTCAGCGGTTGAGGTTGACCTATGAACCAGGAGGTCACGGTTTGACTCCCTGTCAGGGCACAGGCCTGGGTTGCAGGCTCCATCCCCAGTGTGGGCCGTGCAGGAGGCAGCCGATGCATGATTCTCTCTCATCATGGATGTTTCTATCTCTCTCTCTCCCTCTCCCTTCCTCTCTGAACCCAATAAAAATATATTTTAAAAAATAAATAAAACAACGAAACAAGAACCAATAGAAAAATATCCTCAGGTGAGGATTGACGAGAAAAGAGATGTGGACGGGACAAAGATGAAGGAGAAAAAGGCAGGAAAGCAGCGCCCGAGGGTGTGGACAGAGCGAAGTACAGCCCCAGGCCTCTTAGTTTCCAAGGATGCGGAGCTGCTCTGGGCCGAGAGAAGTTGATGACTCAGGCGGAATACTGCGCACTTGGGATCAGGGAAGCCCCACGGCCCCACGTGAGCGGGGAAAAGGTGAGGGCCTTGAGCACAGCACCAGCTGGTCCCGTAAAGCACGACCGGCGGCACCTCATTACGCGGCTGGTTCCGCGCACTCTGACCCGAGAGCTCTGGGGGACAGCGGTGGCGGTGGGGACATGTGTCCCGGGGACAAGGCTGAGCCAGGAGGAATGTATGGGGCAGGGGGCTGGGGTTAGGAGACATAACGGGCCTTCAGGAGAGGGAGGAAGAAGGCGGCCTGACCGTTTATTATGCATTTTATAGACAGCGCTTTCCCATAAAACTTTCCTAATCATCAAAAAAAAAAAAAGGGAGAATGAGGTCAGGCAAAGATGTCTTCAATAGAACACAAAACGTCTGAACTATAAAGGGAAACACACTAATAAATTATATTATATTAAAATGAAGAACTTCTGCCCGGCTGGCCTGGCTTAGTGATTGAGTGTCAACCTATGAACCAGGAGGTCAGGGTTCGATTCCCGGTCAGGGCACATGCCGGGGGTGCAAGCTCCATATCCAGTAGGGGGTGTGCAGGAGGCAGCCAGTCCATGAGTCTCTCATCATTGATGTTTCTATCTTTCTCTCTTCCTTCCTCTCTAAAATCAGTGAAAAAATATATATAAACACACACACACACACACACACACACACACACACACACACAAAAGCCTAGTATGCAAAATGTCCCCTCGCGAGTTCAACCGACCAGTTCGATCGCTCGCTATGACGTGTGCTGACCACCAGAGGGCAGCGCGGAACAAAGGGAGGCCCTGGCCAGCAACCACTAGGGACCCTACCTGTGCACAAATTTGGTGCACTGGGCCTCTAGTGTTTATATATAAAATGCACATTAAAACAGTTTCTGCAGATAAAGGTGCAGTCAGTCAAGCGAATCAGGGGTGGGGTGCCCAGGGTCCCCCAACTCCCCGCCCTAGGAGCAGTCCTTAAGTAGCAGCGGGATGCCACTGACCGGGCACAAAGCGTCAGGGAAATGAAACTGCTCCCTGGTCCTAGCATCTGTTCCCTCACCGGCTGCCTTTAATGTTTGCCGTGTGAACGTCATGTCAAGTGCACTGTGCTGCAAAGGCCCTCGAGATGCTGCGTAACAAACACGCCCGGTGCAAGCTGCCTTCCCTGGGACGCTGTGGCACTGTGGGGAGGTGTGGGTCCCTCGGAAGAAGGACACCACTGCTCGTGCGTTCGAGGCTTCACCGTGTTTCTCTTAACCCGCCGTGCCCCTCTGAGGTCCCCTCCGGGTGGTCTCAATCCCCTTCCTCACTCGGCACTGCTGAGCGCCTGGAGAGACGCTCTGACGCAACACAGTGCCGAAGGGAAGGGTTATGTAAAAAACCCTCAGAAATGTGCTGCTGATAACACCAGCCAAGAGGGAGATAAAATGAAATGCTAAGCGCTGGATGTGAAAGTGACTAATCCACATTTTCCACACAGACTCCTGCAGTTTGAAGCCCTTTCCCGCACCGGCATGCCAGGCCTGCTTCTGGAAGGTTCCGTGAGTCCCGGGTTTGGTCCCTCCTTGCATGTTCCTACAGGTTGTGGCAGAGACCACCATCACCTGGCTGGGGCCACCTGGTGCGGTGGGGGGAGGGGGGGAAGAGACACATGCTTGGGGGCGGGCAGGGCCAGGGGAACGAGGCAAGGGGAGAGGCAGGGCGGAGAGCACTCCGGGGAGGATGTCTGCTGTGCACGCTCGAACGCTGCTGGAAAATGGGGCCTTCTGCTGCCAAGCCCAATAGCTCTGAGAGGAGCTGCAGCTGCCGGGCAGGAAGCTGAGCCCAGGCAGGCGAGGCGGCACTCACCCTGGAGTCCGACCCAGCTTCCTACCGCACGGGCCCGTCCGTCTGAGGGGCAGGGCGGGGCTCCCGTCCGGCCAGCCGCCCACTCTGGCCAGGTGTGTCCGTGGGTGTTAAAGGGGCCGGCTTCATTTAGATCGGTAGTTCCTAAATCGAGCTGAGTGTGACAACTCCGAGGAAGACATAGCAAATGAAATACCTGGACCGGCCAGTGTGGCTCAATGGTTGAGCATCGACCTATGAACCAGGAGGTCAGGGTTCGATTCCTGGTCAGGTCACATGCCCGGGTTGTGGGCTTGATCCTCAGTAGGGGGCGTGCAGAAGGCAGCCGATCCATGATTCTCTCTCCTCATTGATGTTTCTCTCTCTGTCTCCCTCTCCCTTCCTCTCTGAAATCAATAAAAACATATTTGTAAAAAATTACTTAAAAACAATCGGGGCCCGGAGGGGCCAATGTCACGCTGTCCCTTCCAGCTGTCACCACCCTCAGTCTCATTTTGACGGAGACTCTGCAGGGACTGCTGACAAGGACAGGAGTGACTTGTCAGCATAAAGAAAAAAGGCCAGACGGGGCTCATCGGTCAAGTTCCTCTCCCCTTTCTAATAAATATTTACTACCCGCTGTTTACAACGTGCAGGTTTGGACTTTCTTGAAATGCTTTCCTGAATTAAAAACATCACATTACCATTGGCTAAAAGAGGAGACGGCTCTATGTGCCAAGGATTTGCAACAAGTGCCAATTAGGCGATGCCAATTTTTTTTTTTGCACTTATTTCCATGGGCAGCTCTGAGACTCACAGCACCAGCCTTCTGCACACAAGAGAGACACAATGCTGGTGGTGGGGGGTCTCCGGGGTCCTAGGAGGGAGGACGGGCGGGGCTCTAGCTTTCCTTGGTCCTCTGCCCCGCAGGTGTTTCAGGAAGATGGACCTGGCGCACACTGGAAGCCAGGCTGCTCCCACGCCACCTGAAGTAGCGTTTTCCCAGAGTTCTTCACCCCATCCCTTTGAGCCAGGAAATGCTTTTTTAGGCTCCACATGGTGAATGCCAGAGGAAGAATGTACATGAGTGCAGTGGAAGGAGGTTCTGGATTCAAAACTTCACCTAAAGAATAACCCAGCCGGTGTGGCTCAGTGGTTGAGCATCGACCTATGAACCAGGAGGTCAGGGCACATGTCCGAGTTGTGAGGTCGACCCCCAGTGGGGGGCATGCAGGAGGCAGCCAAGCAATGATCCTCTCTCCTCATTGATGTTTCTACCTCCCTCTCCCTCTCCCTTTCTCTCTGAAATCAACAGAAATATATTTTAAAAAAAAAAGAAGGAGGGTAATAACTCACGCAAGCCGGCACATGCCACGGGGGACAGATGCTGGCCCGCCACTCCCGGGCACCCAGCACCTGGTCTCCCACGAGGAGGCCCCGGGTGGGAACTCTGAACCCCTTCTCAGAGTAATATCTGTCCATGCGTAATGACGAAGGACAGAAGTTTACCAAGGAAACAATTCAATGTAAATGTAATTCCAGATACAAAACAACTACAAACGCATACTCCAGCAATATGCGTTTCTTAGTGAACAGGTTACATAACAAAATCTGATTCTGAGTGTACGAGCATGTGTTTACGTGCACCCATGTGTGCACTCGGCTCTCGAGGCATGCACTGTGCAAATGCCCATGACGGTAGATGTATATGCAGGCCGGCTTGTGTATGTGCGTATACATGTGTGTAAATGCATACACACGTGTGTGTAAATGCATATACACGTGTGTGCGTGCACAGGTGCGTGGAGTGTGAATACCTGTGTCCTCCAGCAGAAGCCACATGCTCCTTCCTGGGCCGCCCCACCCCCCACCCCCCACCCGGGCCGCTTACCTCCATGTTTCTGCAGAAGGTGGCGTTGGTGCCAAACAGGATCTGGCACTGCTCGTTGGCGCTGTAGTGCATGCCAGGCAGCTTGTGGGGGAGGCGCACGGCGTGCTGGCTCCGGGGGTCCGTGACCAGCAAGCAGGTGCTGACTTTTGACCTGAAACGGACAAGAGGTCAGTCGACGCGCAAAAGCACTGCCCGGGACTTTGTTCTGATTTTGAGTCCCTGAGAAGGCTGCGTCTCCGCATTACTTATGGGCCGTGGCTGTGGTTGAGCGTCGACCTATGAACCAGGAGGTCACAGTCAGGGCACAGGCCCGGGTTGCGGGCTCCATCCCCAGTGGGGGACGTGCAGGAGGCAGCCGATCAATGATTCTCTCTCATCATGGATGTTTCTCTCTCCCTCTCCCTCCCTCACTCTAATCAGTGACGATATATTGAGCGAGCCCTTGTCCCTGGTGAAGGCGCGTCCCTATCACAGGGGAGTCTGAGCATGGAGACACCTCTGTTCTGCTGCCGCCACGGCCACCGACACGGCGGTGTCCGCTCATGGTCAAAACACGCAGAGAAATGAAGCGGCTCCAAAGCACGGTCACGGTGCTGACATTTCAATCAATCAACAAGGATTTATGAATATGAGCTGATTGCCCAACATCATAGCAGATGCATGCGCCACGCCGGGTACGCACGTCACACCTGGTGCACACGTCACACCCGGGGCACAGCCCACACCAGGTGAACATGGCACCCCAGGTACACACAGCATCCATCACACCAGGTGCACACATTGGAGAAAGCTTGGCAGATACGGGAGGTTCTGCACTGACCATGCTCTAGGGCAGCTGAGAATTCTGGGAGATCCATTCCCCTGCCCACACGTGCGGAGACCCCACGTTGCGTCTTCTGGGAGTACTTCCTATTGCAGGGAAGGCACAGAGGGACTCCAGGACTCACTTGAGGAAGTTTTCAAGGTCATCTCGGCTGCAGGAGGACCAGGAGAGGTCGCTGGGGTTCCGGCCTTTCACCCACTCCCCAGACATGATGTGGGACCTGCCGGCGCAGGACGCGTGGTCGTCGTCGTGGTTCATGCCCAAGCTGCCGAGGGAGGAAGAGGAGACAGGACACTTATCCTACAGGCTTCTCATCTCTGCTTCCAGGGTCTAGCATCCAATTCCTTTTTATTTTTTTTTAATTGATTTCAAAGAGGAAGGGAGAGGGAGAGAGACATAGAAAGATCAACGATGAGAGAGAATCATGGATCGGCTGCCTCCTGCATGCCCCCTACTGGAGATCAAGCCTGGAACTAGGGCCTGTGCCCTTGACCGTGACCTCCTGGTTCATAGGTCGATGCTCAACCACTGAGCCACACCGGCCAGGGCCCACTGATGTTATTTTCAAACCTACTTGTGTCAGTCATGCTTGCGACTTCACGGCTGAAAATGGTCAAACGCTAAGTCAGCGCCTGGTAAAGCTACCGTTTGGTGAACTTGCACTGGGGCTGGGAGGCGCGACGTTGGCATTTAAATGAAGGACTACTTGACTGAGAGGCCCGTGTTATTGTAGGTTTGCATCCCAGGGCGTCTCTTACTCTGACAGCATCACAGTTAACAGAAATGAGGCGTGTGAGGCCCACACTGTAATTTTACCGTCAAGTGGCTGTGGGACTCAGGACACAGACTGGCCTCTGTCACGTGTGGCCCAGATGCATCCCACACAATAACAACTCCAGGGCCGGAGTTTGATCGGACCTTGAGACAAGGAACACGCGGCTTCTCCCAGAATCTTACGTGTTTGAGGCGCTCTGGGAGTGGCAGTTTTAGGAGGCTCTCAGCCTGCCTGTCCCTCTCTCAGAAGGTTTGGGATTTTTTTTTTTTAATGTTTTTTATTGATTTTCAGGAAGGGAGAGAGAAAAACATCCATAATGAGAGAGAATCATGGATCGGCTTCCTCCTGCACGCCCCCTAGTGGTGACCGAGTGCAAGGCTTGGGCATGTGCCCTGACTGGGAATCGAACCAGCAACTTCTTGGTGCACAGGGTGATGCTCAACCACTGAGCCACCACAGTCGGGCCTGAATTCACTTTAGAGGCAAAGACCAAACCACTCTCCATAGAGATGCAGGGACGATGCCAACGACAAAGCTCGATATGACCGAATACTCGACGGAGAGCTTCTCATTCGAGCCCAGGGCTTCCTGCACTCTGGGAATAAAAGTCTTGCCCAGCCGGTGTGGCTCAGGGGCTGAGCATCCACCTATGAACCAGGAGGTCACGGTTCCGTTCCCGGTCAGGGTATGTGCCTGGGTTGCGGGCTCTGTCCCTGTGCAGGAGGCAGCCGATCGATGATTCTCTCTCATCATTGATGTTTCTCTCTCCCTCTCCCTTTCTCTCTGAAATCAATAAAATAAACAAAAAAAAATATTCCACAGCTTACTTACTTTCAACGTAAAAGAAATAATCAACTGTCAAAATACTTAGATGCCACACCGGCAAATGAAATGCATGGAAGAAACATCTGGATCCTTTAAAGCTCCCCGGGAAATCAGAATGCACCATTCCGGCGCGTCCAGGGAGTGCACCGCTGCTGGTGGGGTCTGGACCTGCACCAAGTTCAAGGCCCACGCGTCTCATCTACAGACTCGACCCTGAGGGTGGAGAGTCTAAGGAACGGAGGGAATTCAGAGGCAGTAACCGCCTCCTGCTAAATTATGAAACGCTCATCTGAGGGGCTTTCCATGAAGTGTCGTCTCTACAGACTCCCTGCTGCTTGCACACCGAGGATGTCTTTTTGAAATTTCCACACCGCTGAAACATTGGCGGCTTTGTTACTGCTCTTTCCTTTCCCATTTATTTATTTATTTAGCTATTTTGAGGCTCTTCCGAAGCAACCCTTTTTATCTTTAAAAAGCATCTTCACTTCCCCTCGTGCAAATTATAGGCTTCTTGCAGTAATCGCTCCTGCTTAAGATGGCATTCAAGGTGCCGGATAAAAACAGCTTCTCCTGGCCGCCTTAATGACGGCGTGTGCAGCTCTCAGCTCGTCCCGAAGCCCCTCTGAGTTCCGGCTCCGAGCAGCCATCCTGTGAAGGGGCGATGCCAGGAGCGGCGCCCAAGCGGTAATTGATATTTTCACTAGCGGCAACTTTGTAGCCAATGAGAGGTTATGCGAGCGGCAAGTCTGTCGCGGAGAGTAGGTTATTAAGACAGGGAAGGAGGTCCTCCCCGCAGAATCCCATCGGGGATGTGGAAGGAAAAGGGGTTCCGGACACAGGGCCTCTCAGTGTGTGGTTCCCCCAGAGACGCGAAGCCCCTCGTGTGGGTGTCTCCGAGCACAGGTGACGGCCAGGGAGGGCGGAAGAGATTCCAAAATCAGGGTGCGAAAGCTGTCCTAGCGACTCCCCCATGGAAAACACTTACGTATTTTAAATACTAGAGGCCCGGCGCATGAAATTCGTGCGCGGGTAAGGTCCCTAGGCCTGGCCTGCAATCAGGGCCATCTTCCCCAGCCGCCTGCAGCTGGCACTGCCCCCCCCTCCACCCACCCAGTTCCCCTTCCCCCGGCCATCGGGTGATCAGTCCCTGACGGCCGGGGGAAGGGACCAAGGGGTGGGTTGTTCCCTCTCGCTGGCCCCGCCCCTGCCACAGATGGCCATTGGGCGATCGGAGCCGATGGCCAGGAAAAGGGACCAAAAGGTGGTCGGTGCGCCTCACAGTGACTGGTCCAGCAGTTGTTCTGGTCATTCTGCTGTTAAGGTCAATTTGCATATTGCCCTTTTATTATATAGGATGTTTCCATTGATTGGCGGAAGAGAGAAAAAGAGAGGGAGAGGGAGAGAGAAACAACGAGAGAGAGAGAGAGATCCATGGATCGGCTGCCTCCTGCACGCCCCCACTGGGGATCGAGCCCACAACCTGGGCCAGTGCCCTGACCAGGAATCGAAACAACCAGGACCTCCTGGTTCATAGGTCAACGCTCAAGCATGGAGCCATGGGGGCTGGGCCAGAAGCAGTGTCCTTGCCTCGCCTTGGACTCTGCATCCTGGTAAGACTCCAAAGGAAATCTTGGTGATTTCCATGGGATTCCTGTTAATCCTGGGCAGTGGGAAATTCCCACTTAGGGCACAAAGGGCACTTGAGTGGGGCCACCAGCCAGAAGGTTCCTACGGCTCCAGAAGCTGCCCCTCCCGTTCAAAATCACCCCTCAGAGACGGGCAGAAGGAGAGTCTGCTTTTGTTGGTGTGGGAGAGGGAGGCGGGGGCTGTTAAGAAGAGAGGGGCTGGGCGCTGTGCTGGGTGCAGGGGGCCCTTGCGAGTCCCCAGGGGCCCCTCCTCGGAAGCCAGTCCTGCAACTCAGGGCAGACACAGGAGGAGGAGGAGGAGGAGGAGGAGGAGGAGGAGGAGGAGGAGGAGGAGGAGGAGGAGGGGGAGGAATGTGGCCATGGCAGACGGCAGGGGAGGACGGGACCGGGCTTGTCCATGATGCATGCGCAAGACCCTGCAACACTCAGCAGCACACTGAGAAAGTATCATCACAAGAGGACATGAGCCCCGAGTGATCTGTCTGGTTCAGGAAACTGGATCAGACAGACGGGCTGGGAGGACGCTCACACACAGACTTTGATCCGCTGATGGCCCTGGGAGCTGAGTAGAAATGGACAGCAGTACACAGGGGGCCAGGGAAGAGCCCATCCGACAACCCAGCCTGGATGGCCTGATGGAAAAGCAGACCCCAGCACCGTGCCTGCCTGCAGACCCTTCTTGGTCTGCAAGGAAGACCGACCCCGACCGTCTGGGATACAACAGCCCTAATTCCAACAAGGACACACCCCGGCTGGCGAGGCTCAGTGGTTGAGTGTCGAGCTGTGAACCAGGAGGTCACAGTTGGTTCAATTCCAGGTCAGGGCACATGCCCGGGTTGTGGGCTCGATCCCCAGTAGGGGGCCTGCAGGAAGCAGCTGATCCATGAGTCTCTCTCATCATTGATGTTTCTCTCTCTTCCTCTCCCTTCCTCTCTGAGATCAATAAAAATATATTTAAAAAAAAAAAAAAAAGGTTAAGGCACGGACGTTCTACCTTCAGAAACCTGCACTTGGGAACTGGCTGCAAAGGACGTAGGGAGGCAACCAGATGAACATAAATAAATCCCAGTACTTGAATGCTGGGTTGAGAGTGACTCAGAGATCATGCTGATCCCGGGAGAGAAATACAAGCAGAAGACACTGAGAAAAACCTCTTCACCTTCCAGCAGATGCTTTCAGAACAGACCCAAACCCCAAGTTAATAGTTCAACCCTCAGAGCCCGGCCGGCATGGCTCAGTGGTTGAGCATCAACCTATGAACCAGGAGGTCACAGTTCGAATCCTAGTCAGGGCACATGCCCGTGTTACGGGCCCCATCCCCAGCAGGGGGCGTGCAGGAGGGAGCGGATCCATGATTCTCTCTCATCATTGATGTTTCTCTCTCTCTCTCCCGCTCCCTTCCTCTCTGAAATCAATAAAAAATATATTTAAAACAAAAGATTCCGACCCTCCAAGCCTGTGGCTGGGCGAGCTCTGGGGTTCCCTGCAGGGCTGAGCCCAGGCTCGCTGGCCGGGTCCACGCTGTGGAAGAAGCAGAGGCGCGGACCAGCACGGACTCCGGGTGTGGGGAGCTCGGGTGCAGAGACACGTCCTCGGAGCGGAGTTTAAACACCCGAGTGGCCGACACTTACTTGTGGCCCAGCTCGTGGGCGATGGTGAAGGCGAGGTTGAGGCCGTTGTCCTCGGCGAGCACACACTTCCTCTTGGCGCTGCACACGCCTCCTAAGTAAGCAATCCCTGCAGCGGAGACAGACACAGCCTTCAGAATCCTGGGCCCTGACCTCGCCGGGAGGGTCCGGGCCGTCGCGTGGCGGAGAGTGGGGCAGACGGGGTGGTGAGGGGCACAGGGGTAGGCCTGCGCTTCCAGAGCTCACAGAGGGATCGGTGGGCACGCGACGCTTTGGATTCAGCCTAGTAAGAATAGTAGCCACAACAAATGCCGAGCAGGTATTTTTTTAAAAAAAATTTTAAATAATATTTTTATTGATTTCAGAGAGGAAGGGAGAAGGGGAGAGAGAGAGAGAGAGAGAGAGAGAGAGAAACATCAGTGATGAGAAAGAATCATGGATGGGCTGCCTCCTGCACGCCCCACACTGGGAATCCAGCCCACAACCTGGGCATGTGTCCTGACCGGGAATCGAACTGTGACCTCCTGGTTCCTAGGTTGATGTTCAACCACGGAGCCACGCCGGCCGGGTAACATCCTCTTTGTGGATCTCAACTTCACTCTGGGGTGGCCCTGAGCCACTCCCTCCTGCCCGATCCCTCCAACAGCCCCCGAGCTGCCCGCCCTGCACGGAGATGCGCTGGGACCCGGGCACCCTGAGCGGGCAGCTCACCGGGTGTCTACTTCCATTCAGAAACCACCAGCAGCTGGGCCAAGGGGGAGAGCGTTCCGATAAAAGGGACAAAGAATGGCTTCTGGCCTCGCAATGCTGGTTTGCTCATGGACATCCCAACCCAGCCGCGCAGACGACTGACCTCCAGCAAGGACGCCGTCCGGCTCCTCAGGGCCTTTGAGGCCATCTCTCTGGTTTTATTTTAAAATTTTTTTTTTTTTTTTTTTTTTTTTTTTTTTTTTTTGTGGCTTGTTGCGAAGTGGCCAGCAGCGAGCCAGAGGCACACTCCCACGCAGCCCTCCTGGTATGCACGTGCAGTGCACACACACACACACGCACACGCATGCACACACATGCACACATGGGTGCATGCACACACACACTCACGTGCACTTAAAGCCACACCCAGCAGCACCATCGCAGGCCCAGGCCAGGCCTCCGGGGCCAATAAATTAATTACAAACAATCCGACGAGCACGCCCGGGAGCAGCCGTCTGGCGAGGGGGTAAGGGCGGCGGCCAAGGCCAGCTGTGCGGAGCCTGCCGTCCCCGGGGCGTCTGCTGCCCCAGCAGACTCAACGCCACACGGACACGTCCCCAGCCTCGGGCGCGCTCCGGCCGGAGCAGGCGGTCCCCATCCCCGCTCTGATGAGGTAACGCACAGGCTGGGGAGTCGGCTCAGCACAGGGCCTTCCAGTAATTGCCTTTTAATCTGTCCAAGGCGCAGATGGTTCTGCAAAGCTAGAAACAAAGGCTCGATTTATTTACAAAAAAAAAAAAAAATGTTCTCACACGAGGGTGGGGGAAGGTCCAGGACTATTTTTTTTTTTTCAATTGACTTTTAAATAGAGAGGGAGAGGGAGAGAGAGAGAAGCATCCATGATGAGAGAGAATCATGGATCGGCTGCCTCCTGCACGCCCCCTACTGGGGATGGAGCCCACAACCTGGGCACGTGCCCTGATCACAAATGAACCGTGACCGCTTGGTGCATAGGACACGGCTCAATCCACTGAGCCTCACAGGCCGGGCAAGGACCAGTGCTTTTAATTTTTTTTATTTGTATTGATTTCAGAGAGAGGAAGGGAGAAGATACAGATAGAAACATCAATGATGAGAGAGAATCATTGTTCAGCTGCCCCCTGCACACCCCACATTGGGGATCAAGCCTACAACCCGGGCGTGTGCCCTTGACTGGAATCGAACCTGAGACCCTCCAGTCCGCAGGCCGACGCTCTATCCATTGAGCCAAACCAGCCAGGGCTGTCCAGTGCTTTCTGACGTTTCACTGCGACCATGAGCAGCCTGGTCCTCGAGCCGAGTGAGGGAAAGAGAAAGGAAAGGACCCGGACACACCCAAGTGCATTGACGAGCGACGGTGCGCAAGTGTGTGAACTCCCACAACCACGTCGGGAGGGAGGGGGGCGGGGGGGGGTCCCCGGTTGCAGTAAAAGAAAGGGCTGCAGGGACTAAATGGGCGTGAAGCGATGAGCTTCAGCGGGAAGCAAAGGCCACCGCTCTTCCACGTTCCCTGGGAGGAAATAGCCGTCCAGAGGGAGGGTGAGCTGGCGGCTCGCGGAGACCCCATCGCCTCCGGCTGCAAAGGCACCAACCGGCAAACACCCACCCAATCCCCACATCGGAGCTCGCCCACAAAAGAGGAAAACTGGGCCCGGCCGGCGTGTTTCTCCAGCACTCACGCTCCTCCAGGCAAACCCCAGGCCTCCCTCACCAACGCGCTGATAAACCAACGACAATGAATAATCTTCGCAGACTTAGAAGATTTCCCTAAACCTTGATGTGTTTATACAGAGACGTGGGTGGGATAGAGGAGAGGTTCCCCGTGGTCAAGTCCAAATGCTCTTAATCCTAAAGCTAAAAAGACTCACGGGATAGAGGCAATAATATTCACAGCAGTTACCTCCAAGATATGGTGAAGTCATTATAGTTCCTTTTAATTGTCTTCTTCTTTCTGTGAGAGGCTTAAACCTAACAGAACGAAGATGTACTTGCTACGGAGATTAAAGCTATTGGTTATATTTCATTTATCCCAGCAGACACGGAACAGAGGCAGAGGAGGTACACACACACACACACACACACACACACACACACACACACGAGTCCTCCAGGCCCGGCTGGCGTGGCTCAGGGGTTGAACGTCGACCTCTGAACCAGGAGGTCACGGTTCGATTCCCGGTCAGGGCGCACGCCCGGGTTGTGGGCTCGATCCCCAGTTGGGGGCGTGCAGGAGGCAGCCGATCAATGGTTCTCTCACCACTAATCTTTCTATCTCTTCCAATTCTCCCTTCCTCTCTGAAATCAATTAAAAAAAAAAGTGTATATATTTTTAAAGTCTCCTAGATTTTGATTCTGATAGGAAGTTCACGGTCAACACACAACTGAGTGTGTGCTTCTACCCCAGCTCCATCTCGCCGACACCCCTGGCAAAACACCTATTTTAAATGGGAGATGCTGAGGACAGGCGAGCAGGGCTGCGGCGAGTTTCTCTGACGCTGGAGAAGTCCATCTAATTCATCCCGACAGCGGTCGCGTCCCGGGAGCCGCCCGGCCTGTCCCCCAGCCGTGTCATCTCAGGGCAGACACCTCCCTCCGCCTCCCGCTTCCGCTTCTGGGAGGAGCACCCGCTTCGGTGAGGAAACTGGGGGCAAGGAGGCTTCATTGTTTTCTTTTTCAGTAGAAAACTGCACGGTGTCAGCACATAATTCTCACAGCCTTGCCAGGGGACTGTGGATCCAAGAAGTAAACAACACCGGACAGTGTAAACTCTGTTCAACCGGCAAACAGCCCCGGGGAAACAGTCCCAGCTGCTGGCCCGGCTGCCCACGTCTCGGACCATCCCGGGCTCCCACCAACCGTTCACGGTACCAGCACCATCCTGGTTGTCACTGGGATGCCATGTGCCAATGACAAGAAAGAAATTTACGTCTATTCACTGGCAATCACGGTGGTTAGGATCAAGTCCTGAGTTCCAGCTCATTCCCAAGTCCTTGTGCTCTCAGCGGTTCTCAACCTTCCTAATGCCGCGACCCTTTCATACAGTTCCTCATGTTGTGGTGACCCCCAACCATAAAATTATTTTCGTTGCCACTTCATCACTGTAATGTTGCTACTGTTATGAATCGTCATGTAAATATCTGATATGCAGGATGCATTTTCATTGTTACAAATTGAACATAATTAAAGCATAGTGATTAATCACAAAAACAATACATAATTATCTATGTGTTTTCCGATGGTCTTAGGCGACCCCTGTGAAAGGGTCATTCAACCCCCAAAGGGGTCGCGACCCACAGGTTGGCGGCCCACAGGTTGAGAACCGCTGCTCTAAGTGGATGGAGGTGTGATTTAAATTTGTGAACCAGCCCGGCAGCCGTGGCTCAGTGGTTGAGCCTCCACCTAGGAACCAGGAGGTCATGGTTCGATACCCAGTCAGGGCACATGCCTGGGTTCAATCCCCAGTAGGGGGCATGCAGGAGGCAGCTGATCCGTGATTCTCATCATTGATGTTTCTCTCTCCCTCTCCCTCTCCCTTCCTCTCAAAAATAAAAAAGTTAAAAAAATAAAAATAATACATTTGTGAACCACATTAAAAAGCAAATAGCTTTTTAACTGGCCAGTGTGGCTCAGTTGGTTGAGCATCATCCCGTGCACCAAAAGGTCGCCGGTTCGATTCCCGGGTGGGGCACATACCTGGGTTGCCGGAGCATCCCCAGTCAGGATGCCTATGGACCACATGAGCCGTGTCTATAATTTGCCTTGACTCTATTCCAAGGACCCATGCAATGGAATGCGCTAGAAAGTTGCCTGGGACGACCTTGACATACGGCTTCACTCCCTCTCACGCTAACAGCTCTATTTCCACAGGAAGCATAAAATACAAGGCCGCGCGCAGGAATGTGTGCCAAGTTAGCAGAGAAAAAAGAACCGTGCTCTCAGGATGATTAAGAAACCACACTTCTTGCGAATGCTTGGCCGAGCGAAGCCACCCTCTTGGGGATGAAAGGCGGAATTTAAAAGACCCAGGCTGAGGGTCGAGGGCAGCCCAAGGGGATTTCGATCTGTGCTTTGTTCTAGGCCCCTCGAGGGTGGGCCTGGTTCTTGGGCTGCGTGTGGGAGTGGGGCAGGGGTGGGGGGAGGGCAGGCCAGGCCAGAGGGCGGCTCTGGGCACCAGCTCCTGAGCAAAAGTCCATCAGCACTCCCCTGGCAAGGACATGCGAGCCCCTCAATAAAGAAGTGGTCCCCACACCCAACTCAGGAAGCTGGCTGTCATGTGGGTGCCGACTCAACATTCCGAGCTCAAGTCAACCTGCCCCGAGAAGCCCTCCCCTCCCATGCCCTGAGGAGGCCTGGGCGGGACTCCGTGCTGCTGACAGGATG